CAATGATAGCACTCACAGAAAAAAAAAATATAACTACTTTACAAAATGCAGCCTATCAAAATACTCTGTCCCCATTTGATCGGCTAGACCTGTGATCAACCTGGACGGACGGATGGACTGATTGATTACTTTATTGATCCCCAAAGAGAAATTGCAGTGTTGCTGCAGCTGTTTACATAAATCACCCAACACACATAACGCATGTTACAAAACACACATGAGGTACAAAAAAAAAAAATCAAATTACAAATAAATACATACTAACTGCTATACAACTAGCTAATAAATAGAATAAAAATAAGATATAGCTCTCTAACCCCTTAAATAGCCAAAGCCCCTCGGCAGGCCCAAAGTTTTATCACACACTTCTGTAACCTAAGAATAGCTCAACCAGTTGGCACTGAAGTCCCTATAGTTCCTGAATAATAAGCCTTAGTATGTAATAAGCTTGAGATTTTAAGAGTTAACTGTGCAAATTAAAGGTACAATGTGTATTGTGCATTGCCACACTTAAATGCCAAAAAAGAGCCTCAGCCTTCAATCTAGGATTAAACACAGGCACTTAGTGATGACCTAATACTTTCACACAGTACTGTCTGACTAAAGCAGTGATTCATGTTTGCTGTATGTACACAACCAATGTGACAACAGTAACAACAGTAATTCAATATAACCTAAATTTCAATGACGTATGATTACATTACAAGCATCGTTGTTTATCTAGTATTATTGTTACATTATTTCCCACATTGTAATCATAACTAGTCTCAGATCACTATGTAGAGCTTTTACAGTTTAAATGCAATGAGAAAAGGCCTAATGTTTGCGTATGCATGTATGAACCCTTTAAATGGTCAGGGTTTCCCACTCCTGCAACCTATAAATAACATAGTTTTCATTGTAGTTCATGTAGTTACTGAAAAATAAGCCTGAGGATGTAGTAAGGCTGGGGTTTTAAAGGGGTTGACCAAGAATACAACTCTAATCAGTAGCAGTTCCTTCCTCATATTCACTGTAATCTTTGAGTTGTCACAATAAACTTAATTTACTTCACATAAGAGATACTATTCTCTAATGGCTTCACAACTAAACTGAGATTGTTGCACAACCCCGCTGAAAAAAATACAGCACAGACCAGCAAGCACTTCATGCTGGCCTATGCTGGTTTAGTACTGGTCTGGTGCTGGTTTAGCTGGTCACCCCAGGGTGGCCATGCTGGCTGACCAGCATACCAGCATCCAAAACACAACATATCCTGGTTTTGCTTGTGACCAGCCATGCTGGTCTATGCTAGTTTTTCTAGCAAGGAGTCTGGCCTCCAGGGCTGGATCTCTGGCCTACAGGCTGTGATAGTACTATTTTAGTGGTGACCTTGTGACTTCACAGAGGAAGAGGTCAAAATTCACTCATTTTAATTAAGACATTTATTATACTTGCTTACTTGCAGTGTTTTTAGAGAAATTCATTTGCCAAATCCTTGTTTGCAGCCTTCCTGTTGCATTTCAACCCAACAACCCATGAGAAAGCAACTATTAAAGGGGCATTCTGGCCTAAAACTAGCCTTTGGTGTGTTATTGGTTATGCTATGCAGTGCAGCATTTCATCTCTCAGCCTCATCAGTTTGACAGGATTCTAAATTTTGTGTCCTTCTTGTGTTTTCGTCCATCCATGTTCTACAATACCCAGCACGCATTAAGTAAATATGTTATACAGCCCCTGGGAATCCATCCCCACAGCAATGAGGAAACTGTGACTGCTAGTATCAAAAGGACCTGCTGACCTCACGAAAACCCACCCCAAAACAGAGGCTTTGGTCTGGCAGTTTGAAAAGCTGATGTTGAATCAAAACTATGAAAAATTTATATGACTAAAACGTAAACATAAATCTGAATGATTTCATTGTTTTTGTATTTTTAGCAATATTTTCCCATTTTAAGTTTTCATCACCGCAACCACAAGTTTTAAGTTAAAAGTTTTCTTTTCAGTATTTTAAAGGACTATTTTTAATCATTACCGCAAACATCAAGTTTTTTTCTTTTCATTTGTACCACCACACATTTTGCTGTTTGGTCTTTATAGTTTACAATAACGACATTAAAATAGAGATTCAACAGTTAAGACTCATATTGCAGTGGATTTAAGTGCTGGATGTAAGTGTTATATCGGTATCCGTGCAACACCAATTCTAACTCCGAACATCTGCAGCTTCAGTTCAGTGATGCAACAGCTGCTGAAAAATCTAAAGCAGCTGTTGTGTCAGATAAACAAAAATAGACAAACGATTTGACATATTCAGCTTCCTTTGGTTCAACCTGTACACACTGTACTCTTTATTAAATGCCAGAGCAGAAAGGCACACACAGAGCACTCACCCTATGGGGGAGGTCACTACTAGCCACACACTTGACCCTCACGGTGACTCCCCGACATAGACAAATATTACATACCTTTAACTGATGAACAATGACATTAACGACATTTAAGTCCTTTTTCCAGATGGTGTGCACCTTACATGATCCTCACGAGTGTCTAGAGGCCAGGGTGCTACAGTACTGTTGGTGTTATTGCTTAATATTATTTTGTCCCGCCCACTGGTACACTGTGACATCATCAAAAAATCATTACATTTAGATGGAAGAAAACCGAGTTTACATATTTATGTACAACCCCATTTCCAAAAAAGTTGGGATGCTGTGCAGAATGTAAATAAAAATAGGATGCAATGATATGCAAATCATGTAAAACATGTTTTTAAAGGAAAATACTACAAAGACAACATATCAAATGTTGAAATTTTATTGTTTTTGAAAAATATATGCCCATTTTGAATTTGATACTAACAACACATTCCAAAAAAGTTGGGATGGGGGCATGTTTACCACTGTGTTTCATCACCTCTTCTTTTAACAACACTCTGCAAGCGTTTGGGAACTGAGGAGACACTGCTGTAGTTTTAAAGTTAATTGTTTTCCCATTCTTGTTTGATATAGGATTTCAACTGTTTAACAGTTCAGGGTCTCCTTTGTCGTATTTTTCATTTCATAATGCGCCAAATGTATTCAGTGGCGACAGGTCTGGACTACAGGCAGGTCAGTTTAGCGCCCAGACTCTTTTAATATGGAGCAATGCTGTTGTAATACATGCAGAATGTGGTTTGTCATTGTCTTGCTGAAATAAGCAAGGCTTTCCCTGAAAAAGACGTCGTCTGGACAGCAGCATGTTGCCAAAACATGTATATATCATTCAGCATTAATGGCGCCTTCACAGATGTGCACGTCACCCATGCCATGCGCACTAATGCACCCCTATACCATCATGAATACTGTCTTTTGAACTGTGTACTGATAACAAGCTGGGTGGTCTTTAGCCTGTAGGACGCAGTGTCCATGATTTCCAAAAAGAATCTCAAATGTTGCTTCATCGGACCACAGGACACTTTTCCACTTCAGCGCTCTGCCAGCGCTCTGCTAAGCTTGTCCAGTCTTGCAACAGAAGCTACAAAAGACAAAAAACACACATTTGCATGACGTTGAAACGATGCTGGAAAGCTCTCATGTTTCCTGTAATGTAGTTTTGGCGCGTAACAGCAGTTTTAGAGTATGAAACCGTTTTGTCATCAGCCTGTTTCTTGATGCAGTGCAGCGTTACACAAAAGCAATTTGGAACTACAAACCATAAGCAGGAAATATTAATATATAACCTTTTAATTCATGAAAGGCAGTGTCCGAATGTATCTTTAGCAATGGTTTTCCACTGGTCAGTGTGTTTATTTTCCCTTTCCAAAAGTCTTCTCAAGGAATCACAGTATTATTTTTAGTTATTAATATCCAGTACCTGGATTATCTAATTAGTACTTCATTACGTGAAATCAGGTGCTGCTGGTGATGTCTGAAGGACAAATCTGAAGTAAATCTTTGTTTTTCAAATTAGCTCCCAAGATATCGACTACTTCTCAGGAAAAAAATATACATTTTCCCACACTTTCGTTTGTTCATATTTATGGTAAAACATGTGGTGTTTTTTTACACACAAAAAACACACTTTGCCAAGATAAGTTGTTAAACAATAAGTAGGTGCCCAGTACCTAAGACTTTTGCACAGTACTGTATATATGTATTTTTATAGGTATATAGAACTGTTGCACCGTTTAGGGTGGGATGGAAAATGTGAAGAAGTTAACTCCAGCTTTGCAGCTCTGTGAGAGTTTTGGGATTCAGTGCAACAAGTTAATGTTATTGCTGTAAGAGGCTGTAAGATTTACATAGTGATTAATAATACTTGATGCCTGTAATATATTTCTGTATTACTTTCTTATAGTAATCTGTAATGCTGCCTCAAATAAATAAGAACATTAACAACACTCTATATATTATAATAGAATATGAATATGTATATATGCATATATATGCTATAAATGATGATGATGATGGTGATGATGATGATGATGATTATTATTATTATTATTATTATGATAAAAAGAGTAAAAGGCACAAACGGGCAATACAGAAGTGCATGTTATTGATCAATGCAAACATTCACGAACCCAATGAGCTCCCATAGGCCAGCTATAAAAATACAGTATATTTGTGTCTATCTATCTGTCTGTCTATTTATCTATACATAAACATATATTTATAAAATACATAAACATAAACATCTATTTATCTATACATTAACATATATATCGCTCATATATATATATATATATACATATATATATAGATATATATATATATATATATATATGAGCGAGAGAGAGAGAGAGAGACAGAGAGAGAGAGAGAGACGAGAGAAGTTCTCGTCTGGGTAGCATCACACATTACCATTAACACCCCGCCACCTACTGTCGCACCAGTGTATTACAGGCAGGGCGCGTTCCATGCGGAATAGAGGCGTATTCTGTAAGAACAGTCATATTTCCACCGTTATTCCGACAAATCCCGCCAATCCTCACCCTGCAGGCGCCTCCCAGAGCGCGACGACACAACCTGTGACGCAGCGTAGCAGAGAGCAAAGTGTAGAGGAGTGAGAAGGACAGGTACACACAGCTTTACCAACACCAGAGCACAGTTAAGTGCTCGCAGGTAAAAGGAGACGTTCTGAAGTCGCTTAGAAAAAAATCTGAGCGCAGTTGTGCAGTTCAGGACTGGACTGGGACCCGGTCTGGTTTTAAAACTGGACTATGGGAGCTGCCTTAGGGACCTGTGCGGTGGCTCAGTGGGTAGGTGAATGTTTTCATTGATCAGTAACATGCTTTTACACGTTCTCTCGACATTTCTTCCCTTTTAGACCGTTAAAATAAGATATGGATTTATTACTGAATGTATTACAGGACAGTACACAAGTATTATAAAGTACTATAAGAAAGTACTACAGGAATATGGGTGGCGAAATCTTATAGATATTAAGTATTATTTATCATTATATACATCTTACAGCCTCGTATAGCAAGAATATGTACTTGTTGCACTGGAAATGTTCCGTTCCACCTTAAATGGTGCAGCAGTTACATTCTTTTCCATTGAAGGTGGAACGGACAATTCGAATAAGACGCCAACTCAGCTACATTTAACCTTTAGTTGCCACCATCTTTTGTTTGTTTGTGTTTGTTTATTTGTTTGTGTGAGCGCGCGTGCACGTTAATACGGCATTACTTTACGGTTATTACACTGCAGTACCGCTGCCCCCACGCAAAACAGCGATTAAAGCGAGATTTAGCCTAACGCGTGGAGGCCCGTTACGCTGGTTCCCTAACCGGATTAATGGCGTATTGTTCCCTAGGACAGGACACTGGGCTGGAGGTGGCGCTCTGTAAAGCCACCAGCTAATCTCAGCGTGCAGCCTGAGGCATGTTTTGGCTAAATGTCAGGCTAAGTTCTGTCTGAAGCAATTGTTATGGTCGTCCTTGGGGAACTTCTAACGGAATGAGGGAGTTTTTGAGGGAGGTGGAGGCAGAGTAGACCTTCTTATCTTACTTTCAAAATCTGTTTTTCATGCTTAGAGACAGTAGTTACCACTATATGTGCTGCAGGTGCTGTATAATCTCCATAGAAAAGCACTGACCAATGGAATGGGATACTCTCAAGAGCCAAAGGTCATCATGCCCAATGCCAAGTATGGGCTAGAGGGGTATAAAGAGTGATGGAGCTTCATCCAACACCTTTGGGATGAGCTGGAGTGATCCAGAACTGACCATCCAACATAAGCACCCGACCTCTCTAATGCTCAATTAAATCCTTACAGCAATGTTTCAACATCTAGTGTAAAGCCTTCCCAGAAGAGTAGAGGCTGTTACTGCAGCACAAACTCACTATTAATACCTTTCATTTCAGAAGAAACACTGGAGACCACAAACTTTTGGCTGTCTTTTTGGACAGCTCTATGTATCTCTATGAACATACCTGACTCCGTCTGGCTTCTTTCTGCCTAATGATGGTACTAAATTGTTTACAAACCGTGATGTTCTTGTCTTGAAGCCACTATGTCTGAGACATTTTTTTCTGATAGTTTTGAGAAGATTTTAGCCTAAAACTTATTTTTTAAATTCCATTCATGGTGGAGAGGTACATATCAGAATAGTCTCCGATTTGCTATTATTTTAGGTTTACTGGTGGTTTTGGATAGTAAATAAAATGTCTAAATTTGTGTTGTAGACATGGTGACCCCTAGTTCCTAGCACCACCACTGTAAAGAAATCAAAGTCAATAAGTTTCCTCAGAACAAAGCATTTTAAATCAAACCACTATGATTGACTGTGTTTATATCTCAACAACGGAATTATGCAGGATAAATGTTGATTAAGTGAGACCTGGTTATTGGGAATAGTAGAGAAATTTGGAGTTCCTGTCTCAAAAGGCCCCTTCACATTGAATTCAGTGGATACAGAGTATTATTTTTAACAAGAGTCAATGTCAAAGGGCAGTTTTGCTGATTTTTATAAATTTCTGGATTAATTCGTTCCCAGAGTGTAACCAGAGTGATTCAGAGTGGTTTGGTGTGAAGTGGTTCAGATTTCTTTACAGTGGTGGTGATAGGAACCAGGGGTCGCCATGACTACAACACAAATATAAACATTTATTTACTATATAAAACCACCTACATGTGTCTGTTGAGTTTTACATGGAAAGTTGATGATGGTAAAGTAGTGTAAAATCTGAAAGAAAATGCATCACCATCAATGGCTTTTTGGCCGAAGGAGTCTCAAAATTGTTGTGAGACTATGTCTCAGACATCATGCAGTGCATTTATAACCATTTCATGTAATGACTCTCTGTGAGGGAGCTTTTAGAGGTGGACGTCTGGTTCCTATCACCACAACTGTGAAGCATTTTATATCAAACCACTCTGAAAGACTCTGTTAACATCTTAACCATTTAAAGAGGCAGAAACCTTGAAAAAAATCAGTGGAATTCTCCTTTAATACACAGTCCTGTGTTTTAGCGTTTTTGTTGGATGTGACTGTTGATTAGCTTTCATTTTCACTTTACAGAGAACTGAAACTGTTGAAAGACATTCTAACTGCAGACTTGGGCGTAGGCTCCTGTTTCCTGCTCAGCAGAATTATTTGATGTTTCAGCTTTTTTGGCACACATTTGATTCACACGTATTTTTAGATATGCCTGGGTGAGTTAGTATTAAAGTGTGAAGTGATTTATGTGTCCTGTAGCTTCATTTTGTCATGCCTCAAGCGGACCCTGTCACCAAAGACACAGCGCTGATTTAATTGCACACTCTAACAATTTATCTGCACCTGATAACTATTCTATTTCAGATCTTCAGATGCTGGGTTTAGTTTGAAAGAGAAAAAAGGCTTCAATATTTATAACAGGCGAAGTGCATTCAGCCTGGGCATTAGGCTCTGAACCTGAATGCGGGTACAATGTACAGATGAGGTAATCCCCTCTCTTTCTTTTGATGTGTCATAACCTGATTTGCCCATCATTAAATCAAAGATTTACCACTTTTTTGGACCCAATAAAATTTGACCCATCAAAAAGGTCTAGTTGTCTTTATCATATCTAAATCATTAAAAAGGGCAAACTGCATCTTTGGTACCCTGCACCTCCTTTGGTGCATATATATATATATATGTTATTTTATATATATTTCTTTGCTGTGAAGATTTGATGGCATTCAGCCACAAGAGCATTAGTGAGGTCAGGTACTGATGTAGGATGGTCAGTTCTGGATCACTCCAACTCATCCCAAAGATACTGGATGGAGCTCCATCACTCCAGAGAACAGAGCTCCACTGCTCCAGAGTCCAATGCTGGGGGGCTATATACCCCTCTAGTTCACTCTTGGCATTGGATGTTTATACCTTAGGCTCATGTGTATGAACTGGTCAGTGCTTTTCTATGGAGATTATACCAGCTGTTTGTGCACAACTAAATTGTTAGTAAGTTTACTAACTAAAAGGGGTGTCTGGATACTTTTGGACACAGAGGATACTTAAGGCTGACATTTAATCATCTGTTTCTTGAAGGCTCAGTGCTTGTGCTGCAGTGCAACATGCCTTGCCTGCAGATGCTGCCCACACAGCAAGAACTCCATCGTGACACGCGTCATTTACGCCTTCATCCTGCTGATCGGCACCATCATTGCCTGCATCATGCTGTCGCCTGGCGTTGAGCAACAACTTAAAAGGGTAAAGCAGCTGCCTCTCTTCATTCTTATGCTGTGTATCTTACTTCTATGATCCATTTCCAAAATTACATTACACTTCTGTAACAAATCAGATAGAAGACATGCATGCAGCACTGTTAACTCTTAGAAGTTCAGCTTTATTACTGTCATTTATATTATTAGCTGTACTATTCCAAAGTAATTGTGTAAATGGAATTACACAATTAATTACATAGCTATTAATTAGAATTACAATCTGCACTGATGTCTTTTAACTGTGTTTCAATATAGAGAAATCACAAAAATATGGAAAAAAAAGCAAAAAAGACAGTATGGACAACAAAAACTTTTCATCAACTTCAAATCATAATTAAAGATCTGGAATCTGAAGCTTAAGCTTGCTTCAGTGAGCAATTACATCTGCTTTGGTTATCTGTAAGAGTGAGAACACAAACTTGAAAGTTTTTGATTGTGCTGTGAATCACTGACCCACACCTTTAGATCCCCGGGTTCTGTGAGGGTGGAGCTGGGTCCAGTATCCCAGGCGTCGAAGCTCATGTTCAGTGTGAGACATTTGTGGGCTACAAAGCTGTATACAGAGTCTGCTTTGGCATGAGCATGTGCTTCTTGGCCTTCTCCCTGATCATGATCAACGTGAGGAACAGCAGAGACCCTCGAGCTGCTCTCCACAATGGGTAAATAACATTCCCTCAGATACTGAACAAGCATTTGGGTTTTAATCTGAATGATTGATAGTGAACATGAACACGTGTGCAGATATTTTAACTTTAGCTTGTAATTTATTAAATAGGAAAAGTGCAGCAGGAGGAAACACTGATCTTTTACTGGCTTCAAGAAACACACAGTCGTTTCACACTGTTGTGTATCAGCAATTTATGTCGTCCAGTGTAATATATATATATGTGTGTGTGTGGTGTGGACTGGGCAGTCAGAGGCAGGTTTTGAAACAGTGCTTACACACTACATGTTATCTTATACATCTTATATCACAGTATATTACTTTTTGTTGTTCGCAAAATACTTGAAACATGAAATAACTTTTTTGTATGTTTAATGTATGAGTTATTGTTTCATATAAACAAACAACATTCTTTGACACATGTTTTGGATGGTAGTGTATTCAGTGCTCAGTGCTGAAGGAACCGTAGTTCATATTTTTGTTGAGTCAGACGATGGTCATGCTGCTGAATAGTTCTGTATAACTGTGCTTCATTGAGCAGAAACGCTGTGGGGCTCATCTGACCTGCTCATCCCTCGGCCCCTCATTCCGCATTCATACTGTTGTGCTTTCTCCTCTGTTTCAGCTTCTGGTTCTTCAAAATCGCATTTATTATTGGAGTCACAGTCGGTGCCTTTTACATACCGGAGGGGCCTTTTACCCGAAGTAAGAGAGTGAAGCCTACAAGTTTATTCAAAGGGCCCATATTGTGCCTGTTTTGTTCTTTTTCTACTGAAACTCATGTTTAGTTGGGAGATTGCAATATTTGCACAGTAACAGAAGCAGTGTAAACTGTGATCATGTAAAATTAAACTATGGCTGTTTTTGGTACAGAAATCCACAAACAATGCAGCCACAATTATTTTTTTTCAATCACTGTTTACATAGTTTTTTGTGCCTTTAAGACTAATACATGTAAATTGCCTCTGTTCTAATTGACTGCCACATTCTAAAAGCAGGACTAAAACACTGATAACTTAAAGAGGAAAAGGCAAGGCTTGAAGAAACAGGCTGGATGACATGACATCATGTTATTGTTATTGTGGTAAATTAAACCACAGTAAGCTCTTTGGAGTGCTTACAGAACACTGATCAACTGTGTGTTTATAATACGTAGTTTAGAATATTATCTGGTTTTGTTGTCGGAAAACTGCAAATTTGATTCTCAACTATGCCAGGAGTCCAAAAAGACATAATTGGCCTTGTTTGAATGGATGTCAGATGTTGATTTTTTAGCTTTATTCATATAAAGACAGGAGCTATTAAAGTTTAAGAGTCTAATTTTTAATGTTAATTATAGCCTACGTTATGAATGATGCATCATGGAGCTTATGAACTGACTGTAAATGAGTTAGACCAGTCAGAAGCATCCAAACACTCTTGTGCTGTGACATCACAACTACAACTAACTGGCAGTCAGGTGCACTACGTTCTGGATTGAAGCCTTAAACCAGAAAAAGTGGCCAAAAACAGACCAAGTGCACAATTTACAGAAAATAACTTAAATTGTGTTGGAAAATTGGATATTTTCCCCAAATTGTTCAGTCCTAACAGCATCTTTCGTACAATATATTTAAATAAAAAAGTCAGTTTAAATAAAAAGGAGAACAAACATAGAATGAGAAAATATGTGTTCTAAATTTTAAAGTATTGAGATTAGGGCTGTGACAGTTACGTGATTTAAATAAAAAATATCTTTTAAAAAATTGATTACTAAATAAAACACTGAAAATAATAAAAAAATGACCTACTCAGAGAATCTGCAGTGATTCCTGATAGATACACACATTTATGTACATATTGAAAAATATTGTTTCACTGACATATTTTGAGATCTTTGAGAGGCAGTGCATCATTTATTAATGTATATAATCATTCAAATGATTCATAAATTGCTCAGTTACTAATAGATCATATATGCAACCGTCCTTCCGTGTTGTGATATTACATTTTTACCATATAACCCACAACTAAGTTACTGTCCTGTCGATCCCAGAAAATGCTTAAAGTAAATGATTTGTCAATAAAATTGTAATTTCCTGCTTTTGATGACATCTTCATTTCATTTTTCTGGACAGCTTGGTTTATTGTTGGGACTTCTGGAGCTTTTGTCTTCATTCTAATCCAGCTGGTTCTTCTTGTGGACTTCGCACACTCATGGAACGAGTCGTGGGTGGATAAGATGGAAAGTGGGAACTCGAAGGCGTGGTCCTGTGGTAAGGTCACTTACTTTTTTATCAGAATGAACAATTGAACACCCTGTTTAGAGCCTACTTTATTTACCCGAATACAGTAATGTGAGATAATGGTACAGTAATGTATATTACTAACTAAAGAAATAGGTGAATGGTTCTTAATTTGGGCACACGGTTCTAGGAAAATAAACTTTATTTGCTGTAGAACCTTTATGTTAAAGTTCTAAACTGTAAAATTTAAAGAGGTTATTCAGGCTCACAAATTAATTTAAGTGGTTCTTTAGAGAACAAAACATGAAAAGGTTGTTCAGGAGGCACCTTTATAATTGAATGTAGCTATTAATTTATTTGTTGACATTATTGCTATTATTTAATACTTCCGCTTAAAAGGCAGATTTAGCAAGAGAGGCACTAACTACCGACTGTCGACTGACACTTTGTGGTTAATAAATGAGCAACACACTGTAACCATTCATTCAGTTTTTGAGTCACACGCTGGTTAAAAGCCCATTTCTGCTATATATGAGAAAAAGACTTTTTATCTGTTTCAGATTCAAACTGTGACTCATTAGGTCAAAATAATGATATATTATCTCACAACTGTAACTCTATGTAAGAAAATTAATGCAACATAATAGCTCAGAATTTCAAGAAAATTACTGATCAGTTTGTCTCTGTTTTGAACACTCATTTTTGGCTGTGATGAGCTTAACTTGAATTCGGTGTTGAGTGTGTTTGAAAATCTGAGGTGTTAAACAGCATCTGAGTAGGAGCTTCAGGATAATCATCTCCTCCCAGTATTCTGTGCTTTAAGAGAGAAACCCTTATAAATGCATATGCAAATGAGGCAAAGGAGCAGAGAACGCCCCTTTTACCTTATTATGGGTGCTGAAGGGCTCCTGCTCCTCAGTTTAAGTACAGTTTTCTGTACTAAAAACTGTTGAAAGGCTTACAGAAGACACGCATAAAGATTATAATGATTTCATGAAAAAGTTCAGCCGAAGGACTCGGGAACATGTTACTCGAACCTCGCAACATAACACACACTTAAGTGTGCCACAGACGTCCTATAGCTGGTAACAGATTATGTTCATAATATGTGACATAATATTTGTTGTCATCACAGCTAATGAGAGTACACTGCAAAAATTAGCATGTGACAACCTGTCATGACATCAAACATTATGGCATTTGCCATAACAATTACTGCTAGTGATAACATGACACTGTTATATAACTAAACTAAATTTGTCACGACAGCATATGACAGTATATAACATGTGCTAACACACGTTAATGACACATTATGACATGGTTATGTCAGTGTTATGTAGCAGAGTTTGGTTAAAGTTTTATCAAGGACTGCTGAGTAATCAGCTTACTGCCTCTCTTTGTAGCCTTGTTCTGTGTAATGGGACTAAACTACGCTCTGTCCCTCACTGCCATCATCCTCATGTACCTCTTCTACACTCAGCCGGAAGAGTGTGCGCTCAACAAGTTCTTCATCAGCTTCAACATGTTACTGTGCATTGGAGCTTCTGTGATCTCCATACTGGACAAAGTACAGGTGGGTTTATGATCTCTTAGGTCAGAAACATACTAGACGCAAGTATGCAAACGTAAATGACAGCGATTATTGTAGCGCACAGCAAACGTTGTGTACAATCTCACTGTGCATTCTTATGTTACTGGGGCAGTTAAAACACTCACTACTGAAGGTGGCGATAGAAGACAAATCAGAGAGGGATCTGCTGTATTTCCAACAGCCTCAAAAGCTAAAGGTGGACAGTAGAGGAGAGTGAGCTGCTTTCCCTCTTCTGTAGCAATGGAAAAGTGATAATGTGTCGTATTTTTTATGTTTATGTAAGCTGTCTTTGCATGAGATTCAACTGCTCGTCTGCTATGGCAGTTCAGAAAGCACGCTGGTGGTACAAGACTGCTTGGACAGACTTGGCTGTCATCATAGCGCCCCTTGCTGTAACACTCAGAATGCGGCTTGAAATTAAATGAAATGCTTCGTGACACATTTTTGAATGCAACTACGTACAAAACACTGTCTGCATAGCTTGAAGCATCTGCGTTCGCGTCCTTACGTGAAGTATGTTTTGGGCTTATTATCAGTAGTGGATGTACACAGTACACAGATCCAGGACTGTGAGAAAGAGTTATTCTTAGTAAAACGTTCCCCATGCATAAGTGTAAAGGCTCTGTTTATATTGTCATAGTTAAAGTACAAAAGTACTTGCTTTTAAATGTACGCAAATATCAAAAGTAAAAGCACTGTGAGATATTTTAATGACCATCTTTTCTTTCTAAAAGTAGTTTTCTGTGAAATGCTGCGTTCTAGAGTCAGAATTGTTCACAGTGGTGGTGATAGGAACCAGACCTCCTCCTCTTAAAGCTGTCATAGAATGCATTCATTCAGTATTTCTAATTATTGTCTGACATCTGCATAGAAAGTATGTGATTTGGTCAGGGCAAAAAATGTTCAGCTGTGGTTTACTCACCCATTTACAGCCTCATGATTAGGCCCTAGAATGAAATGAGCTGTTTTCCCTTTTTTTGCGGCCCATGAATAATCTGATGAGCTCTGCTCTGATTGGCTGGTTTACAGTGAGGCTCCGCAACGGCTCACACAGAAGCAACATGTTGAAATAGACACAGGGAAGAAATTGAAATGAACCTCCATGTAAATAAGCTAAGTCATTATACAGTTTACCCTGCGACCCAGAAGGACAAGCGGCTTAGAAAATGTGTGTGTCTGTGTGTGTGTTATACTGTTTAGTGAGCTATGCTAGTTACTTGAAGCTTGCTAGTAGCTAATGTTACCTACACTAGCCACTTGCTTTCGATCTCAAGAACAACACAAAGTAAATTAACTCACTATGAGGCTTTCAATTTAAGACGATCTGCTTCAATCATCAGAAAGTGACTAAAATCTCACAGCATGGTTGCTTACAGGCTGCTGTTGGGGTTATGATGCTAATAAAGGTTGAACTGCCCCTTTGTTTCCTCAGGGTTAAACGCTGAGCGAAGCTGCTTGATATTGTCTAAGCTTGATATTGTCTGGAATGAAATGTGCAGAGCAAACTAACAACTTTGAATTAAACCTGTCAGGATCGTGTTAAAGATGTGGGAGCTGAAGCTTGTATCCTATTCGCCAGCTTCTTTTGCATATTTTCTGTTACACCTTAAATGGTGCCGCAGTTACATTCTGGCACCTGTACAAGATGTAGCATTTAAGGTGGAATGGAACATTAGATAGAGAAGCTGGTGAATGGGAAGCATTCAGCATTATATAAAGCTGAACATCAGCCATGCCTGCTGACAGTTGGGTTCCTTGTGAAAGGAACGAAAAGTGCCGACATCCCTTCACAGCCTGGAACGCTACATTTCCTCTTTAACAAATGCAAGATTTGTGTTTGAAGTAGAAGACAGCAGTGTTTGAGGTTTACAGTGTGTCAGTTCCCTGTACTGAACTCTCTTTATTCAGCTATGCCAGTGTGAACAGAGTTTTCATTCTATGGCACTTTTAAAGCTCCCTCACAGAAAGCTATTACATGAAGTGCTGGTCTGATGTCTGAGACATAAACATGTTAGACTGACGTGATACTTGTTTTACACCATAAGTCAGGCGGAATGGTGACAAATTACCCTGAATATTTCTGCAACACATTTTTTATACCAGTTGCAAGTGGACGAGTGAAACATCAGGTAAGGAAAAAATAGTCGAAGCTGCGTTGTTGTAGGTCATGTGTTAATATAAAGTACATTTTTTATTTTATTATAAAATCAGTTTTTCACTGATTTTTTCTGAATCACCTTCAGTCACTGGTGACTGATTCAGGTCATGAAAGTATAGGCCCGAGGACCACAACAGGGTGTTTTGGTTGTGGCCCACTTACTTAGAAATCCTGATGTACGTGTCCAAGACTATTAAAGGGCCTATAACATGGAAAAACATTTTTCAAACTGCTCTGAATTTATTGTTTTTGTGATGTCACATAATCCAACACATTTATACATATTCGAATATTCAACTGACAGCAGTTTAGCCCCACCTATTCACACTGTAGTTATAAGGAGCATTTCATGCTGGACTGCTATGTAAATATCGCAGAGTACAGGGCAGCCAATCAGAACAGAGCTCATTTACATATATCAGTCTTAAAGGCATAGTAACAAACCAGCTTGTTTAATTCTAAGGGATAAAGAGATGTTAGAAAATGGTCACATAAAAATGAAGTATGATTTTCATGGTACATAAAACCTCACCAAAAGAAATAATGGTGGAAAACAATAATTTACAAGACAAACTAATAGGTTGCAGCATCAAATGTATGCTCTCTGTCTCATCCACTGAGCAAGAAACAGCCACCTAGAATTCTGATTCTATATATTACTCAGCCTTTCCAGCTTTAGCTAGAGCACGAAATTAAACATAACCAAATTAACTAAATTAAAACTTTTGTCTTATTTTCTCTTCAGTGCAGCTTTGACAGTAGCAACAGTGGTGACAGAGGGATTTTGCCTATTTCTTATAAAAGAAAAAAATGTTGTTTGGTTTAAGCATCATATGATATGGGACACTCACTATTTTAAGATGAGTCTTAATAGTCAGGGTTTTCATTCAGTTTAGTAAAGGGATAGAATTTTTCTCCTCATCTGCACTCCTGGGATATCAGCTATATGATTTGAAAATACACCACACGTTTCTTTAATTCTGACAGCTGTCTCTGCCTAGTTATAGTTGCTAAGCTACGACTGGTCCTTTAGTTTTTATGGGAGGGATTTGGTAAAAGTTGCGTTATGATTGGTTTGATTTATATGTGAAAGTACGTCATATTCTTTCATGTATTATGAAAAATCTAGCTTTTACTTCACAGTTTCTTGCAGAAAGTAGTGGAGTAAAGGACAGACATATCAGTCAAACTATACAAAAAAGAGACAATTAAGCTCCCTGGACAAAGGAATTAGTGACCTTGTGTGTTTAAGGTGCCAGGCACCTGCAGATGGCATGGCACAAGGGCTATAAATACCTGTGCGGTGTGCGATGGGATTCATAGATTGAGAAGAGCAGAGTGGCACGCAAGAGGCCTTTGCTAACTTCTGCTCATGAAGTCGCCCGGTTACAGTGGGCGAAGGGACACCAAAATTGGACTGAATGACTGGAAACGTGTTATCTGGTCAGATGAATCTTGTTTCTGCCTTCAAGGAGGACTGCGTGCAAGGTGGGGTTCAAGCTGGAGGAGCTTTTGATTTTCTGGGGGTGTTTTAATTATGTCGAAATGGGTCCTTTGGTTGAGGTGACAGTAAATTTGAACCACAGTGCCTTCATTGAGCTGCTGGACAACCAGGTTTTGCCTTTTGCTCATCATTTTACCAAGGAACAAAACATTCCTACCCTTGTATTCCAAGGTGACAATTCTAGCTTTCACAGGGCTGCAGATGTGAATGATTGACATGAATGAACATTCAGGAGCATTCGCACATCTGGACTGGCCTGCAAAATCCCCAGATATGACGCCAGGGAAGGCATCCATGAAATATGGCCGAACTGCTTAATTCTTTCATGCAAGAGTGGCTGAACATTGATGTCGCCTACATCCAGAAACTTGTCCAGTCCATGACAAATTGAATTGCAGGTGTTATTAGTTATTAGTTTTACATGCTATTAGGTACGTTTCAGTCACAGATGACTAATTTTTTGTCTGGTGGGCTTATTTGAACATTAAACAATTAAACATTTAAACCAATATTCTGTGCATGTGTTTATTGAAAATGGTATGGTGACTAAAAAAAGCACTATGTTGGTGGAATGTCTCAGTTATTACTTCATTTCTGATTTACGTTTCTGTATTACAGTTACTGCATGTTATATTTTTGATTTGCAGGACTCTCACCCCAGATCTGGGCTTCTCCAGTCTTCTGTCATTACTTTGTACACCATGTATCTGACCTGGTCAGCCATGACAAATGAGCCAGGTATTACAGCGCACACTGTCACAAAGCTAAACTGAGGTATAAAAATCCTTCATTCATATCCTCTCTGTGTTGCTGTGAATGACCTGCTTTGATTTTGTTTTGCTTCAACTGCTTGGCCCAAATCCCACGCAGACCGCACGTGCAACCCCAGCCTTCTGAGCATCTTCCAGCAGATCACTGAGCCCACACTCGCCCCAGTGGAGAACCAGACGTCCGTGATCATCATTGAAGCAGAGGAACCTGAGCCCTCATCCCCTTACTTGCAGTGGTGGGACGCCCAGAGCATTGTTGGACTGGGCATATTTGTCCTCTGCATTTTGTACTCAAGGTACGGTGCAGACCAGGTTATCTTAAAGGAAAACTAGCACTATTTTATTAGTAGTTTAGTAAGTTAAAACTAGAACTATTTTATAAGTAGTTTAGTAAGTTAAGTAGTAGAGCTTGACTACAGACCCCTACAGAAGCAATTAGTGAAAATATATATATATACACACATATAAGCTTTATTTATATGGGACCTTTTATACAAATAATGCAGCTCAAAGTGCTTCATAGTGGTTCAATAAACATTATATAATACTACAATTATTATATAAATTGTATAAGATTATGATTTTGATGTGAAAACGATTAATTGTTCAGCCGGTGAACTGAAAGATTGAAGGATGTAGCAGCATTAACTAAGGGAGGCGGGAGTTTCTCAGATTTTACAAATGGTCAGTTGACAAATGGCTTGTTTCCGTTCTCTCTGGCAGTATACGCTCATCCAGCACCAGTCAGGTAAATAAGCTGATACTGGTCTCTAAAGATAAGGTCATCATCGAGGACAGTTCCCCAGGAGGCTCCGGCGAGGTGGAGGATGGCTCTGGCCCAAAGCGTGTCGTAGACAATGAGAAGGAGTGTGTACAGTACAACTACTCTTTCTTTCACTTCATGCTCTTCCTTGCTTCACTGTACATCATGATGACGCTCACAAACTGGTACAGGTTAGTGATACTTCATTTCTGTTGAGATCTCAGTGATACTCAGGTATATCAAGTGTGCTATGTTAAAGATGACATCAGAGATGTTATTAGTGAGAAGATGGTGAATGGTTGAAATACGAATGGGAACGCTTATAATGCTCAACGTCTGTTTGCAGAAAAAGTCCCATCCTTCAATTAAAAGAGCCAATCAGCTTGCTGGTTATGCCGCTAGCAGAGAAGGCTCGGCGATGTTGTGGCGCTAGCAGGGAAAGTACACCTCGCTTTAGAGATGTGCAGCCAGAACAAGCCGAAAAAAAAATCACTTTTTTGTGCGTTATTGATCCAAACGCTACAAACTATTTATGAGATTTTTGTCAGATTTTACCGGCTCAAATATGTTTTTAAATGGTAATTCAGTGTCGAGTATTTTAGTCTCTCCCGGTTCAAAGAAAGGAGTCTTGTCTCGTGTGGCTGGAAGTAACTGCCCAGCAGCATTGGAAAGATGACTGCCGAGTGAACAGGCTTTCCTATAAGGACTTTGATGAAATCCAGTGTTAAATATCACTGTAAATCTTTTACTACATCTGTATGAATTTCTAGATAAAAATGTAATATGTGTAATAACTAAGTTTGAACAATTTGACGTAATCAATAGTGTTGACAATAAGGATCATTGACAGATATTTGCTTTGTCACTTGTTCGTTGGCATGTTCAAAGCACCGCATAACACTGAGTGAGTTAACGACTTACACTGAAGAGGGCAGCAGTTCACTTACAGTGTCGTACCTGTGTGAGTAGATAGCGAAAGAAAAAGAACAATTACAGCTAAAGAATAAAGTCGTCACATACAGCATAGGCAAGTCTGGATGTCTGTTCACGCAGAGCTTGTCTAGTGAAAATGTTGAACTGGTTAAATGATGCTGCAGCCTGAAGAGCTCAAACGTTAATCTACGTATTTATTATTGTATCACTTTTTTAGCTTTTGTTTATTTCTTACGGTAACTGAAAATGTTAGGCTTAAACAAAGTGCTACTTTTTTGTTGTGGTTTTAATTATCTCTTAGTAATCAGGACCTCAAACTATTTACTGTTACAGCTCTTTGTGGTTTACAAGCCACACTGAAGCTGATTAGTTAATTATTAGTCAGTTAATTCACATGAACAATCGATTATTAAAGAATTAATTTTTCCATCCTGGGCAGCAGTCGGTAAATTCTGAATGACATGTATTAAATTGAAAACAGTGTAAAAACACAACATTTAATGTCTTACCTTATTCAGTGTTTTTTGTAAATAAATGTTAATTCCACATATGATACCTGCTGGTAACCTGTTGTGGATGGAAAACACAAACTGATCCAGTTTTGAAAGGAGTTTTTTGGTGTTCTTATGAAAAACAAGTAATCAGTTCTGCCATTCTGGGCTTTCGTTGTATTTCACTGTATTTTGCACTTCTATATGCACCACACATTATTAATAGAAGACAGGCAGGTCAGTCTAGCACCCAGTCTCTGATGGCGCAGCCATGCTGTTATATTGCACAGAATGTTTTTTGGCCGTTGTCCTGTTGAAATAAGCAGGATGTCCCTGAAAAAGGCGTCATGTGTTGCTTCAAAATGTATATACATCTTTCAATATTAATAGTGCTTTCACAGCTACCCACTAATACTGCCCTCTCCCACCCCCTGTACCCCATAACAGCTGTTTTTAGAACTTTATGCTGGTAACATTAGCTGTGTTTACATGTAAAGATTTTTGCCAATCCGATTTAATACATTCCGATTATAGATTAAGACTGAGGTGTTTATGCTCACTCTACACAACATGCAGCAATCTGATGTAAATCTCTGTTAAATGCACACTACAAGTAATCCGATTCAAAATTACACACATGTATGGAGAACCGCTCAGTGTAGATGTTACCATGACAACGAGCATCACGTGAGTCCAGTCAGAGTGAGACGAGCAGCAGTGAGTAGTGCTTGTGTTTTTAACTGCTTCAAAATGGTGTCAGACTCAGGAAAATGCTGCCCATGTAAAGTTGGTAAGGTCAAACATTAAATATCTTGTCTTTGAACTGCTTTCACATACTGTCCCAACTTTTTTGAAATTGAGGTTTGTAATTTGATCAATTTTGATTACTCGATTGCTCATATAATCAATAGTGACGGCGCTAATTTATTGTTATTTTCTTATTGTGAAAAAACTGTGTTGGTCTCATCACTGTGTTCTTTCCATACAGTCCTGATGCTGACTATAGTGACATAGGAAGCAAGTGGCCAGCAGTTTGGGTAAAAATCTCATCCAGTTGGGTCTGTCTCACCATATACATCTGGACACTGATCGCACCAGTGATACTCCCAAACAGAGACTTTACGTAGACGTGCTCTCTTTAACCTTTCAGCATTCATCTGTGGAGCCTTTACAATGGAAAGATGATTACATCTCACATTTTTTGTCTTTACACTGTAGATATGAAATTACACACTCTTAAAAATAAAGGTTCCAGAATGGTTCCTGGCTGGGATGCACAGTTCTAGTATAACCCTTCATTTGATAGCAAACCTTTACATTATTTGGAGGTTCTTTAAACCTTAAAAAGGATCCTCACATTCAAACAGATCATTTACCAAAATGGTTCCTTAACCGTTTTTCACAGTAGCTACAGAATGTCCTGCCTGCTTTGGAGGTCCCTCAGTTGTCTAATGCCTAATGGAATATATTTCAATGGATCTACAAACTGGATATGAGCTCCTTGGTGAGCGAGCAGGTCAATATTTATAAGTGTTTTTTATTGTGTTTACAGAACTGTTTGATATGAAGAAAGTTGCAGTTGTCTGTTTTATCTCAGCATGGCCATCTTTGTGGAGAGGTGTGAATTGTTTATCACAGCAGGGGGTTCTTACTCCTCATTGCTCGCTAGCAGCTCAACAGAGTCACAGTTCATGCACAGAGAGACAGCAGAGTCCTAGTTCATCTGATAACAGAGTTACGGAGAACAAACATTTTATTTGATTATATTAATCAAAAATATCTGAACTGATTTCTGTTCCACTGGCAGAATGGCCACTAGGGGGCACTGCAGAAAGAGGTTAAAGAACCATCCATCGGAAGTTTTAAAACTGGTTCTTCTGTGGCTTTGTTCCAAAAAGCATTTCGAACACCAAAAATCCCAAAGAACACCTTTATTTTTAGGAGTGTTGAACTGACTGTAGAAATGTAAAATGTCAGTGCTGCCTTTACTAGTAATAAAACGAATTACTTAGTATATTTAGTATATTTGTACTGAATACAGTTTTGTAGCACTAATACTGTGCAGTTGTGCATTTTTAGCACTTAAGCACACAGCGCTGCATCATTTATATACAAAACAGTGCCATCTCTGGACACTATCATGCATCTAGCATTCTGATTTGCACTAAAATATTAATGCAAAAAAAGCACAAAATAAGCACAGAATGATACTAATATGAAGTATCTCCTGTGATTTGCAGCACTTATCTACCACTTTTTAACATTCCATATATTTTGATAATTACATATAAGATTAATCGCAGGTAATTTCATACAAACTAGACTGGATGTTTGCAGGTGTTTGATTTGTCTGTTACATGTAAGTAAGGACCAAACAAATGGATGAACAAATACATTTTATGTCATTTTATATTTTATTACGCATACCTTACCAGAAAACTATGTGATACCACAAGTCATTTTGTAAAATTAGAATTTGTACCATTTTCATCACTGTACTATTGGGTTAGATGTGCAACCATGCAAACCATGACTCTTTTCTGTTTTGTGATTTCATTTTTTCTTTCTCGCATGCTCACAGTAACGTGTGTAGCAAGCAGAATATGCATATTTTGGATTTAATTAAGTTGCAGTTGTCATGTGTGGATAATGTCCCGACCAAAGCCTTGTAAGTTGTGAATGTGGTTTATTCTATTAACGTTTATGAGAGAATATCGTTCAATTGCATTTTTACAATTGCTGCCAAAGATATTTACTTTTATTTTTGAATGTACGTTTTACTTTTCAGTCTCACACAAATGTACTTCGAATAAAGGTAGAAAAACCGAAAGGCACCTCAAATACATTATTCAATCATCATTTGTTGATTAATAACATGTAACATCTTCTAAGAAGTGAATTCAGCTTCTTTAAGCTGCACCCACAGGTGTTCACACAGCTTGTATAATCACCATAGAAAAGCATTGACCAATAGTACTGGATGCTCTAGAGCAGCTGCACATGAACCTCACACGTTTACAAAAACAATTCTGAAAAGAACCATCCGCTGAAAAGTTCTACAGGGAACCAGAAGTGGTTCTGTGATGGCAAAGAATCTTTTCTGGCACCTTAATTTTTAAAGACCACCATGTCTAATGCCAAGGGTGGTCTAGAGGGGTATAAAGCCCCCCAGCATTGGGCCGTAGAGCAGTGGAACCATGTTCTCTGGAGTGATGGAGCTCCATCCAATACCTTTGGGATGAATTGGAGTGATGCAGAACTGACCATCCAACATCAGTACCTGACCTCACTAATGCTCCATCAAATCCTCACAGCAATGTTCCAACATCTAGTGTAAAGCCTTCCAGAAGAGTAGAGGCTGTTACTGCAGCACAAACTCACTATTAATACCCTTCATTTCAGAAGAAATGCTGGTATCTGCAAACTTTTGGACATGAAATGTATAATCAGTGTTCTGCTGTTAATGTTTATGTCGTTTATTTCTCCATCTGCGAAACTGTCTATTTAACCCTTAAATTGCAAGCGTTTGACCGAGCAGTATGCAGTTAGCAGACTAACTGTCTTGCTAACCATAAACATCAGTGACACAAAATTAGATAATTATATACTGAGAATGTAGTGTGGTGGTGACGGTGGGATGATTCGGGCAGCTGTATGTTTTTAAGGCGGAAAAACATGAGATGCACTGCACTGCCTTTTATCTTGAAGGTTCGCGCTGCATTTTTTAAACACTGCTTCTGTCTGTGTGTCTTCCTGTTGCTAAGCAACAGTAGTATATTTCACAATAGTATACAGTAGTATCTCTCACACTTTCATTAAATGTGCCAGGGTGAACTGTCTCTCCTCCGGTTCCATTTGAGCGCTGTGCTCCACCACACATTTGAACACTGAGCTGAGGTTCTGTTTGGAGGGGGTCAGTTTGAGAAAGGTCCACATTGAGTAAAGACCGTTCAAGTTAAGACTAGCCGGGGAGTCAAAGGCTCCATCAGAGATCTTTTCTCCATCTTGAAACCAGGTTATTGTGACAGGATCTGGGCAGAAATTCTTCACGCACAGGTTCAGCGTACATTCTGTTCCTAACTGAGGCTGCGGAGGGTCACATTTGATGAAAGCCACATTTGGGGGCTGACCTGCAAGAACATATAAGAAAATAAGTGATTTTTCTAATCTGAGCTAATTCAAACAGCTTCATCCACACAATAGTGCTTCACACCAGCTCTGAAACATTTTAAAGTTTTCTATAAGGTTCTTGGCTTGGATGTAAGGTTCTAGGAAAATTTTTTAATTGGTGTAGAACTTTTACATCATGAAAGGTTCTTTAGGGAACCAAAATTCTGTGGCATCATTCAAAGGAACACTTTTGGTTCCATTTGGCACCTTTATTTTTAAAGGGGAATTCCAACTATTTTTCAAAATTTCTGCATAATTAAATGTTTCAAGATGTGATCAAAGTCATTCAGAGTGGTTTGGTGTGAAATACTCTGTTCTAGAGAAACTTACCGAGTCAGAATTGTTCACAGTGGTAGTGATAGGAACCAGACGTCCACATCTAAAAGCTCCCTGATGGAAAGTTATGAAGACCTGATGTCTGAGACATTGTTTTATGACTGTTTTGAGAAGATTTTGGCCTAGAAGGTATTAAAAATCTAGTAATGCATATTCCGGGTGTTGCCAAGTAAAATAGTCCTCCAAGAAAAGTTATTTTAAAGATGTATCACTATTTTACCACCATCAACACTGCATATAAACACTCAGAAGACACACGTAGGGTTACTGGTGCTTTGGATAGTAAATATGTCTATAAAAAAAAAATTATAATGTTGTAGACATGGCGACTCCTTCCTATCACCACCAATGTGAAGAAGGTAGAAGATAAAGAAGATATTTGACATTCTCACTAGGTTTAAGATATTTTCTTTTGCTTAGATATCAATTTTTTGGCTTTGTAACTTTGTGTACATTGAATTATTCTGAAATTTTGATTGGTGGAATTCTCCTTTAGGAGGTTATAGCTGATATTTTTAAACCTAGATCCACAGACTCATGACTGACTCACCGTCTGTGTTGATGTGATAGGGAACGTCCTTATAGAACGGTGCGGGGAAGCTGTTGTGGTAGACTCTGCAAGTACAAACTGTTCCAATATCCACACTAGCCACCGTTAGCTCAGTCTTACTCCACAGGCTGTACAGCTTCTCGTGGTCAGAGAATGGACCAAACTGGGTGGCAGACTGTAGCAGCTCTGTGCCCTGCCTGTGCCACTCCAGCCGGATATCTTCTGGGTAAAACTTCTCAATTCGACAGCACAGCACCAGAGGCTGACCCAGTTTGGGGATCTGAGGTTGGCTTGATATTTGCAGAAGGTCTGGTGGGACTGTAAGGAGATACATTAAAAAATCTGCAAAACATTTGAGAAAAAATGCGATATTTAGAACAATGTACAAACCTTGGATTCTGACTGTTGTGTTTCTGATGATCTTCTTATTGCCACAGTGAACCACACAGCAGTATCCTCTGTTGTCATCATCTACAGTCAGTTTAAGAGTAACAGTAGAAATGTGGACGTTCTCCTCGGACTCTAGCTGTGTTAGATCCTGCAGGTCTTCCATTCCTATTAAAGGATCAGTTTCAGTGACGCCGGTTGCTCTGCTGTTACAGGATGGCATTTTGTACCACTGGATTTTGAGGTGTTTAGGTTGAACTCCTCTGATAGTGCAGCTCAGTTTGGTCGGTGTTTTGGCATAAATAATGTCAGGTTTGACTATATCAGACACTGTAGGAGGGGCTGCAAAAGATACATAACATTTTCAGTCACATTCATTAATAATAATAAAGCTACTGATCGTTCAAACAGTTTTAACAATAAATGGTCTTAAACGCTGGAGTTAATGTATATCTGCTAATTCACACTTTCACTCTGAAGAACAGCATGCAGACTGCTGGTCACCGTAGCAACACAGGCAATAATCTCACCTAGCTAGTAGCTAATGAAAAGACAAAGAGAAAGATTTAAGAGGAACATGGATAATTTGGTGATGAATGGACTTTTATAATCACTCCAGCTGGTTTTCTGATATGTTTAATCTGCAGCAAGAAACTGTACAACACCAAAAAAGTCACAAGGCTGAAATCAGATTCTCATTTGCCAGCTTTTTGTTTGAATTTTCCTGTTCCATCTTAAATGGTGCAGCAGTTACATTCTGGTGCCTCAGACACCATTTAAGGTGGAACAGTAAAATTCAAACAATAAGCTGGCGAATGAGAAGCAACTTCTGCCTCATAAAAAAATTGAACATTGAGAGACATTTTACAAGAAACTATTGTAATTTTGTGGAAAAGATTCCTGCCGGAGATGCGAGAAAAGCGTCTACAGCTGAGCTAAAGCTTAAAGCAGAGCAAGGTAAGTCTGAGTTTTTGTTTATATTATATTTTTAGTCTACACTAGTACATTAGCACATACTGAGACATATTTATAGCCAAGATGGAAAAATGGACATAAAATGTTGTGACTCTCAAGGTGGTTTGATTTTTGTTGAAAGGACAAAATGGCTCTTCTTAACGTTTGGGTTTCATTTGGATTAGATCTACTTTTTGTTTGTTTAAAGCAGTCATCATTTATCATTGGTCAATCTAAATATTTCTGTCCAGTGGCAGGGCATTTCTTTTCTTTGTTAAAAATCCACTATTGTATATGAATTTGTCTGTTCTAGAATCAAACTGATCATGTTAGATTATTGTTTTGCTCTCCAGTGTCGACCAGAGGAGGATAGGTTCCCCTTTTGGGTCCTGGTTCCTCTCAAGGTTTCCGTCTGTTAGGGCAGACATGTCAAACTGGGGACCTTCTGGGCCAAAGTGCTCTGGAGATCAGCGACTACCCTCATCTAACACTCTAAATTCAAGTTCTTGCTAATTAGCTGTTGAGCTGAATCAGGTGTGTTTATTGAGACACTGTGCTGAAGTCTGCAGTGTTTTGGCCTACAAGGACTGGATCCTGACACATGTGTCTTAGGGAGTTTTTCCTTGCCGTTTGAGGCCCAAACCTGGACTTCTGCACAGCTGCTTTGGGACAATACCCATTGTAAAAAGCTCTATATTAAAACACCCTTGTCGGGTACAAAACTTTGACTAGTTGAAATTGAGTCAGGACTGAGTCTAAAAGGGCAGAGACCAAGTCCAAATAAGGGCGAGATCTCGAACCATCTACAGCACATTCTCCATCAATATGAAGAACAATTTCATGATGCAAAGAACCATTTAGTCATGTAAAGAGTTCTTAGAGTGTTTATGGTTCTATATAGAACCATTTTTTACTAAAGACCCCTTGAAGAACCATCTTGAACCCTTACAGATTCACTTGGGTCAACATAATTAACACTTAGGAATCTAGAGTTTTCTACTTTTAGCTGTGCCACCACATACAAAAACTTCTTCCTTTAAGCATTCTAGTTTATTTCTATTCCAGAAGGATCCTTTATTTTTACTTTAACCTGATATGCTGGTCTGACAACAGTACTTTTAAAACTAATTTTAAGTGGGAAAGAGAGCTGGGACGTGATCTGATGAATGGTAGGAATGGACTCTAGCGAATAAATTCTCGTCTGTGCTCACCTCAGCTTTGCCCAGCTGAATGTTGTCCACTGAGCCCATCTATGTAAATAACAAAACTCTGAAATTTATAAAGACTTTTACTTTTTTGCACCAGCCTTGTTTATTTTGGTCAAATACAAAGGTAAGAGCAATCTGGACTGTTGTATCTGACACTTGCCTCTAATTCTGTGGATGCAAACACATCCTGTGCCTATTGTTAGCTATTTCCAGAGTTCCTGCTGACTCTCATGGCTGTTTCAGTGGGTCAGACTTTATTGTCTTTGCTTCGCTTTTATCCTGGAGGAGAATCTTGTTAGTCTGGAAGTCGCCCACAGTGTTGCCAGATTGGGCGGATATTGTTTAGGTTTGGTAGGAGAAAAGTGCCTTGGTGGGTGGATAAAATCTGAGCTGGTTTGTCATGATTTAGGTGGGTTTTTATTTATTACGCTTATTCTAGGATCTCACGCAATTAGAAACACAAATGAATAGCGCATTTTAAAATTTTACCCGTCCAATCCGGCAACACTGTGGGGGAACTTCTATATAAGGCTAGTGGTCAGTAATGTGATGCTGAAGTCAAGCTATCTTAACATGGCATTGGCAAACAAATGTAACTTTAGAAAGAAGTGATCATTCTAAAAATAGTGATCCATTATCCTTTATACCTTGTGTGCTAAATGCCACGCAGCTGGTATCAGTAAAACTAGGCCTAGTCTTGTTGTAAGCACTAGTTGGAGACCAGAGACTAAATTTAGCAAGACCAAAGGCCGAGGCCATGTCAAGTCCTAGACAACAGAAAACATGAGTCCTACAGATTTAGTTGGGAATTGAGGTTTGTGTCACACAGTCTTGACCGTGAATTTGTAGAAGTGGAACAGACACACACACACTTAGAAGTTACTCAAAACAGGAAAAGCGAGAAGTAGAGTAACGCAGATTCATTAAGTTCATGGACGAAGCAGAGGGTGAAGACCAGCTAGACCAGCTATTTGTGAGCATATGTGAAACTAGCAGAAGTCACATGTACCCCTTAAAAAATCACTGCTGGGGGATTTGCAACATGCTAAGTTCCTGATAAAAAAAAAAAGATTGTGTTTCAGGCCTGAGATTCAGATTTTAGGATTTACAGTATTAACTGCAAATGCTACAAATATTTATTAAATATCACTGAATCACACTGAATCACTTGAATCACTCCCTTCACCAACTGCTAGTTTGGGGGCGTGTCCAGACTTCAGTGTCCAAAGTGTATGTAGCTGTAGGCTAGTTCAGAACCCCAAAGCAGCTTCATACTGCCTTTTCTCCACCATTATATCTCCAGCATGTGCTTGACGGTTGAATCTCAGTGTGTATTGTGCCTGTGAGTATGACCCAGCCGCTAAACACATCACATATATTTGTATGCAAAAGTTTGAACACCCCTAGCAAATGACATGTACTGTAGATCTTCTAAGTGAAAATAAGTTAAGACATCCTCTACAGAGAACATACTTAAATACGGTGTTTTTTCTGCGTATTTTAGTGATTTGTATTTATTTTTTCATTTCTCCCCCTTTCACAATTTTGTCAAAATTTGGATATTCACATATTCTTATTCTGTGACAACTTCTAAACAATATGTGAGGGTTTTTTTTTTCAGTTGTTTGCATTTTTGGATTCAATCAGCACAAGAGGACCAATCAGGATCTGCTTCTTTGTCATGTCGCAGCTCTTCTCAGTGACTGCGGGAAAAGTTCATAAAACTTCATGAAACATGAAAACATGTTGCTGAAATTCTGCCTGTCCTCTTGCAGTTTTTTTTAAAAAAAAATAATTTTTTTAATTTTTTAAATTTAAGCCTTAAAGGTAATAAAATAGTGAACATTTAAATTAATGGGGTCTTAATTACAGTATAAACATTAATATTTTTCATTCATCCATCTTTTCTTTTTCTTCTTTCTCCCAAAATAAGACATTTTGGCTCATTAGAATCACATTTTTTGATATAACACAAAACCTCACACAGCCTTTAGACTAACCTGCTACACTGACCTGATGGGACAGTTTATTACTGTAACTGGTTGCAGTCTAACTAAAGGAACCTAAACTGATGATTTCTACCTAAAACTGACCTCATCACTGGACAAAATATTTAGCACTGATCTTTATACTTAATCTGCAATGCTTTTTGAATAAAAAACAGATGATTTGTCCTAAAACAAGGAAGAAATGTCATAATAAATAAATAATAAAAATAAATGTCATAGAAAGCATTCAATTTAACTTCCTGATACACGTAGACACTCTGTTACAGCACTAATTGTATGTTTTGAAAGAAATTAAACTGTTTGTGTTCCTTGGAAATCAAGTTCAAGTTCTGTCAGATAAAACCTCATTTTTCCAAGCGGAATGTGAGTTCTCAGGATTAGAAGGAAAGAAGTTCATTTACAGATTTGATAGGATTTTGATATTATACATTTAGAATAAATGTGGGGTGTCTGTCATTTTCATGTATAAAGAGACGTGTTCTGCATATCAGTTTAGCTATTTAGAATGCAAAATCCTTAAAGCTCAATATCTCTTCTTAACTGAAAAACGATTCTGCTTATTTTCAGTTGAAAATGGATCATTTCTGTCAATACAAAACAGAGTGGAGTTAATCATACCTGCATGCAAATATCTGTAAACCATCACTGCAGCTCCGATGGCCAAAACTGTAATGAAAACACTTGATATAACTGTTCCAGCGATTAGAGCCAAAGTGTTAAAGGGCTGAACCGGACCTAGAAAAAAAGAAAACAATTAAAATCAACGTCAAGCCACGTACTGTAATCACAGGAGAAAAAAGTCAATACAATCTATAAAGTGTTTTTCATTTTAACTAATCTGTTTTAAACTACTTAATACAAATATTATGTCTGAGGAAATTCATTACAAACACTACACATCACATAGTTCCTCATACAGGACTGTACACTGAGACAATGCTGTCACATGTGTTAGGAGAAGTGAATCCTGTGCAAATACAAAAAAGATTACAGTCCTATATGTGCAATAGACCCTCATGTGTGTTCGCACATTATTTTGTCGAGTCAAAAGTGCTCAAGCTTTAGTCAGTTATTCATAGTCAGTTTTTCCTGAGCTGCTCTAACTATGTGTCGTGCGCAGTTACAAACATTCCCCCACTTCTGCAGGCTGCAACACAGATCATATTCTAGGGTGGGGCGGGGCATTAATTGTTATAATTGTTATTGTGATGAATTTCTTCACAATAAAATACAATATGCTTTTCTGCACATATCATGCATGTCGTCAGTACAGAACACTAACAACTGCCTGTTTCATTATGAAGAGAACAAAATTAATCAAGTTTAACTGGATTTAGTACAACATAGTATGAGAAATATTATTGTTCAAATGTAGCAGTGCTGCTGTTCTTTTTTCTCTGTTCCAACTGACCAGACATCTGAAAAATAAATGTCGTGACATAGTGTATATCATGAAAATTTCATGATATACACTAACATGATATTATGTTTTTCCCATATCACCCACCTCTATTCTAGTGTTTATAGTAGTTGTAGGCCATCAAATAAAACAAACACTAAAGAACAAATCCAGATGTTTGTGGGGAAAAGGCTCTCACAATGAACAAAATGCCCAAAGTATGATTTATTTTCACATCTATATATATAAATTTAAGATTTTACAATTTGCCTGCTGAAAATTTCTCCCATGTTTGGCCTTTAGTGTGACTGCTTTTATTATCTTTAGCTGATTGAATTAAAAATCACATATTAAATAACAGTGAAACTTACTAAGTAATGAACTATTTTCCTTCCTGTTGTGAAATTTCTGACTCTAATCACACGTGCATTCCTGCTGGTGTGGGTTTCCTCGCACTCAAAGATGCAGAAAAACACTACTTAAGTGCTAATAGTGCCCTCTTGTGGGAATCTAAATTATTCAGGAGAAAATGAATTCTCTCTACATTTCACAAGAACATTAAAATACAAAACTTTAACATGCTACTTATTTTTTCACAGATTAAAGAGCTAACTTTTTGAGATTTTTTTTTATATAATTTTATGTAGCTTAAAAAAATGTAAGTGTCGCTTTTGCTACAACACACAACATTTATTACACTGGTGCTACATGCTCACTTTTTTCTATGTACATCATCTTTCATTAAAACCTTTTCAGTTTCCATGAAGTCCTGCTTCACAGCAGCTGTTTAGTATGGAACTAACAGCATTAGGACATGGACATATGCAATATATATCTGCGTTTAACAGCAAGTCAACCACGAAGCAGCTAGAATAATGCTAATGTTTAAGTTAAGACTAAACTGTAGCTTTATATGTACCAAAAATACATATTTAATCAAACATATTAGTTAACAACTGCTACTGTATAATGTAATTATTTCATTTAATACAAATGAAATAATTTGAGACAAAAAACTACGTCTGTTATATGATTTTGTTTATGCATCTGTAGTTCACGTCAGCTAGATAACACAAGCTTGTAAGAGGAGCAGTTTCATATGTGTGAAATTATTCAAATGAAACAACTAAATAATTAAATACAAAAATAAATGATGAGGAGAGAGCAGACAGAGAGGAAGCAGGAAGCAGAACAGAAAGACGACGTCTGCTGGTTGGACTAGTGTTCTGTCAAAAAAGACGCAACCATGCAGACAGTTCTGCTCACTTGCGAATGACTCGCAAGCATGTTGAGTTTTAACAGTGTTTACATTTCAAAAAAGCAGGGAAAATCTCATGATATGGGCCCTCTAACTTTGTTTTATGCCACTGCTGTATTACATTATCTGTAAATGAGCACCATGGAGGCCCCATGCAATTAAAGCAGAGCTGACGTGTCAAAGAAGTAATGCGTTCATAATCAGATTAAGAAGCTCCCACCTTCAACTCTCACGCTTACACTCTCGCTATACAGCTCAGAGAAAGACCTGTGCTGTATCTGACACTCGTACACAGTGACGTCACTCTTCAGTCTCTCCGCTTTCACAGTGATGCGGCTGCTGACGCTATACGTTCCGTCGCTGTTAGGAACCGGAACTCCAGTGCACACGTCCCACTGGGCCGACTCTGCGCCAGCTTCAGTCTTCCACGTCACTTTCAGTTGCTCTGGGTAGAACTTTGTGATGTCACACCGTAAGGTTTTCTCCTCTCCGGTCGTTATTGTGACTAATTCAGGCAGGGAAACCAAAGGCCGAGCTGCATTGAACAGGAAAAAAAAGATGAGGACAAGGCACAGCATCAATCAAACCAAAACCAGTGAGTTGCATACAAACCTACTGTACATAAAACACACAGAAGTATTAATAAAAACTGTTGTATTCACAGTTTTTGATAGTATTTTAAATGTAGCAGTGCTGCTGTTCTTTTATTCTAACTGATCAGATGTAAAAAAAATAAATATTGTGACCTATCATGTATCATGAAAATTCCTTGAAGTATCACAATATTATATTTTTTCCATATCGCCGCCCTCTATTTTAGTGTTTATGGTATGGTTGCAGTCCATCACATAATAAGAGCATCAGAGAACAAATGCTTGTGGGGGAAAAAGGGCCTCACGATGTACAAAATGCCCAGAAGTTGTTAGGTTTGGCTTATATGGGTGAATATATCATTCATTATAATTCATTTCCACATGACAATATCCATTTTGCACTCTCTAATTATCCTGTGGAATTGGGCTGTTTTTGTTACTGTGCCTTTAATACTGTAAATGTAAATGAGCTCTGTTCTGATTGGCTGTTGGCAAATGTACTGTTCATTTTGGATGTTTGGATCCTTTGAAGGCTGCAATCATACATTTGCTTCCCAACACTCCTTATCCCTTCTGCATGAATGAGCAGCCAAGAACATATGATGTCACAACCATGAATGAAAAACTTTGTGTCTGAATATAGACTGTGCACCTTAACACATTAATAACGTTTAGATCAAAGTACATCATCATGTTTCATTTATTTATTTATTTTCAAGAGTTTTCCATGATTTGAGTCTTTTAAATCATAATACTGAATAATAATGTGTGAAGAATTATGTGGCGAAAGCAGCAAGGAATTAATGCAGCAGCTTACCTGACAGTTTGAGGTGGACGGTCCGATCGTACTGGTCAGGCTGTATGATGACACCACATGAGTAAACTCCCTCATCGCTGATTGTTGTGTTCTCCAGATGTAGAGAGGCATCTCCTTTCAGGAGCCGGGCCTCGTCTACAGAAAATCCTCTGGTGCGTTTGGTCACAGCATCATTCTGACTGGCGAATAAAGTCTCAGAGACGCCGTTCTTGGACACTTTCCACCACACGTCAATGTTTTCTGCGTTTGCACTGGGGAGAGTGTAACTGCAGCCCAGAGTCACAGCTGTGCCGACTAAGCCATGCTGTGTGTCTACAGAGCTGTGCAGAGCAGCTCCTTGGAGAAGATACAGGCCAAAAAGCCATTTTCAGCAGTTCAGTTTCAGACCATCACAATAACCAAATAAGTGAATGCAATTTTAAAGGTTTACTTGGTTAACTATTTTTTTAACCAAAGGAATTTTCTTGGAGAATTATCTGTCATTTTTTGGAGCCATTACAACACAAAATTTGAGCTGTATAATTTTCCTCTGGTTAAAAAATTATTAATCAAAATAATTATGATAAGTAATTCAGAAAAAAAGGCCATGTCAAACATGGTATATATATTTTTCTAATTGAAATATAAACATATACATACATTTTATCATCTCCACTGACCATACAGGAGCACTTTGTAGTTCTACAGTTACAGACTGGAGTCCACCTGTTTCTCTGCATACTTTGATACCCCGTTCTTCAGTGGTCAGGACCCCCCACAGGACCCCCACAGAGCAGGTATTATTTGGGATGTGGATCATTCTCAGCAAGTGGACTCATTCTTGCACTGGTCTGAGTGGATCAGATACAGCAGTGCTGCTGGAGTTTTTAAACACCTCAGTGTGGCTAATGGACAGAGAGCCAAAGACATCCAGCCAACAATGTCCTGTGGGCAGCGTCTTGTGACCACTGATGAAGGACTAGAGGATGACCAACACGAACTGTGCAGCAGCAGATGAGCAATCGTCTCTGACTTTACATCTACAAGGTGGACCAACAAGGTAGGAGTGTCTAATAGAGCGGACAGTGAGTAGACAGTGTTTAAAAACTCCAGCAGCACTGCTGTGTCTGATCCACTCGCACCAGCACAACACATGCTCACACACCACCACCACGTCAGTGTCACTGCAGTGCTGAGAATGCACCGAAATAATACCTGCTCTGTGGGGGTCCTGTGGGGGGTCCTGACCTTTGAAGAACAAGGTAACAAAGTATGCAGAGAAACAGATGGACTATAGTCTGTAACTGTGGAACTACAAAGTGCTCCTATATGGTCAGTGGAGCTGATAACATGGACAATGAGTGTAGAAACTAGGAGGTGGTTTAAATGAAATGGCCAGTCAGCGTATGTATATACAACACCATTTCTAAAAAGTAGGAATGTAATTACGTTAAATTAAAAAAGGTTCTCCATACTCATATTAACAAAAATCATTCTTTAAAAAACATCCACTGAAATGTTCTTTAGGGAACCTAAACCGGTTCTTATATAGCACTGTGCAGTGAACTCTTTGGCAGCTTTATTTTTAAGGGTGTGCCTTTATGTTTGCTTACACTTAACACTCACGTCTTGATTCTCAGCTCTGCTCGACTTTTACACTTTTCACAACAAGAAGAAACTCGCACAGCCGTAACGAATGATGAGCTGAAAAATCCTCTTACCTGCAGAATGGAAGTGCATTAGGCTGAAATGCAGTAAGACTGTGAAAGCACACAATTGTCTGATTGTTGAACTGGTTCCTGCCATGTCTGAGACAAACAGCAGTGTCTCCAGGCACTTCCTCTGAGGTCAAACTCCACTCTTAACTGCTCTTAATCTCACTCAGCTCCTGGGCTTTGAACTTGGCTGTAAAGTGTTTCTGGCCTTCAACACTGACCTTACGTCATGTGATCCTGAGCATTTTATTTCACATGTAATGATTTCCACTGTGAAAATGCTTAAGTAATTGTACTTTGCTGCCATACCTTGTTATTATTTTGGAAAATTTGTGTGTTACTCGAGTATTATTGAAATCGAATACCTGCACATGCACATTGATCAAATCACCTCACCTCTCAATTGAAGCCCATATAACCAAACTGAAGCTCTTATTTTGAAAACAGAGCTCTGAGAAGAACCAGTTTACAGAAAAATACAGTTATGCTTAGGACAGTTGATGTTGAATAAGGACGAGGATGACCAGCAACAAGATAGAACAGAGGAATCATGAACTGGCCATTCAGAAACCTATAGACCAAAAAAGAAGACAGGATATTTTGGAGAATCACTATCCATACGGTCGCCAGGAGTCGAAATCAATGTGACAACACTTGATCATAACAATAATGCTGATTTAAAGGCCAAAATGTCCAGACACAATTGTCAAAATGGTGCTCTACCAAATGAGGAGCCGGCCACTCATAAACAGACTGACCAAAGACACACCCAGCCATTACATTTCACCGCTAATGTAGTCCTTAACCATTGAACAAGATCCCTCCCTCCCTCCGTCTGAAAGACCACATCCACAGTCAACATCCAAAAACAGTCCTTTATTTACAAAAACAAACACGTGAGAAAGTCAAAGTTGTCATCAGTGTTAATTCAACGATAACAGTATTACTGACATCCCGGACCATAAATGTGTGCATTCACATGGTTTCCTCTTATCCAACCATGGATCGCTTTCTTCCTCTCAGTCTAACTTCATCCAGTTTCTTAATGACAGCTGGGGCCTTTTTGGAGGAAGCAGTGTAGCTCTTCAGAAGTCTTTCAAACAGGGCTTCTGTATTGGGGTGTGTGCTGAGGAAAGCCTTCTCTAACACATACATGTCAACTCCTTTGTCCTCAGGTAAGGCAGAGATGTAACTCAAGCCAAAGTCAATTAAAACCAGTTTGCCATCTCTGCCCTCTTCACCTTTCACCAGCAGCATGTTGGAGGTGGTGAGGTCTCCGTGGACTACATCTTCGTCGTGCATCTTGGCCAGGATCTGACCGATCCTGTCAGCTAGGCCATGGAGCGCTTCTACACTCTGTCCAGATGCCTGAGCTGATGCGATGTGCTCCCTCACAGTGACAGAGTCAGTGATCTCCTCGAGGAAAATGCAGTTGGTGGTGTAGTCAACAAAGTAGACGACTGGCGCGTTGATACCTAAATAACAACAACAAAAAAAATCCATTACACAACACTGCATGTTATTAAATCATCCTGAATCACTGAATAGTTACTGAATACCCACCTCTTGACCAAAACACAAACGTACACACTGCTGCAGTTGCTAAACAGTAATTGAAAGGTTAAAAAAAATGGGGTGGAAAATGAGATGGTTCTGACTGACTCAGCATCTGATGTTAGCAGGCTAGTCTCACCCCTGTCCTGTTTTGCAGCACATGACTTCTGATGTACACAGGATACTGTACAGCAGTGGTCTCTAACCCTGGTCCTGGAGAGCGACCTTGCTGCACAACCTAGTCCAGGGGTTGGCAAAATGCAGCTCCGGATCCGCATGCGGCTCTTTTACTGCCCTGTTGTGGCTCTTTTACTGCCCTGTTGTGGCTCCACAGCAGAATTAGATTTTTAGGTAAAAATAAAATAATCCTCCTCTACAGCGTAATAAAGCTCTGCTGATCATTCAAAACAGTTTTAACACAATGGTTTTAAAAGCTGGAGTTAATGTATACCTGCTAATTCACCCTTTAACCCTGAAGGCTGGCACGCAGACTGGTGGTCACTATAGCAACACAGACAACAATCTCACCTAGCTAGCAGCTAACGAAAAAGCAAAGAGACAGATTTAAGACGAACATCGACAATTTGGAGAGGAACCGACTTATTTGCATTTATAATCACACCTGGTTTCCTGATATGAAACTGTCAAACACTAAAAAGTCACAAAGCTGAAGTCAGTTTCTCATTTGAATTTTCTCATTCCACCTTAAATGGTTCAGCAGTGACATTCTAGCGCTTCAGGCACCATTTAGGGTGCAACAGGAAAATGAAGCTGGTGAATGAAAAGCCAACTTCAGGCTCACCAAAAGTCGAATGTTGAGAGACAATTTACAAGAAACTGTTCTACTTTTGTGGAAAAGTTTCCTGCCGGAGATGTGAGAAAAGCGGCTATAGCTGAGCTAAAGCTTAAAGCACAGCAAAGTAAGTCAGAATTTTTGTTTATATTATTTAACCTATACTAGTACTTCAGCACATACTGAGACATTTTTACAGCCAAGATGGTAAAACATTACTTCAATAAATGGATATAAAATGTTGTGGCTTGATTTTTGTTGAAATGATAAAATGGTTGTTTGTAACATGTTCTTAACATTGGGTTGTCGACCCTTGACCTATATCCAACCAGTTTACCACACCTGTTCCAACTAATCAACCTATTCCCAAGTCCCTGATTAGCTGGACCAGATGAATGTGTTAGGTAAGGGGCGGGGCAGTTTAAGGGATATAGGTTGGAACTAAACTCTGCAGGAAGGTATCTCTCCAGGACCAGGGTTGGAGATAACTGCTGTATAATATACCATTGATAAAGAATAGTATACAGTACACAATACGCTATTTTGACCACAGCCTTAAGCTGCGTCCAAAATAGCACACTACTATATTACACTCAAGAATGGACTTGTGGTGCTCTGTCTGTGTGTAGCATCGAATCCAAAGCTTTTGATTCGACTCTTCATTCCCAAATGCTTGGAATCTGAGAATCGACTCCTTTTGGAGGTCGACTCCCAGCCCTTCTCGGGTGACTGGAGAAGCGAGTGACCAACTTACTAACTAACGAACCAACTAACTAACTCAGACACAGCTTAGTTGGTCTACTGACCCGCTTTTCTGCAGCGCAGGATGGACCGAACCTCCTGCGCGGTTCTGCGCCGAGTCAGTTTCTCATCGAGGGTGGGATGGCGGTACAGTTTCGGGAATCTCTCCTTAATGATCGTGGATTTGCCCAAAAACCTGCCGCGATAAACACGAGCTTCAGCGCCCTGTTTAATCAGAACTGTCTGCTGTAAAAACTGAGAGACGGCGGGTTTGTTATTGACAGGCTCCATGTGCGCCATGGCTGTTCGAGTTCAAGCCAGGAGGTAGCCCGTTGCGACTATTTTCAAAATAAAAGTCCCGCCTCTTCTTGGCCACTTACTTCTCAATAAAGATGCACTTTAGTCCATTTTCATTTCATCACTGTCTTGGTAGCCTTTGTGGCAGCCCTGCTTATCTGTGCGGAATTGTTCACGCTAGTGTTAGTAGTTTGTAGTGAAATGCCCTAGAGTGTTAAGGCAGACTTTTTATTAATGGCCAAGTTCATTTAAAGGTTTTTTTTTTTTCAAAGTAAAAGTTTTCTCGGTTCACATGCACCAAGTAGTTATCCATCAAAAAGGTTTGTCTAAGCAAAGACATTGTTTATAAATATTAACTAATTTAAAGATCGTATTGTATTGACATTAACTGGTGCCATATAAATGTAGAAGGGTTGTGCTAATGTAGGGTAGCTTAATTGAGGCTTAAATGCACACGTGGGGAAATGTCTAAAAGACGATTTCTGTGACCGTCTTTGGACTATTCTATTGATATCACTGAATGCAAATAAAATTTGAAGCTTAACACTTTTGAACTGTCTGTTTTTTTTCTTTTTTTTGTGACCGCAAAATCAATCACCTGTAAATTTCCTTGTAATCCATGTTAAAGGAGAATTCCACTACTTTTTCAAAATTTGAACAAAGTCATCTAGAGTGGTTTGCTGTGAAATTTCACAGACTCTAATTTCTTTACAAATATAGCCATTTTATTTCCAATTCTATAACCAAAATGACCTCTTCTGAGTTTTCATATGTAATGTTGATAATATTTATAATGTTCATTAAATAGTGGTAAATCTAAGAGTGTTCTTTGTGTACATCTCTGCCATGAATGCATTTTTAAAAGATATATATTTTAGACCAAAACTATCTTAAGTAACTCGTAAAGTCTCAGGCATCTGGCAGCGAATTCATAACTAGTTCATAGAATAACTCTGTGAGGAATCTTTTGAAGGCATTAAACTCTTCAGACGTCTGGTTCCTATCATTGCGAACAATTCTGTCTCTCTAGAACGGAGAACTTCATATCAAACCACTCTGAATGACTTTGTTAACATCTTAACGATTTAATTATGCAGAAATTTTGAAAAATCAGCGGAATTCCCCTTTCATTCTTTGTTTGATGTAGCGTTATTTTTTCGCCACCCGTATTCCGACAAGCCCCGCCCTTCCATGCTATGATTGGCTAGTAGTTCATACTCGCAAGCCATTCGCCCGTGACTGTGAACTAGTGGCCAATCCTGGCGCGGGAGGGCGGGTGTTGTCGGAATAGAGGTGGGAACATAAATAAATCTTTGGAGTCTTCTGCCACGTAGCTGAAACTTCCTTGTCGGGTCGTAGAGCCCCTCAGAGGAGAGAAAAAGGTCAGAAACAGTCGTGGACATCTTGAAGGAAGCAACACAAAGCAGTGGTAATTACTGATCACAGTTTCACATAGAAAAAAGTTTACTTTTTCTGCGGCAGATGGGAAATGCAGGCTGCAGTTTTCTTCCAGAAACTTTTTGGATGCTCGGCCTGGAGGCGTTCCGGCTTGATGATGAAACACGACCAAGTTCATGATCAGGGCAGCTTCCAGAGCACTTCAACTCTCCACTCCAGCACAAAATACCCCCACTGATTTCTTTTACAACAGACCAGACCATCCAGCCCAAACAGCTGAATCTGTTTCTGGTTAAAAAGTTGTAAAGCTTTGCACAGTTTGTAAGCCGTAGGTTTGATATGGGAGCGAGCTGCGCCTGCTGAGGGCTATTTATGGATAATTAGGACATAGACAGGCAACCTCGAGTGGGCTCATCACAAACGAGGAGCATCAACAAGGTGGTTGCCATGGTTACGCGGCTGCAGTGACGACCCTCCGGACTGAAGGGGCTTCAGAGCAGTTTTGGGGGTATATTCTGAACACAAGAAATATTAACAAGACGTTTCATTTTTGTTAGCTGGGTCCTGCAGTACCTTCTACTGTTTTGCTTTGCTTTGCAGGCCTCCTGAGAAGAAGGCTGTTGCATGTTAGTGGACGATGATGCAGCTTTGAAGATCCTCAAAGGAAAAATGGGTAGGTCCTCGTGTAGTTATGCAGCTTGATGTTAGAAACTATTAGGCAAATCTGTTATCCTGTTCTTTTTGGTTCATGCTGTTTGAGAACGAACCTAGCACCCTAAACAGAACATCTGCATGGCATGGTTTTGAACCCAACTATTGTGGCCAGGTGCAGCTTCTGCCCTGCAGGGCTTTTACCTGAATCAGACACACCTGGGTCAATAATGAGGTCTTCAGGAGCTTTAGAGCCAGGTGTGATACCACTCTGCAGGGTGGCTTTATTCCAGAAACAGGGTCTGCCATGCCTGTTTTATGTGTGCATACATTAAACTCGGGTGTTAAAGGAGAATTACATAATGTTTTCGAAATTTCTGCATAAGTAAAGTGCTAAGATGTAAAGTCATTCAGACTGGTTTGGACTTGTACTTTTTATAATAGCTGCAAACAATTAACAAAAAAATGACAATTAAATTGTTAATCACAGTTATTTACATGGCAGTTCTTTCTCAGGATTGCTGCAGGCCATTGTAAGCACATGATTAAAATGAAATTCCATTGATATTTGAACATCATTTTGCCTCACAACACCCTGCATATCTCACTCCATTATGGATGCATTTAAAGAAATATTTTAGGCCAAAAACATATTTACAAACTACTGTAAAACAGTGTCTCAGGCATCACACAATGTATGTTTGACCATTTCATGTAATAACTTTCTGTGAGGGAGCTTTTAGAGGTGGACGTCTGGTTCCTATCACCACCACTGTGAACAATTCTGACTAAGTTTCACTAGAACAGAGCATTTCACATCAAACCAATCTGAATGGCTCTGTTTACATCTTGACTTAATTGTGCAAAAATTCAGAAAAATCAGTGCAATTCCACTTTAAGGACTATAGGGCAGTGACCTCTAACTCCATTTCCATAAGAAGTGTTTGAAACTTTACCGAATAACTAAAGTTAATAACTTTTCCCAGGCTGCCCTATTCTGGTCCTTCCCACTGCGGTCTCCACTCTCGGCGGCCTGGTGTTCGGCTATGAGCTTGGGATAATCTCCGGTGCCTTGATGCAGCTCCAAGCCCAGTTCCATCTGACCTGTGTCCAGCAGGAGACTGTGGTCAGCGCTCTTCTCATTGGGGCTGTCTTTGCTTCTGTGATCGGCGGTTGGCTGATCGACCACCACGGCAGGAGGACTTCCATACTGCTCAGCAATCTTCTCATCCTCGGAGGCAGCCTGATCCTCAGCTCTAGCAGCTCCTTCATGATGCTAGTCGTTGGCCGGCTCTTGGTGGGCTTCGCCATGTCCATATCTTCGATGTCCTGCTGCATCTTTGTGTCTGAGATGGTTCCCTCGAACCGCAGAGGTCTGATGGTCACCCTGTACGAAGCTGGCGTCACCGTTGGGATCTTGGTGGCTTATGCGGTCAACTATATACTCTCTGGTGCCCAGGATGGATGGAGATACATGTTTGGGTTTGCCATTGCGCCGTGCCTTGCGCAACTAGCCTCTGTCTGGGTTCTGCCATCACGGCATGTGAGTCTGGTTCAACTTATACCAGAGAGTCAAAGCTGCAGTGATGGTGCTGAAGAAGGGGCTTCAAGCCAAGAGCAAACAGAGAAAAAGCGATACACCATCCTGCATCTCTTTCAGCGAGAAGATAACATGCGCACAAGGATGATGATTGGTCTCGGGCTCGTGCTCTTCCAGCAGTTCACAGGTCAGCCAAACGTGCTATTCTACGCCTCCACCATCTTCCGCTCTGTGGGATTCAGGGATTATGCCTCGGCTGTGCTGGCCTCAGTCGGCCTTGGGATTGTTAAAGTCATTTCGACCTCAGTGGCGATGCTCTGTGCAGACAAGGCCGGCCGGAGGCTGCTTCTGATCAGCGGCTGCTCTGTGATGGCTTTAGGTTTGATATTTATTGGATTTTTGAGCAGGAATTCTCTGTTTGACACAAGACACTGTAGCTCTGAGATGCATCCAAATGACACCATATTACCTGAAAACCTCACTGAACTGGTGAAGATTACAAATGATACCAGTGATGCTGGAGCTCCTCGCGCTGTGGGGAATTTCAACTGGCTTATTTTGATCTGCATGATGTCAGTCGTCAGTGCCTTTTCTGTCGGGTTTGGGCCAAGTAAGTGGAATTTCACTTCTAAAAAGAAGATATTCATGGCATAGGGGAGAGCAGGGCACAGTACAATTTAGTTTTGTTGCTCATTTTAATAAAAAAAAAAAAATGAGCAAAATTAATAATTTGCTTCTACAAGCAAGCTACACATTTCTGCTACAAACGGAACCAAACTTTAAGCATCTACCATTTATTTCACGACCATGAAATTTGAACCGAATTGTCTTATAAAAACATGAATAATGACTTGTTCATTTTATGCGACTAAAGGAGCTAAATCGACTGATTAGCTATCTTGTCTGTACTTTGTAGCTAACATAAGATCTGACATGAGATGAAAATGTGACTGAATACACTTGTTCTGCAAGCACAGAGTCAACATTGGCTATCTAGCAAACAAAAAAGTCTTATAGCACTCAGTAAAAAAACATGCTCCTGGTTCTGTGTGTGATACAGTATTAATAAGCTAAGTTCAGCTGACGTTAACCACACAGATCAATCCAGAAATTTTTGTCTTTGGAAATGTGTGGAAAGCAGCATCTAATGGTGTAATATGGTGAGATGTTAGATTCCTTCTTATGTTCTCTTCGAACACTGGTTGTCGCTGTAGTTACTTATGCTGTACTTACTAATGCTGTAGTTGGTGTTTTATCATGTTGGTCCATGTGTCCCATTTTAACTGTGAGCACCTGCCCCTCTGAGGGTCCCTGCATGGCCTTGCATGAAAGTACGATGGTTATAATGAACATCTAATCACTTAAAACGTGTGAACGAATCACCAAAGAAGGAAAATGAAATTATATCACCTAAATATATAGTGAGTACACATTTGTATCTGTGAAAAAGTAACACTGTAATCACAGCCACCAGAGTTACATCCAACTAGGCCTAAATTTAGCAGGATAAACACGAAATACTGCGTCGTGACACTGACCCCTGGATCAAGAATGCTGAGATTATCTGTAAATGAAACTGTTATTAGAACCCAAAACGAGCTTCCAATCATTAGCAATACACAAATTATCCAGTTATAAATTTACATAATTTAGACAGTTTATGGTAGTCAGTGTTGTTAGCTTTTAATTTCACAGTACATAAGCTAGCAAGACGGGGAGCCCCAAAAACTCCTGCTTAGGGCCCCCGGAAGGCTAGAGCAGGCCCTGATGGAAAATATTTGCTGTCAGCCTAAATAATTGTGATTATCTCCAATAATTGTGATCAGGAGGTTCTGTAATAATTGTGACGGGCCTAGTTCAGCCAAAAGTGGAGCGAGCACAAACGTAACACCCCGTAGGAGGGTTAATTGTAACTGATTAAGGGTTGAGCTGTAACAGTCCATTAAAAATCACTTTTCTAATTAAATAACACAATAATAATCAAATAAAGTGCTACACTGAAAATTCCAACAAGGAGCTTAAAATAATATATGTGTAAATTAGTCAAAATACATTCATGTTATAAGAACAGCCTTTACGGCCAAGGTTGTATCTTATATCTTTGACTGCTGTGAAACTTCAAAGGTGAGGATTCTATATGAACGAGAAAATGACCAAAAACATGTTCTACGTGTTGCATTTTGACCATTAGTGTCGCTGTTAATGTGACCTACAGTGACCTGGCTGGTCCTGAGTGAAATATTCCCCGCGGACATGAGGGGACGAGCCTTTGCGTTCACCAACTGCTTCAACTGGGTGGCCAACCTGATAGTAACCTTCTCTTTTCTGAGTGTAATAGGTAAGTCTGCAATGTTCTAAAGACAGCAAAAACACTTATTCACACTATGCTCTCTGTACTTTGAGAGTCCAGTGGCTGATTTTAAAGGTCGATTCTTTCTAATTTGGTCTCACAGATGTGATCGGCCTTTCTGGAGTGTTCTTTATTTATGGAGTGATTGCAGTGGCAGCTGTTGTTTTCATCTATTTTCTGCTACCAGAAACCAAAGGAAAATCTCTCCACGACATCGACAAGGAGCTCTGTGAAAGACGGTTAGATGAAATTTGCATTTTTTTTACACTAATTTCACATTTCAGTTCTGGAAAAGTATGTATTTGTGCTTTTAATCTAAATATTTCTAATATTGTAGACAAATCAAAGAGCACTTAGTGTATGAGAACAAACTGCTGCTAGAGAGATGTTCTAGATTTGAATGAGATTTGTCTGATCCTGAACTACTAAACAACATACATATGTGCATCATCAGGAGGAAGCAAATGCTTAAGGGGAATTTCACCAATTTTTCAAAATTTTGCATAAAATTGTAAACATATAAAGTCATTTACAATGGTTTGATTTGAAACTGTTTATTGTATATAAAAAGGTTCTATACAGAACCATCCACAGCACGTTCTCCATCCATCTGAAGAATGCTTTAACCAAGCAAAGAACCCTTTAATCATGCAGAGTTCTACATAGAACTGTTTTCTTTTCTTAAAACAGATGGTTCTTTAGTATGTACCGTAAAACAGTGTCTCAGACATCAGGCAGGGTATTCATAAGCGCTTCATATAGAAAGGAGCGTTTCACACCAAACCACTCTGAATGACAGTTTACATCTTAACCATTTAATTATGGAGGAACTTTGAAAAAAAGTCTTCTTTAAAAGGGACACTCCAGCCAAAAAGAAAAATTTAACCATCACTAAATCTGCTGTAAACGTGCTGGCCCGGCCTGCAGTGCTGCAGCGAGTCTCTACTGTGAGATTTTCTGGTTTAAAGATGAGGAAAACCTCCTGATGATGCATCTTGAAGGTGTGGGGAGATTTTCAAAAACACTGTGAGGGCTCCCGAGCAACAGTGTAAATGACTGCCCTACTGTCAGGAGATCGCGAGTCAGATCTCCCTGGTGATTCCACAGCCTTCTATGATGCTAGCTAGCAAATGATTTGTCAGTAAAGAGCTGCTACAAGCTAAAGTTATCATAGTAGCTTGCAATCTAGATACCTTACCTCAGTTTGGGTTTCTTTTCTTGGGCCAAAAGCATAGAAGACTTGTCTCTCATTCATTTGTGCCTGTGCTCTTAAAGATGGTTCTTCAAGGGTTATTTAGGAAGGTCAGTAGTACTATATAGAACCATGAACACTCAAAGAACACTTTGTGTGATTGAAGGGTTCTTAGCATTGTAAAAAGGTTGTTGTAGATGGTTCTATACAGAACCTTTTTGAAAAAGGTAGCACCAAAAAGCGTTCTGTTTTTATGATACAAGCTTCTAACAATAGTAGAACCTTTTTGGTGCCATTTACAGCACGTTCTCCATCAATCTTAAGAACAGTTTCAAGATGCAAAGAACCGAGTCTAAATTGTTCACCATTATAGTACTAAGAACCAGACATCTGTATGTCTACACTACAAATATCATCATGGTTATCTGCTATCCAAAATGACCAGTGAACTTACATGTACAGGTTTCATACATCATATTGACAATGGTAAAATAGTGCTAAATTTGAAAAATACGTTTTTGGGTACTACTTTTCCTTACAGTGTCCTGTATGTACTTCTCCGCCCTGCGCACCTTTTGTGTTGTTTGGGTTGGTGGCGTTGCATCACAGTGTCAGCAAAACTCGTAGCTTATGTGAGTATTTATCAGAGGAGCTGCGATAGATCACAGCTGCACCTCGCTGTCCTGCCCCATAAACTGGTAAGATGAGTAGCAAGTAGTTTGTTGCTGGCACCGTCAATTTCCATTCGCCCTGGATTTTTCAGTCTCTGTCTCTCTCGCCAGTCATTTGCATAATCTGGTTTAAATTGATATGGCTCTACGACATTCTGGAAACAGACCTTGTCGAAGTCCTCTACATACTTTGCAATCTTCCAAAAATAGGTAAGAAAACTGAAAACAAAAGCTACTGCAGGTGAACAGCTGTAGCTACAGGAATTTCGGGTATCAAGCAAAGTATTTATAACCATTTTGTGCAATAACTTAATGGGATGTAGTTTAGAGTTAAATGCTTCTGATGTCTGGTTCCTAGTACTATAATGATGAACAATTTTAACTCCTAAACTAAATTTGTCTGCAAAGGCGCATTACACACTGAACCCCTCTGAATGATTTTGTTTCCATCTAAACCATTGAATGATTAAGTAATTTTGCAAAATTGGTGGAGTTCCCCTTTAATGCGTTTAAAGTTGGGAAAGTTTTTAAGTTTGGAAATTGCCTCACATGCTTTTCTTGCAGGTATTAACAAATAGAAAATGACTTCCGCCATGAATGAGCGCATTTACATGCACTCAGTCCAATCCTAATCAGATTTCTGCAGTTATCTGATTATTGAAATGGTCATGTAAATAGCGCACACTAATTTCTTAGATCAGAGTAAGGTCTAGAAATCTGATTAAGAAATCTGATAAAGAGAACAGGATTCAGCTCTGTAATCAGATTTCTCAGTGCATGTGAATTCTTACTCTGATTTCTTTCGGATTTCTCAGTCTGCGCATGTGCGAAAACAGACGGCGGTACTGGAAATAAGCAAGCAGTGTTGCAGCAAGAAAAACACTTTAGGAGCGACACTGCAACTAAATACATGCTTGACAAAATGAAGGATTTAAATATTTTTAATCTTCTAGATGATGTATGTTCATATTTTAAAGTAAAGTGACTTTTTAAAAATGTTAAATGTAGCAGCATCATGAAGTTTGAGTATTATGTTATGTCATGTCTTCTTCACATCTTGGAGCTCCCCCATTATCTGATTACTCAAGTGCATGTAAACGCTTTATTCGGATTACTGAGAAAATCAGATTTTCTGCAGTCATCAGATTATTAAGTGCATGTAAACGCACTCATTGACTGCTTCTTCTTCCAGATTTCCTCACAGAGAGGAGTTCTGCAGAATCTTCAGAAGATGCCGCTCACCTGGCTATCAAAGAGTGTCCTGGGGAAATTCATCATTATGATATTCAAAAATTGTGCACATCAGTGTGGCCACTTAATCCACCAGCGAAGATCTGGACCTTTACTGTAACAGTAATAACTTTGAAAATATCAACATGTTGCATTAAATCACTTTTTTCACATTGCTTCATTTAGGACATTTGCTCTGCACCGTGTTATTTATTGCATCTGCACACACTATTAAAGAAAATGTCAAGTAATTCCTGCATATCTCATTCAAAGAGGCTGGGCTTAGACAGGTTCCTGTAATGCACAGCTTCTGAAATGGTTGTCCATAGTAAATGTTCCTGGAGTTTGCAACATTGCTGGATTGATTAGCTTTGGAGGGATGGTGTTTACCTTTGACAGTATAAAGAAAATGGAGTCACATCAATGTGGGTGCCACCGTTGATTGATATACGAAAAATTCAAATGATAAAAAGCCTTCTCTAATAAATAAATAAATAAATAAAAATAAATAAATAAAAACCACACTCCCCCAATCATATCTCCAGAGCCGTGGTTTCACGCCGGCAGTTTCACTCCAGCAGGTTCAAGCCAGCGGCATTCAGCGCATGCGCCGACACGTGCTTTGTTTTTTTTTCTTAGCGAATTTTAGGCTAATCAGCATTTAAATCGTTTTAGGTGGGTTTCTAATAAATTTGTGATCATTTGCGTTGGGCTAATGTTATATTTTAAGCTTTAGAGCAAAACAGTGTGGTTTCTGAACATCCCTGCTGAAAAAAAAAACAGAAACCATGAAGTGTTTCTTTTGGTTTCTGATGGTTTTGTAATGTGTTTTGGCTTTTTAAATGGGTTCATATCACAATGTAAAGGATCCCTATGGATCCTGGTTTAACCGGCTACCAATAGCTTATTCCAGATGCATTTTACGGTTTCCTAACGGGATCTAAAGGTGTTCTAGAGGAAACTATTGGTCTCTATTGGAAACCACGAAGCCACCTCCTATTAGAAAGTAAAACCATTCTTAATGGCTTCTAATGGCCCCTTTTCAGCAGGATAGACATTAACTGTGTAAATATAAAACTACAGTTTATGCGGCCTGGGTAAGCTAATGGGTTATGTACATAGGTGTATATATCTATGGTTATGCAGAGACCCCATAATCGGACACGAGTATAGTGATCTACGGAATGAAATGGGCGACATCACTTGTATATTCGTAACGATATCCCGTCTTTAATGGTAATATGCATGGCGACATATACAACCAGCACAAACATCAGAGACGTTATAAATAAGGAGACCTGCCACTGGTTGAAATATGAATTGGAACGCTCAACTTCCCTATAAGGACTTTGTTTACATGGCACAATCCCGCTGTTCTATTGCGCATGCGTTCAACTGGCCTGAAACCGCCGGAGTAAATCTGCGGCTCTGCTGTCAGACCTCTCTCACACTACCAGCCGCTCGGAAAGACAGAAAATGATGTACACTTGCGATAAATAAAACACGTTTATTTACACAAATATCCTGAAATACTACTCATCTACATTAGGACATACACATATGTACAACCATGTTTGAGACTCATATTTGACTTTTCAGGAGGACGCATGTGTTCTACCAGGTCGAAACAGCTCGCGATGGGGAAATGCATTTACATATAAGTTACTCATAGTAGGGATGTACATCGGTATTGGAATAAACAAATATCCATGATGAGTATTCATATTCACTGTGCTAATTTCAAAAATATTATTTAGCTATGATAAATCTGAATTAAAACAGGTCACAAGGTGAGAGCGCCTCTAAGGTGGGTGAACTGTTGCAGTATGTCAAGACAAGACAAAGACAGATTTTCTGTTATAAAAGATTACGACAGATAACGCTTTATCGTCATCGGGCGCGTGCGTAACCTTTGACCTGAACACAGAGCAACAGAGGCAGCTTTCAGGCCGTTAAAGGCCAACCATGCTAACATGCTAACGAGGCTAAGTATCAAGTTATATTCCATTCACTGTTAGCCACATTAGCATTTTCACTGAACTACTCTAAGTCCAGAGCACCGACCCAACGTTGTCCAACACTAACAAAACATCAGTGTTAGGTTGGTGTGCCCTACCTGTGCGACTGTTAGTCTTTAACATATTCTTCTTCATTCACACCGTTCTAGATTGCTTTTTTCCCCATTTATGCTGTTCTAAAATGTCTTGCAGCGTTCTCAAAGTAGTCTTGAATATTATCCTCTCATTTACACTGTGCTAGATTGGCCCCCTCCCACCATTCACAATTTTCTAGAATGTTCTGCCTCAGTGTTTCTAGAATATTTTGCCCCAATCCTACTGTACTTAGCACCACACTGTTCTAGAATGTTCTCCATACTCATACTATTCTAGAACATTTTCCTCCCCTGTTCTGGAATAGAATATTACCTATAGAATGTTCTCCCTTACACTGTTCTAGAATATTCAGGCCCAATCCTACTGCGCTAGAGCATTTTCTTCCCCATTCACACTGTTCTAGAATATTTAGGCCCAATCCTACTGCGCTAGAGCATTTTCTTCCCCATTCACACTGTTCTAGAATGTTCTCCCTCACCCACACTGTTCAAGAGTGTTAAGCCCCAAAGCAACTGCACTAGAGCATTTGATTCCTCATTCACATTGTTCTAGAACATTTCCCCATCCACACTAGAATGCCCCAAACCTACTGCACTAGAGCATCTTATTCCACATCCACACTAGAATGTTCTGGCCCAATGCTGTTGTAGAGCATTTTCCTCCCCGTCAACACTGTTGTCAACTCTTCTACACAGTTTTGGAACTTTGCCCCCCACCACTCACACTGTGCTAGATTTTTCTCCTCTGTTCATAGTTTTACCGTTCATGTTGTTCTAGAAAGTTATCCTTTGTTTCTACAATGCTAGAATGTTCTTGCTCATTCATACTGTTCTAGAAATGTTCTCCCCCATCGTCTCTGGTTCTGGAACATAAAGCTGCCTGCTGTCAATAGAATGATTTTGTTTGTTGGGAAGTGTTGGCATGCACTAGTTCTTTTGTGATCCCCTTGTGGTGGTGTGGTTGATCTGCTTAGGAATTTTTGTGTTGAGTTCAGAGGCGTTTGGCCCAGAGAACCTGCTACTACTACTACTACTACATCTTTTAGAACAGCCGTCATGCAGAATTTTCTCAATGCAAGGCACCATGTAGAGGCCTGAATGGCTGCTACGTGGCTTAGCAGTGGGATAGAGAGACCTGGTTGTCTTTTTCTCCCAACAAGAATGCAGCCACTTCTAAAGGCCCCCTAACCGTGGACGTGTGGCATCACTTCACTGGTAGGCAGCGCGTTTACTGTGTGCTGGGTGTGGAACCACAGGCTAATCCTACAGCGCATCACTCCATAAGAACTGTTACTGACTGTGGTGGAAACAATAGTGAAAAGCTTTAGAGAAAATCCACTTGAACAGAAGCAAAAATACTAATCCAAGGTGTGGAAAGAGTACAGAAAAGCTGTACCAACGCAGAAGTAACCTTACTGCTGGAAAATATATTCATCCAAAGATTTACTAAAAAAAATAAATAAATAAAACCAAAATTATTCAGATCTTCAAGCCAACATTACTTTGCAATATATCTGGACTGTAAGTGTCCATTGTTCACTGATGGATCTTAAACTGAAAGGAGATAAAATCAGCAAACTAACTCTGGATATGCAGCTCATCAATAGCCAAGTTATGCAGTCTGATGCACCATCAGAGCCCAGTGCAACGTTAACAGTAACTGGACAAAAAATGAGTAAAGCAGTGGAATAAAAATGGAATTTGGTTCAAATATTACTCAAGTAAAAGCACTGCCATCTAAAAATACTCAAATGTACAACTTCTGGAAAAAAATCAATTCAAGCACCGTACAGATAAATTTGTTACTTTCCACCACTCATCAGTGAGGATGCAACATGCAAGAAGAACTTTATGCTCACTGAACGTTATTTTTTGTTTTAAAATGATAACGAACTGAAATAGGATGAAAGGTACTTTAATTACAGATAACATTTTTATTCTTGGTGTTAAAAAAACTACAGTACTGTGCAACAGTTTTAGTCCCTTGAGAAATTTAGAATTAAAAATCTTTATCTATGAACACGTTTATTTGCTCAGAGAAACACAAATTAACATAAATAATATGTGAATATAATATATAAGTAGAAATTTTATGTATGTCAATGTGTTCATTTAACCATTTCCAAACCTATCCTTGAAGAATTATTAGTCATGATCCTATATCTACTTAGGGTAATCAATACTTCATTAAATTAAATCGTGATGCTGATTCAATGAATGAAGCTCACATGGGATCAAGTATTTTTTTTTTTTATTAGAATTTCTATATACAGAAATGCACCTACTACCAAGATAAATGGTTTTAAACCATGTACTTGGGTGCCTCAGACTTTTGCACAGTACTGTATGTGCTGAAATGTAGGGCTGGCCAGAATTATTCTTTTGTTATGTTATTTTTTTCTCTATTTAGTGTTCAGAAGGGTCTTTTTTAAGCCACAAAAAATTGTAGCCTGAAATAAATTTAACCATTAAAGGCCTTCAGATCAAACAGGTATTGCCAATATGTGGAAAACGCATAAAAATAAAAAATCTGTGTCACAGCGCAACAAACTGCACTGCTTCCCATGCAGCCACTGATGCTAAAAGAGCACTTTAAATTACTGGAGGATAAGAAAAACGCCTGGTGCAATAGCTATAAGAGGTTTATCATCTCAAATGTAAGTTTACTGAATTTTACCCAGATACTAGCTGGTAGGTATGAAACACGACTTTCTGTTAAGGGCGATTTTCAGAACTAGTATTTAAGTACTTGATTAAAAGCACTACGTCTGTCAAATGCTATTCAGGCCAGGCCTGCTGAAAAGTATAGCCGGGTGGTCAATACGACCTCATTGCTTAATTGTCCTGATGCATCCCAAATAACAATGAAAGCCCATTTAATCAACAGAGTCTCACAGCAGAGACAAAACCAGCTGCACAGCTTCTGTCATTGTCTCCTGTTTGTTTATTTGTTGCAGTCCATGTAATTCAAACTTTTTGTAACAGCCAGGACCATCAAATGAACAAGAACTGGCAACATATTGTCTGACGACACACACAGTAAGAGACTGATGCAGAAAATGTGCACGGTACTCTTCCTGCAATCACAAGCAGTCGCTGGAGACACATGAGCTACATTCACACTGCAGGTAAACGTGGCCCAAATTTGATCTCGGATCTCACAGATTTGTTTTTTTATTACTGTTTACACTGTTGCCCATAACACTGAATCTGAGAGTTTCAGTTCAGATTCAATCCTCTTTCATATGTGGAGCTGAATCCAGCAATGTGAACTCTGACCAGTCAGACTGGACATAATCACGTTTTCACATCAATCCAACTTAATACGCATCATATTTTCACACTGCGGACAGCAAAACAAAAACTCGCATTTGGGCCACTTTCACCTGCAGTCCGAACATGGCCATGGAGATGCCAGGTGTAAACATCTCACTGTGCACTTATGATCAAATAACTTAAAACAGATTTTAACACCAGGTGTGAACAGGGTATTTTATGCTATATCACTTGCCATAATGTTCTAGAATAATATTTGCATTATTCAACTGTTTTAAATTTGCAAATATCCTCATAATAGCCCCACTGTTATTCTACAAACTGCTGAACTGCAGCCTCAAATCTATTTTAACCAGCTTGAACATCAGAAGCTTTCGCTTCATGAGAAAAAATATATTTATGAACGCTTCATGTGTTTTCTCCACAAACAACAAGTGAAAACTCAAAAGGACCTTGTGTTATTGGGTGTGGAAGATGTTTAGGAGATTCTACTACTTCTGCTTTACTAAACAGGTGCTGTTTAACCTACTAGAACGACCAAGTTTGGAGCAGCAGACATCTTAAATAAAAAAGAATGTCAAAAAGAAACAGAAAGAGTTAAGACAGAATATTGCCATATTAAATGGATATCCACAGTGTGTACTCCATATTAAATGGATTTTGACTTCTAGCACTCCGAAAGATTAAAGAGGATTTCCACAGATTCTCCAAACTTTCTGCATTTAATAACCGAGATGTAAACAAAGTAATTTAGGAGTTTGATATGGTTTGAAATGTTTCATTGTAGAGAAACTTACCGACTCAGATTTAACTGCTTTACACTGTGTTGACCAAAGAAATGGACCAACAGTTTACCTTTTGTAATCCTTGTTTCAGGTGGGTTTTTACCAGTTGTGATTCTTAAATAAAACATATTACTTTGAAGAGTCAATTAACTGACTTGTTTAACTGACTTCTGTGTTGTTTTCTAGAAACTGCAATGACAATATCTAAAATGACCAGTGTACCAATACGTCTGGGTTTTTATATTATATATATGTTAATGATGGTCAATTAAAAAGTGGTTAATCCTAATGTTAAAAGTACTATTAATCTGAAACTGACAAACCTCTGGGGACTATTTTGCCGTACAGCACCCTACATGTATTTCTTTGCCATTACACACAATTTAGGCCAAAACCTTCTGAAAAGCTATTGTAAAACAATGTGACAAGCGTTAGACAATGTAGTATTAACCATTCAGTGTTTTTGAGGGAGCTTTTGGAGGCATTAAACTCTTCAGACATTTCATCACAACCACTGTAAACAACGCTGAATCAGTAAGTTTCACACATTTCAGATCAAACCACTCTGAATGACTGTCATTTTAATGATTTAATGATGCAGGAATTTTGAAAAATTGGTGGAATTCCCCTTCCACATGTTGCAGTATCAAAATGTATGTCTTCCACCTAAAATACTGCTGCGTGTTAAGGTCATGAGTTGAGTGTTGTAACATACAACACAAACTGCAGCGATACAGCACCAGTACATTTAAAACTCTATGGCCACAGTTGTTGAAAGGCGGTATGAATGCTGATCTGGGATCAGTTTGTCTTTGTCTTGCCTACTATGACTGAGCTATTGACGATTATATTAACACAAAGACACCAACGCTATTTTACTGAGACGTCTGAGCTGAAGTCTCAGTGGCTGAACGTCAAGTTATTTTGCAGTGTGCTCCTTCTTTTGGTCCAAAGCGCTCCATCCCTTCCTAAAGTAAAAGCTAATCATGTTCGTGCTCGTTGGCTGTAGGTCATGAAGGGAAAATGTGCTTAACATCATCATCATCATAATTATTACTATCAGGGTGTCTAACGTTTCTTGAACAATGAGTAAAGTCTCACGCTTACACTCCAGCCACAACAACGGAATACCTGTAGGCATCACGCACGCACAGGCACGCACAAAGTAGTCCGAACGGTTCATGTTTTCAGGTAAACTGTTAAACAGGTACAGAGTTCGTTTAACTTGAGGTGAAGATTATTAGGGTGGGGGCTCGGGTAGAGGGGAGGTTTAGGGACACCTTTCTAAGAACACCGTCCCAGAGGTCTCCGCAGGACTGAGCCAGGAGGTGGTGGGTGTGGACTGGCAAACTGGCAATCACTCATCACCTGGTCCCAGGCCGCGGTGAGGTGAGGAAGCAGGCACGAACGGCATCACTGAGGGGCACCGGCAGCAGCGGGCACCGGGGTGCTCAGGTTGTTGGCAGCTGTGAGGACGGGCGAGCCCGCCAGTGGACCCAGGGCTGTGGAGGCTGGAAGTGCGGCTATCCCTGTTCAGAACAAAAGACTAGAGTTAAAACTCAAGGGCTGCGAATATTTTAATATTCAGTTATTCATGTGTATTAATACAGAAACAATAAGTTAAAGAAATTGCTTGACAAAAAAAATTTAATTCACATTATTCTCTTTTAACCCAGATGTACAAATTTTACTTTAGTTCAGAACGGAATCTACAAGGCTAACGTTGCTTACAAACCGTAGAAATCAGTCACCCAAATAGTCTAAATTATTTCTGTGAAAATACATCACCAAAACATCTTTAAACACGATCAAACAGCAGTAGCTGAAAGTCAGTGAGGCCAGTCTCACTGACATTATGCTATGTATTATTCTCTTCTTACTGGCCGCACTAGACTTCCTTGTTAGCAACAATAGCAATATTAGTTTTTGGGGTGGAGTATTTCTGTAAATGTTATCTCAACCCTCTTACTGCTTGCCTTACTGAGCATGTTTTAGTGCCCTTTTTCCTACTCAGTAAAGAGTTGTTAATGAGCTGATTAGTTGGATCAGGTGTCTTAGGAGCAGGAAAAACAATAAAATGTGCCTCCAGGACCAGTGTTTAGAAAGACTGCTCTACAGCATGTTCTCACCTGTGATCATACTGGCGGCGCTCACTGCAGTGTTAGCTGCTGGCACGTTAGTAGAGCCTACCATCCGAGACTGGTCCTTTACGACCGGATCTTCAAAAACAGAAAGAGACAAACGGCTCATCAAGCTGAAGTTTTGACAAGTGTGAGATTACAGGACTGCAGGATCAAGGTCACAACAGTGAACTTCTAACTCTCTAGCAGAACTCTGCCAAATTATGCTACTCTCCTACAGCAGTTTGCAGCAGCAATCAGACAATTAAAATGCCCTATACCCTCACCTGTTCACCTCTTGAAATTTACTGATCGATTCTGATAGAAATACTTCAGCTCAGTGACTAAACTGGATGCTTTCATTTTGAGAATTTCAAAGACTTACACCGAGTGTATTAACATGTGTAGTTTTCTTCACCGTCCCAAATACTAGTTGTAGTGATTCTTTGCCTAGGGATTTAACAGAATGTAAACGTCCAACAGCCACCCGCAGACCCGTGATGGATTTAATAACATTACAGGGCTGGTAACTGTTCAGAAGGCAGGATTTAAAAGGGCTAATGGAAACAAAAACAAGCACAGATCTTGTTCTGGTGGATTACTGATTCACTGACAGCACATTCATGCCATATGACAAAACTGACATTTACATATTCTTTACACAATGCTAGTGATCTATTCAGGGGAGGATAATTAAGAGGGAAAGTGATGGAAGTGTGATTGTATGACATTTAAAACCAGTTTAACTCTTACTTTAATACTTCAGTTCTGGTGACTAAAGTTTAACCTTTGAGAGAGATACCTGTAAGGAGTTGACCATTTATCTCCTCCTTGCACTCAAAGGACAGTGATAGTCCTCCCTAAATTTTTAGAGCAACATATTCACCTTCTAAAGCAAATACCACCATTAAGATGTAACTATATACCATCTAAAAGCATACATCAATCACATCCATATAAGTTGAGTGACCGGCAATAATGAACTCCACATGTGTACATCTCTCAAAGGTGAAACTTTGGTCACCACAACCACAGCACACAGGATTTTTAAGTGATTTTTAAGCTGTTTTACATACAAATACAATATTTTTTGCTGTGCTCTGTGGCTTTTACGCTGTCAATCACTGGTGTGTTCCTGCTGGAAAAATTACTGAAGTATATCTGGTAGTGTTGGGGTTTGGAGGGAGCAGAACTAAACTTGCCAAAACATACAATATTTTGCATATTATATACATTTACTCATAAATACAATGGAATTTGAAACTTTTTGGGTTTGAAAAGAGACCGTCGATTCTGAGTATGTTCTGTCTTAGAAAATGCGCCTAGTGCCCACATTAACATTATGTGCAAGTACGTCAGCAGCCTGGTTACAAGAATTGTAATTTCATGTATTAATATTTGGTATTATAGTTAATTACAATACATTATATGGTGAACTGTCATTGTCCTCTTTGTGTACGTGCAATCCCTGGCTACCTTGACGTTTTGGAATGTGCTGGTGTACTATGGTTTAAAGGAGGGGACCTTTTTGGGCATAAATTGCTTTGACTTTTTAACATCTCTGTAGTATGGCGACCAATAAAATGGACCAACCAAGGGGTTAAACAGACTATTAACCTGGGGACTACATAACCTTCTATTATCCTTGCTTTAGGTGGAGATCTCCGGGTTTTCTAACCAGGAGTTTCTCCCCTTAAATGAATATTTTACTTAGAAGATTCAATTGTGACTCTGTTGCTTTACTGATTTTCTGTCTTTATCAGACGTTACAACGACACGTCTGCGCTGGAGAAGTAGAATTTAACTTTGGCTTTAAGTCTTGCAATGCACAAATTCCCTTGAAACTGGTATGGCAGTAGTTACAGGAAGTCGTAGATCATGCGGTGGGAAGAGGCACTCACAAAAGTATGGGTGTTCCATGGCCTCTCGTGCAGTCAGTCGGGCCTGATGGTCATACCGCAGAAGCTTATCCAGGAAGTCAAGGGCCTCTGGACTAACCAGGTGCTGGTTTTCGCTGTGGACGAAGCGTTCCCATCGCTTACGGGAATGCCTGGCATGTGGGATAAAAAGATGAACGATTATCAAACACTGCAAAATGACCATGTCAATCTTTGACATCACTCTTTCCATTCCTTACAATATCAGTAATGATGTAAAATTAAATGAACTAACTCAAAAGTCACTTTAAACCAGAGCACCCACCTTCCTAGGATGTCGTTGAAGCGGGGTTCAAGTTCTATGTTGTATTTGTCGATGTAATCATAGAGGTCCTCAGTTCCAAGGACTTTGGCTATTCTGACCAACTACAGAGTGATAAATAACAGACAGCATGTTCAGTTATTACTGAAAGCCAACAATTTTCAGCAACTGACAATTAACTGCAAACCTACAGGACTAAGTTAGTGCCGAAACACAGGAAATAAATAGAAAGTGTTTTGTAAAAGCCAGAATATTGTCAAACTCACACAGCATGGTAACATGACTTTCAAACGCACATGGTGCACTTGGCAAATACAAAACATAACTTAAATGAATACAGAGCTGTTTTGTAACAAACAAATCACACTTAAATATAACATGATTTACAAACACAGTAAAAGTTCACAAATAAACCATGGTTTCCAAATTTGTCACATTTCAAAAATACATAGACAAACACCTTGTAAATAAGCAAATATAGTGCATTTCATCTGTGTATCACAAGATTTTAGCACAATTTACTCCCCTTTCCCAAAGTTTTTATCACAAACTGACTGAGCAACTCTGCCCTCTTCAACTACAGGTGGTGCTATGAATACACTCCATTTAGACCTCTCTGCCTCCAATAAGCTAAGAAGTGTATACATTTGGTGGCATTCAGTGCTAATATTTTAGTGCAAATTACATGAGCTTCCAGGTGTTTACCTGGTCATAGTTATCATGACCATGAAAGAAGGGCTCCTTTCTGAAGATCATGCTGGCCAGCATGCAACCAAGACTCCACATGTCCAGACTATAGTCGTACATCTGGAACATTTAAACACAGCATGTTACAGATTTAATACATTTTACATATTAAAGAAAAAAAAACACATGATAAAGCAGTAGAGCAAGCCTTTATAAGCATTCAGAAACAGACCTGATAATCAACCAGAAGCTCTGGTCCCTTGAAGTAGCGGGAAGCCACTCTGACGTTGTACTCCTGCCCCGGATGGTAAAACTCAGCAAGACCCCAATCAATAAGGCGCAGCTGGGAAAAACGCAAGATAAAAATGTGCACTGTGAAAGCAGCAGGCCATATGACTACATTCTCAAAATATCCCAATCATAAAGATAATTTGATTGCTTAGACCAGTCACACTTCAGAAGGAAAAGATACTGATATACTACAGCCAAATTCTGCCTATAAATTTGGTTTAAAGAAAAATTCCGACAATTTTTCAAAAATTCTACATAATTAAAAGGTTCAAGTTGTAAACAAAGTCATTCAGAGTGGTTTGGTGTAATATGTTCCATTCTACAGAAACTTGCAGAGTCAGAATTGTTCACAGTGGTGGTGACAGGAACCAGATGTCCAACTCCAGAAGCTCCCTCACAGGAAGTTTTATATGAAATGCTTACGAATGTCTGAAACACTTTTTGGTACATGTAAGGCAAAATTTGTACTGAAGGAAAACATTTTCCCTAGGTATACAACTATTTTAACAACAGCAACAATACTTCAAACTTAACTCAACTCAAAAGACCCATGGTTAACTGGTAGTTTTGGATAGTAATTAAAATGGCTATATCCGAATCATGACACCTGGTTCCCATCACCACCGCTGTGAAATCCGAGCCAGCATTTTGCTCTACAACGAACCATTTCACATGAAAACACAAGTTCTTACAACTAAGTTATAAGAAAGTTATAAGAAAGGAATTTTGAAAAATCAGTGGAATTCTCCTTTAACAGTGGACTACACCATAATAGGTCAGCCTCTGGTCAAACTAAATAAATAAGAACCATTTACTGACAAACAAAATGATTCAGCTACCTTCCTGTGTTCATGATCAATCATGACGTTGTGTGGTTTCACGTCACGGTGCATAATGCCCATGCTGTGGCAGTAATCAAGAGCCTACAGGAACAAAGACAGAAAGTATTAATTAGATCAATGAAACTTAAGTGATACATTAAAATAAGGGATTACTCATTGCAAATTCCATCTGACAGAGAAAAAGAATGTTTACCTTTAGGATTTCATACATGTAGAACCGAATGTCATAGTCTGTCAGTGTCTGATACAATTGCTAAGGAGAGGAGGAAAAAAAGAGAAGCATTCACAGCATTCAATTAAACGTGAAAGAGGAGATTTACAGGTTTACATAATCACGGCATGACAATACAATTTCTTTCAGATTATTAACCGCTGTCCCGGTTTTAAGCCCAATTACTAGTGTGCATGTAAACAAAAAAATTCCATCAGATTGTTGAGTCTTAATCTTTAATGAAAATGTTTTCAATCGGATTGGCAAAAATCTTTGCATGTAAACAGAGTGTGGTTTTGATGACCAAAGTTCGACGTTTAAGAGATGTGCGTGTGTAAAACCCATTTAAGCGGATTTCAGTATAGCCAGTTGTTTTAGTTATATAACCATGATTTCAGTATGCTTACAGGAGGTATACAGGAATGTATTTTATAACGTTCTTAGTTTTAGAAAGAGTTTATGTTACTCTAAACATCTGGATGGACTCTCACCGTTCTTTGAGTGCAAGGAGGAGATAAGGGGTTAACTCCTTGCAGTTTTCCAGGCCCTGTGTTTCTGTTATCTGTCCTGAGGCCTAGCTAGCTGACAGGGGCTACCGTGAATCATTGTTTAGTGACCTTGAGGGTGCAGACAAGAATGTTTCTAGAAGAGAACAGATGGGTGAAGACTTTCTAACCATTTAAGAGCTTCCTTCCTTTTCATTTATTATGCATACATGCTAACACTGTCATGTTTATGCATATCGCAATTAGTTGTAACCAATGAGCTGTATCTTCTTAGTTCTCTGTTAACCAATGACAAGTAACACCACCCTACTTGGGGGACATATAATCTTTGTAACTTTGGTTTGTCTTCAGAGATCTCTGGGTACTTTCCAGGAGTTTCTCCCTGGCCGTGAGTTTTAAATAAGCATATTACTTTGGAGCATTAATTGTGACTCTGAGGTATAATATGGCTCACTTAGCTCTGATGACAAAATGTCTGATCAAAGACTTATAACCATACTAAACCGCACTGCCCAGAGGAAAAGCACCATTAAGTGAACGTATTCGCCAAGCAGCAATGTAAAGTGCTAATGTTTCAGGTGACATCACTGGAGGTTTGAAAGTTAAAACACATTTTACTAGTTTACCTTAAAGTCTGTGTTGTTCACATGTTCAAAAACCAAGGCAGGCGTTCGAGACTGCAGAACAAAAGAAACATTTTAATCACCAAGTGTTAAATGTTATTTATTTATTTATGCTTGAACTGATATGAACTTAAACACATCAGACAATCTACCGATGCTTTGTCTCACACTGCACAGTTACAAAACTCTACCATCTTCCAAAGGTATCCGGTACAAAACTCCTACAAAACACATACTCACCACTGGGTCCTTCACAATATCTATAAGGGAGATGATGTTAGGGCCTCCTCGCAGGTTCTCAAGGATCTTTATCTCACGCTTTATTTTCTTCTTCTTCACAGGCTGATGGAAAGAATTCACAACATTCAAATTCCAGTTTCCGAGCCTCTTCATAACACACCCGATCACACTGCACTCACCTTGAGAATTTTTACCACCACCTTCTCGTTGTTTGTGATGTTGATCGCCTCAAACACTTCACTGTACTTTCCACGTCCGAGCTTCCGAACTAGCTGGAAATCATCTTGATTTCTACAAGGCAAAAACATTTTTGTACAATTTTAGTTAAAAGGAAATACTTTTTACTACTCACAAAGAGAGATTCCCAAAAGTCATTCTATAAAACCATGGATGCAAAAATATGGGAATTCTGGGCAGATGCTCATATCCAGTATTTTGTGTGTGCCTATCTGTCGATGCAGACGCTGATACATACAGATATATACAATTTTATATTTTGTTTAATATTGGCTTATGATCAAATTTGATTTGAGTTTGTGTTAATATTCTGCAGTGAAGTCACTTTATTTTTATTGTACATGCTGAAATATCATCTTCAGTTTTATCGCACTTTATGGTGAAGGGTGGATATGAATATGCTATGATTTAATGCTGCTCCTTTCTTTCACCTCTGAATGTCATAAAGTTCAACGGTTTTAAAATAATAAAAAAAATAAAATAAAAAAGGCGCATATGGCCAGTAAAGAACATTTCCATGTCAGTTCATTTAAGTGGGAGTGTATTTTGTGAGGGTATTCTCTTGCAGCAAACGGCAGAACACAGTCTTTAGTCTTTAATTTTCTCTCTCTGTGCAAGTATGAACTGTGTGACCCTGGCCATTAATCTGTAGTTTTGGAATGCGCTGGTCTGCTATAAGCTGAGGAGTTGACCATCCTCTAATTCCTTTTGAACATGAGTTGTTTCTGTTACTTCAACTAGAGACACTTGGCCATTCTTTATGGCTTGGAGCTGCAGGCTAGCACACACACTTAAGACATCAGATGTGAAATGGCCAGTTGACCATAAATGTATTTCCTTCGCTCTCATTTGTTATGCATTTATGCGAACACTTTTGAATATGAATATCAGAGTTAGGTACGGCCAATAGATTTTAACTTCTTTGTACTCTGTTGACCAATGAAAATGGACCAACACCCTCTGGGACTATTTCACATTCTGCAGTCCATATTTCAAGCTAAGATGTTTGTGTTTTTCGCCAGGAGCTTTTCAACTGTGTCTCTGTGGCTTTGTGTTTATTAGACACTGAGCAACGCAGTGCACTCCCATTTTACATCGCTACGTATCCCGAATCAACGGCATCACCAGCTTCATATCAGACGGCACAGGGTGCAGCCAGAGAAAGGACAGCATTTCAGCTGAAGCCATGAGAGTAATCTGACAACAGATCATGAAGGACCTTAAAGAAGACGTGCTTAAGGAACCAAAATTAATGGCTACACAGGACAATGACGGACATTCCTATAGACATCTGAAGCCTCAAAGGATGCAAACCAGACCAACGTGCCTGTGGACAGAACAGCAAATCCCCACGATGGCTTTTCCAGGTCCACAGGGGCAAATGGAAGTATTTTGGCATTTTGAAACATCAGAAATGTATGAAATGGCAAGAGAGATCACAGACCCACGCATAAACGTTGAAAAGTGCATTGTGAACATTACTCAGCTGGACGCTATGTATCATTCCGCGGGTGTCGAATGGGAGACAATTTTGCATAAGCTGTGCAAAATCAGCTGGCTGACTATAAAAGGCGACTGGAATCAGAATCTCGACACAACTGACGAAGGATGGAATGCTCAGTGGACAAGGGTTATGGACCGTCTGCGAGACGCCTTTCCAACTCATTGTGACTGAACTAAAGTCAATTCTGTCACGCAAGGGAAAACGGAATCAGTAGAGGATTTCGTGGAATGTCTGCGTGTTGCTATGAACGATCACAGTGGCATGCAGCCTGGTGCAGGCTGGGTCCATGTGCTCAAGCTGTACATTGCCAAAGGGTTAGACAAAGAGATTGGTAAGATGGCAATCAGATCGTGTATAGACTGGGAAAACAAACCTTACACGGAGTTGGTTGCTTATGCCAGACACGCCGAACAAATCTTACAGCGGCAGAGAGAGGAAAGGGATTCTGAGCTCCAACTCGCTCAGATTTTTTCAGCATATTTTCAGGGGAATTCTCAGATGAGAGGAGGTGGTTTCAGGGGCAGCTCAAATGCAGGTGGAAAATCTTTAAGCTACTATGGCAAAAGAAGGTGGTGCATGTAAGATTCTGAATATGATCATGAATATTCTGATTAAGATTTTGATCTCTCATATACGCCACATTGTTGCAACCCCACCCAATGATGGTAGTTGGGTCCATGGTACTGGCGGAGATCAATTTTTGGTAGCAGGTACTTGTACATGGTTGTGATATTAATTTGCTTGGGTCCGTGTCTTTGCTTATACGTCCAGTGTTCACTTCAAGTGGAACTGGCTCTCTGTTTGCTACAATATGTGCATCCATCTTTTGAAGACCATCACTACAATGATGCTGATTAACCTGGTTTGTTTCCACACCCTATGTTGCTACTTTTAATCCAGTTTAAAGCTTTAACAGAAGTTTCCTCAATGATGTACACTCTTATTGATGAAATTATTTTTCGTTTTTTGGACATTTGTATGTCCAAAGGCTGGAAAATGAATGCAAAAACATGGGGGGGCCTAAAAAAGTACTTAATTTTAGTAGTACATTTCACTTAAATAGTTGGTTTTATAGTTAATGACACGCACTAACACACACACACACACACACACACACACACACACACACTAAATTTACACACAATATCAAGGGCAGTGGACATTTTCAAATTACTTCAAAAACTGAAGAACAACAAAAATGGAGATACGAGGGTTTGTTCCGACAGCAGCAACATATACATGCACAAACACTGTGCGTTCCTGAACATTAATCTGTAGCTTTGAAATGTGTTGGAGTGCTACATGATAAAGAGATGACCATCCTCTAATTCCATTTGGACATAAAGCACCAGAGATACGAGCCTGGAGCTCCAAGGCCACTGTTTATGGTCCTAGAGCTGCAGGCTAGCACTTAAGATATCAGATGTGAGGTGCCCAGCTGACCATAAATGTATTTCCTTTCCTCTCATTTATTACACATGTATATGAACTCTTTCTTTTATATTCATGTCATAGTTATGTATGGCCAATAGATTTTCACTTCTTCGTCTTAAAATAGACCACCACCCTTTTGGGGACTATTTAACCTTCTGTAATCCTCATTTTAAGCTCCTCAGTCATAATACTTAAACGTTACTTAGAAGATGCAACTGCGTCTCTGTGGTTTGACTGATTTTTTTGTATTTATCGTGAACAACATGGCGGCAGGTTTAAACACAGCAGAAACACTAGCGCTGCGGATAAAACCCGGTTTACATTTCTTATTTAAAAAAGGGAAAACAAAAAGATCAGAACTGGTTTGCGCTTATTTTAGCTGATACCTTATTCATTCAAAATGTCTGGATATCCTCAAAATTCTTCTCTCTAATACATTTTCATAAATTTTTGACCCGAAATTTTCAATATCTACTATGTAAGACTTCAATGATCTGAGGGAACCTTCTAACATTCATTTTTACTGTGTCATTTCAAAACCAATCGTGGCTAGCATGTTAGCTTGAGTCTAGCATGTTAGATTGGTGCTAAAATATGAGCTTGTAGCTAAAGCATCAGATTGATTGCAACACCTTAAAGCACAATTTTTGTTTCAAATATTGTATTTTGATAATGCTCTAATAAACTGATAATGGAAACATCTACATACTAAAGCAAGGCACATTTTCAGCCACTCCTTATTTCTGCGGTACTGAAAATGTATTAAGACACCACTGTATCACACCAAATAATGAATCTTGCGAGTTACATGCCTATTTTTTTGTGCTCTTCTGGGATACAATAAACTAAGCTTCAAAGATCAGTTTAAAGCAGCCAAATCTAACAGTCCAAAGCCAATAATTATTTTATTCTAAACAATAATCTGCCGATAACAATATGATTCAATATCACTGAGTATCCCTAATCACTATTACAGAATAGAAGAATCTGTTACTTACCCCCACTCTACAACATGAGACTCATAATCCCAGTATTCTCGGGGTCGGTGCGTGTTCACTTCCGTGTAAACGCGGGCCCGACTCGGCACAGGTCCAGACATGTCCGACAGCTTGGCAGAGGTGGAGAGGGTGCTTTATCACTACAGAGAATCAACAGAGGACAGCGGGGGACGTGCTGCAGGCAGGGGGCCACAGGTGAAGGTGGCGCCTCTGTACAGCTGCAAGAAAGCACAAAACAGGATCACTCAGATTATCCTTAATACAGATCAAGAAAGACATTCAAGCCACTGAAAATTCAATCAATATTTATTTCGAGTTGAAAACAGTGAGCAAAGTACACGAGAAGTTGTAATAGGCAAGATAAAAAGACACGGTGTTACAGAAGGAGAAAGACTTTCATTCCAAAATACTGTATATACACTGCTAACATTTTTTGGTATAATGAGTTTTGAAAAGAATGACAGCTGATGTATAAAAGAAAACATTTTTATTTCTCTAATAAAAGGTGGTATTAATCATAATCTAGCACTAGTATTTCTTGTATGTGTAAAGCCCGCCCTCAGCAATATACATCATGAAAAAATAGAAAATTCTTAAAAATGGCTTATAATGTGTTAGGGAACATAATCCTTCATACATAATTCCACCTCTAAATCAGTCAGGAAATAATTTATAGATTTTATTAGTTTATAAATGATCCTAATCAGTCCTAGTCTTAAGAAAACACCCGGAGGCTAAAGAATTCAGGGAAAATTTCTAATGCGATATTTCAGTTTTACGACTGTGATTTAAAAGCAACTATTTTCTATAAATAATGCTCCTGGCTTTCTTTTAAGGTAAAATAATGATTAGTCCCACAGCAGGGAATTTCACAGTGCTACAGCAGCAAAGGGATAGCAAGGAACTCAAGAAAAGAAACAACAAGAAGAGAATTAACAAAGTAATTAACCTTGTTTTATATATATATATATATATATACACACACACACACATATATATATATATATAAACAAACTACTAAATAGGTTAAAAATAGGTTACATTTACTAGAATTTAAAATCAACTTAAATTTATTACATTAAATTTACCCAGTCAAATAATAATGTAAGATATAATTACAATACTAATTATATATATATATATATATATATATATATATATATATATGACAATAATGATCCACAAGGCTAGTCAAAAGTAGTCAGCAACTAACACTGCCTCAACAGCCAGTGAGGGACAAGAGATTTTTTTTTTTTCCCCAAAAGGTTTAAGTTAAAACTCATATCACAGTGGACATCCAGATTCTAATGTAAAAGGGTAAAGCTAACTTCTGCAGTACTTTGGCCCAGAAGGTCTGCAGTTTGACATGCCTGAAATAAGTGAACAGTGCACAATTTGCAAGACATCATTCCATAAATGTCAAATCATCTATAGAACAACTGATAAAGGAGCTAGTTAGCATTAGCTTCGCCATGATAGCCACAGTAATTATTATAGTCATATGACCCTTAAATTAACTGAGCTTTTTTTTGTTTGTTTGTTTTTTTACAATGCTGAAATTGTCTTCCTATTTGCCAAACTCCTGTTCCAATTTTCCCGCTCCACCTTAAATGGTACAGTAGTTACACCTGATGCACCAAAAAGTAGCTTCTGCACCATTTAAGGTGGAACGGGAAAATTCAAAGAAGCAGATTCTAGCTTTGTTCATTTTTCATTTTCTACACCCACAATCTTACCTGAAGGTATTCCAGAACAGTGCTCATGTTTAAAGGAGAGGGTGAAGTCGAGTGACTGGTGTTGGAGTGAAAGCTGAAACTGAACGTGTTCTGCAGTGTGCAGAGAATGTGTTTTTCTATTACATGTAGCTCTGTGCCGTATCTGAGCTGCTATCATATTTTGTTTTTCTGAGGTATTTTCCGGCCCTGATTCCAACCCTTTTTGAAATTTGAGATGTCATAAATTTGAAATACCATCATTTTTACACACCACCATAATTTTTGCATACCACCCAAGCCTAATCTTGAGGCTTGAACGCTTAGAGGTGGGCAATACAGCAAAAATTTAACTCACAAAACTTCAAGAAATGTTTGTGACAGATGATGTCACAACATTTGTCTTTTCCATCTTTATCAGACATCAGAATAATTGCTGCATTAAAAATATGCATACAACGATTTTTAACAATGCGCTGCACTAAATATAATTAAACAGGGCTAACTGTTTTCTGTTTGTAATCAAACATGCAGTTGGGAAGTGTTTAAGTACTAATGATATACACCATGTGCTCAGAAAAGAGCACTAACATACTGTGACGTAATTTATCAAAAACAATACGTTGTCATATTGCTCTGTGCTAAATATAGTGTGCCAGATTACCAGTTCACAAAAAGCTTCGTAATAAAAATCACAAAACCCTTCAATGCAGACAACAACGCACTCATAACCTCAACACAGACGGCAGCGGTTTCTTATTTTTCCTCTTATTTGTTACTTTTCCACTGAACCACCCCCACAGTTCACCAGACGAAGCTGACTGGTCCAGTTAAAAATCGTATGAAAGAAAAAAAAAAGCTCTCCGTGAGCACAAAACCCTAAAACCACAACCGTGCACGAAGCCTAGCTTCTTTAAGATGGTTGAGGTTTCACTACTTAAGTGGAGGTGTTTAAATCATGCCTGCCAAACTGAACCGGAAGTCGGGCTATAATCTAAACATCTCACCACAACTTTATTTCTTCCATTAGACAATAGTAAAAATAACTGAAAACCAGCCACTCGTCTGAGGATCTGAAACATTTCGCTGCTGTCAGAACAAAACCTCGTACCTTCAAACGCGAACTTTACAGGAGAAGGAAAAAAAACATCTCACTTTTAATGTAAGTCAATGGAACCAGATTTATTTTTTCCCACAAGCAGTTTTTCACCATTTGTTTTAGTTCATTCTTCATAAAATGTATACACTATGTAAAGGGCAACAGTCATTTTAAAACTGAAAAAAACTGAAAAATGACAAAAATGGAGATACAAGGATTCCGACAGCAGTGATTTACTGACCAGCCTGCCAAGTGTCCAAAGGAGACCAATCTCTTACAATACATGTTGAAAAGCTTGTAGATTCCAGCGTTTCTTCTGAAATGAAGGGTATTAACAGTGAGTTTGTGCTGCAGTAACAGCCTCTTCTCAGATGGGAAGACTTTACACTGGATGTTGGAACATTGCTGTGAGGATTTGATTGAGCATTAGTGAGGTCAAGTACTGATGTTGGATGGTCAGTCCTGGATCACTCTAGCTCATCCCAAAGGTACTGGATGGAGCTCCATCACTCCAGAGAACGCAGTTCACGCTTGGCATTAGTGACCTTAGTCTCATGTGCAGCTGCTCCAGAACATCAAATTAAATTGGCTGATGTTTTGTCTGGAGATTATTCAAGCTGTGCCAGCACTGAGTGCACCTTAAAAGAGCTAAATTAATCCATTAGAAGGGTAGTCTGGATACCTTTGGTTATATGATGCATATGGCCACATCTGCAATGGTAATGTTTTACTGCCCATCAGCTCCAAAAACTTTATGATGATGATGTAGGAGGACATTTCATTGAGAGGATTCCAGACTGAAGAATGGCAAGAAATGTTTATATTACACTTCTAAATCGATCATATTTGGCTCCTAGAGGGACCGTTACAGGATTACAATCATGGTTTGTTCCCCAAGTTCCACCCAGTCCATATGTCAAATGAAGTACACACTTAAAAAAGACGGTTCTTCAAGGGTTATTTAGTAATGGCAATGGTTTTATTTATAACCATGAGTTTTATATAGATGAATTTCATGCTTAAATGGTTCCTTGCATGATGAAATGGTTATTCAGGCTGATGTATATGGTTCTACATAGAACCTTTTTGAAAATGGCCAAAAAAGGCTCTGCTATTTTTACAATGGCAAGCTTGTATCAATAGAAAAACCCTTTTGCTGTTTTACAAAACCATTTACAACGTAATCTAAAGAACCATTTTACCAAGCAAAGACCCATTTAAGCATGAAGTTGCTCTATATAGAACCCTTCACTAAAGAACACTCGAACTATCTTTAAGTGTAGAGAAGGAACACAATCGTCCTACATGTTCTGATTTATCCACTGCACATGGCATCTTCACGGTCAGTGCACCATACCATACCCCACGCACACGTGTAGTAGATCATGAAAGGTTTTATTTCGAGTACAGTTTGAGCCTCAGATAAGACTAATATAAGACGAACAACATTAAGAGTGACAGCAGGTTTTGGGCAGAACCAGAGCACTACTCACAGCATGGCTCGGAAAATGAGGCAGCTTTAGGCCTTACAGTAACGTTACCTCTCTCAGCCTGGCTTGGCTTTATGAGCTTTCCATCAACTTAACTGACTGTCGCACCAGATAACATTCAGATTGGGATATTCTACATGGTACAAGTCGAACCTGTGTCCACAAGGCCGAGAATAACGTGAACGAGGAGTAAACACAGCTAAATTGAAAGCTCTGGTTATCAGCGAAAACGAGCTTTCCAGCTAGCACTTGACTACGAATTTCCGAATTTCACGTTCCACCTTAAATGCTGCATCAGTTACAGTTTGGCGCCTGTACGTGCTGTAATGTAGCCGCCGCACAATTTAAGGTGGAACGGAAAAAACAAAAAACAAGCTGGCGAATGAGAAGCCAGAATCTTCTAGCTGTCACATCTAGCTTCGGAAAACTGACCCAAAGTCCTGACTACCTGACCAACTGCTAGCAACCAGGCAGCGAGAACTATTTAACAGTTGGCTAACTAGCTAGCAAGTTAGCACACACAGCGAGGTTAACTCACATTTTCGGCCATTCTTACTTTAGCCGGCTACCGAGTAAACTGAAAGCTTGTTAGCTGGATTAGCGATGTAATTAGAAAACACCGCAGTTATCAGCATAGTTAACAGCCCTGGTATTGATGTAACGTTACAGACGCAGATGGGATGCTAACGCTGCCTCAACCGGACTGAGAGAGCCCGCTAGCAAGCGTTGGTTAGTTGGACAGCTAAACTTAGCTTAGCTTAGCCGGTAACGGTAGCAGTAGCCGGTTCCCCTTCAAGTTTTAGCGAAGATGCTGAATTAAATACCACGTTTGGAGCCGCTATTACCTCTCTGGTGAAATTGGCCTGTCGGAAGGTATTCCTCTCAGTCGTGGCGACAGTCTCCTCCTTTTCTGAGACGTAGAAATTAGTTATTTTGCTCTCTCGGAGACAATATGGCACACGGAGTAGCCTGTGCCCAGCTGATGGAGCCGGAGAGCTGAACTGGGCTGAAGACTGCGCATGCGCAGGGCAGAACGGCGTGAACTCTTTCTTCACAGCGCTCGTGCTATGAACCATTTATACACTTTACAGATTTTATTATTTTTAGCCACCCCCACGCTCCCCCCTACAATCTACAACCGACTTGATACCTTTTTTATTTTAACCCTTTTAACCCGTTTTTGGGAAACCACTAACTATAAAAAGTAAGATTTCTTGCATCACGTTAGTGAGTCTGTATATATACATACATATCAGCCATAACATTGAAACCACCTCCCTGTTTCTGCACTCATTGTCCATTTTATCTGTTCCACTGACCATATAGTAGCACTTCGTAGTTAGTAGTAGTCCATCTGTTTCTCTGCATACTTTGTTAGGCCCCTTTCACCCTGTTCTTCAATGGTTAGGACCCCCACAAAGCAGGTATTATTTGGGTGGTGGGTCATTCTCAGCACTACAGTGACACTGATGGGGTGGTGGTGTGTTAGTGTGTGTTGCGTTGGTACAAGTGGATCAGACATAGCAGTGCTGCTGGAGTTTTTAAAACACTGTGTCCACTCACTGTCCACTCTATTAGACACTCCTACCTTGTTGGTCATCCTTGTAGATGTAAAGTCAGTGACAATAGCTTATCTGCTGCTGCACAGCTTGTGTTTGTCATCCTCTAGTCCTTCATTGGTGGTCACAGGATGCTGTTAGCTGGATATTTTTGGTTGGTGGACATTTTATAACTGTACCTAATAACGTAAAACTACAAAATAAAAGCATCTTAACTATGAAATAACTTGAGTAAGAATAGTCAGTTATACTACTTTGGTGCCATTTTATTTGCAGGCCAGTGAGATGTGCTTTTTTCACATTTCCTAACTTACCAGTAGTTTGCAGCAAACTGCAAAACTCATTTAAGGGGAACTCCACCACATGTTCAACTGTTTTGCATAATGAAATAGTTAAGATGTACACAGAGTCACTCGGAGTGTGAAATTCTCTGTTCTAGAGAAACTTACTGAGTCAGAATTGTTCACAGTGGTGGTGATAGGAACCAGACGTCCACCTCTAAAATCTCCCTCACAGAAAGTTACAATCCCTGTACAATCCTGACAATTAAATTATGCAAAAACATTTGCAAGATCAGTGGAATTCCCCATTAAGACACTAAAACAATGGGGAAAAGTGACTTCTAGCATAAAATTTGCCTCATTATACAGCTGAAAGGGGTGAAAGTCAGAGATCTGTTTAATATAGGCCTCTTTAAAGGGCCCGTGTACTACATTTTTCTTGTGCTATTTTTTCTGAAGTGCTGTTGTCTTAACAGCCGTGTGGCTTTATGTACAAAAAGTTATAATTCCTTTTTAACATGACCATTTTCTAACCTCTCTTTATCCCTTAGAATTAAACAGGCTGTTTTTGTTTCTGTGCCTTTAAAACTGATACATGTGCATGAGCTATATTCTGATTGGCTGCCCTGTAGTGTGCCCCAATCAAAAAGCAGCCTGGTCTATAACACTCCTTACAACTTCAGCGTGAGTGGGCGGGGCTAAACTGCTGTAGGCTGAATCAGCAGATATATGAAAAGCATCAGTCTCTGTGACATCACAAAAACAATACATTTAAAACAGGCTGTTTTATGGACTGTAGGACTGTATGGACTCCGGGAGTGAATGGTACATTTTAAAACATTAACAATGCTACATCAAATGCCTTTATTTAAAAGAAAGTAAGAGAATATCGTTTTTCCATGATGTGGGCCCTTTAATATCTCAAATAGGAAGACATGCCGCCCACGCCACATTGCACGTCTGTGTGCAGCAGTGTGTCAACAAGTAACACTGCATGTTTTGAATCACAACATGATAAACCAGCGCAGAGGTCTGCTGTGTTCCACTGAGAACGGATGATGATAAAGATAAGCCACAAAAGCTTCAAATGTGGTCAAGCAAGTAAAATGGTTGACAAAACAGAGAAACAATGCAGTAGCCCATGTTATCTTAATGCACAGTACTGTTTATGTGACCAACACCTGTAACTTGCATACTGCTATTATATTTTATGTAATACTCCAGTATTTTAACCAACTCTTTACTTAAAGTCAATATTCTGCACCCATTCTACATATTCTTCTTTAGAATAAATGGTCTCATTAAAAGGTCCATATTCTACATTAGTTCATTTCTTTTCCTCCATGAGGTCCATTTACACGTTTGTGTGGAGTTATGTACTAGAAACAGCTATAATTCCTTTTCACATGACCGCTTTACAGCCTCTATTTATCCCTTTAGAATTATACTGGCTGTATTTGTCACCATGTCTTTAAGACACCTAAATGACATCTGCTCTGATTGGCTGTCCCGTATTGCGCCTCGTTTAATAGGCAGTCTAGGCTGAAACACTCACACCTTCAGCCTGAATAGGAGCTGTAGACAGAACAGGCTGATATATGGAAAAGAGTTGTTTTTTGTGACATCACATTAACAACGAATTAAAAACAGCTACGTTTCGATGTACAGATTGGTGAAACAACGCCTACACACTACAACAAACTCTTATTTAAATAAATAAAAAAAAGTTATGGAAAATAAAGTTTAATATGTTAAAATGTTTAAAATGTTATGGGCCCTTTAGGTGTCAAGAACAGATGTGCCACACATTTTATGGAACTTAAATGGGAATTTCGGAATAATTCCGTGTTTGAGAGGTAAACAAAGTCATTCAGAGTGGTTTGGTGTAAAATGGTTAAAATTTCTTTACAGTGGTGGTGATAAGAACCAGGGGTCGCCATGACTACAACACAAATATAGACATTTCATTTACTATCCAAAACCACCAGTGAACCTACACGAGTCTTATGAGTCTTTATACCGAGTGTTGATGATGGTTTAATAATAGAAAATCTGAAAAAAATAAGTTCTCCTTGGAATTTTGTCTTGAGGGAGCTTTTAGAGGTGGATGTCCGGTTCCTATCACTACCACTGTGAACAATTTTGACTCGTTAAGTTTTTCTAAAACGGAGCATTTCACACCAAACCGCTCCGAATGACTTTGATTACATCTTAAACACACAATTATGCAGAATTTTTGATACATGGGTGGAGTTCCCCTTTATGAGTAACTCAGTTACATTAGTGATGGTGATGTTACTGAAGCCAAATGACTTTATGCAATGGTTTGACAAAACAATGAGTGATGAGGGTCACTGAGTTGTAGTCAATCCAAACAGCATGTGTGTAGTTTTACTTCTTTTTCTTATGGGGGAGAGAGAGATCCCCTCACTTTGGCACAGAATGTGACTACAACCAATATCAGTCATATAGTCTGATTCAATTCAGAAATGCTCCTAACTATTTTGGCAAAACAGCATCTTTTTTCCCTTTCTTTTCTAAACTACCTTTTCCTAACAAAATGAGTCTTAAATTCACAGGCAAGACTTTTTATGCCCGTTTCAGAATATAAGAAAATACTTCAAACCAACAATACATAACCTTAGGCCTTTGAGTACAATCAGCAAAAGCAAATGCTGTACCTCAAACACAGCTGCAGGGAGCCTTTCCTAAAATGCCCCTGGCTTAGAGCAGCTGGTACTTCTACACAACGAGATTTTAGAGGAACTTCACTGACTTAAATGGTTAAGATGTAAAGAAAGTCATTCAGAGTGGTTTGGTGTGAAATGCTCCGTGCTAGAGTCAGAATTGTTCACAGTGCTGGTGATAGGAACCAGATGTCCACCTCTAAAAGCTCCCTCACACAAAGTTATTACATGAAATGGTTATGGATACACTGCCTGAATATTGGTTTTACAGTGGTTTTAAGAAGGTTTTGGACTGGAAGGTTTTTGCTCTTAGGGAGTTTTTCATTGCCACCGTCACCACTGGCTTGCTCATGGGGGCTTGGACCAGGATTTTTCTGTAAAGCTGCTTTGTGACAACACCTGTTGTAAAAAGCGTTATATAATTAACTTTGACTTGACTTTGACTTGACTGAAAATGTATTTTTAAAAACCATTCAAAGTGAAATTTTACATATAAAACACGTGTAGATTCACTGGTGTTTTTGAATAGTGAATAAAATGGCTATATCTGTAATGTAGACATCACTACTATTGGTTCCTATCACCACCAGTAAGTAAGATTCTCTACAACGAACCATTTCATATCTCAATGACTGAATTATGCAGAAATTTTGAGTGGTGGACTTTCCCTTTACAGTACAATTAACAACATCTACTAACGCCACACCAAATGCAGCTTCTTTCACCAATGACTAGGGCACATTTTAACCTTTCATTTCAACTAGAACTGAGAGAGAGCTGGTCAGCATGGAGTGCTTTAAGAACACAGCACACAGAGACTTACACTCAATAAGATCATTTATGTTATTTGTACAATCTGCATGTATAACAAATAAAGATTTTAAAAAAGAAGATTAGTAAGATGTACAGTATTTTGTATCGTATCGTCTGGTCTGCATGGCTGCCCGGGGCGCGCACCCCTGCACCCACATATTCTGTGCAATGGGAGCTCCCGGGGAGGGGAGTGCTCATTGGCTGCTGCAGCGAAAAGGGGGAGGGGCCTGGTACATAAGAGAGGGGACTTTTCAAGAGTCTTGGAAAAGAAGAGGAATATGCTGTCTATCTGTAGGTGTACTGATGTGCATGTGTGTGCGTGTGCGCATGTACTGAATGGAAGAGAATCGAGGGATGAGAGGGAGATGAAGGAGTGAGCTCAGCGCTCAGTTGCTGTAGATTTGTCCCTCCGGAGGCTGGGGCAGTTTCATGTTCTCCTTGCACATCATGAGCCGTCGGAGCTCCTGCAGAACCACGCGGATGCTGTAGGAGTTCTGCCACTTGGCCAGGGAGGACACTGCCCGCATGTCAACCTGCGAGGACACAACCGCAACCAGCAGTTAGACTTTACACAGAGCTGCAGCACTTCTTAGGACGTGTTTATACCTACAGTTCGGTTTCCAAGACTGGGCTTCACCAGGTTTGTGTAAGTTTACACTTGAGTTTGTGTGTAAAGTCTTCACTGAGTCCTTAGTTACACTAGTTAGTTTCAAACTTTTGCTAAATTTGGTTGCACCACAAATCCTTAAGTCATGTCTCAACCACTAAAAGGGCCATAGTAAAAAATCTCAACAAATCTGTGGGCCAACTGTGTTTTTAGTTCATTTTTACTTTACATTTTGCCATGTTTATTCAAAATATGCCAAAACTACAATGGCAAAAAATAGGCACTAAATACTTCAAAAATAATTCTAGATAAAAAAATATTGTTTTATATAAAACAATAGACAACATTAGCTGCAGATAACTGATAAACCTCTTTAAATGTCCCCAGTGTACAGCGGGCTTTTTAAAACTGACCATTCACTTAGAGCCCTGGCATCTTTTTTTGCTTTTTGCTTTGTTTTTGTGGCACTGAAATGGGTAATATTTATAGAAAATTAAAATTATTTTGCGGGCCGAATATGATTGTACCATGGGCCTGACTTGGCCTGTGAGCCTTTTGTTTGACTAATCGACACAACAGCAGATCAGTTTAGCCGTTAGAGCTGTAAGTAAAATCACAGTGTATAGCATTTAGAATTTTTAGCTTAGTTAACCAAAAAAAAATCATGTTTTTTTTTGTCTTTTTTGTGCTTTCATTTGAGCTCAATGTTGAAACTAGTTTGTGGTGCAACTCATTTGGATTTAGTAATGCATAAACCTGAACTTAGTAAACACTTACTGTACAACTAGACTATGTTGAACTGACGCAGAGCTGGTGCAACCGGCCACTGGTCCAGACCAAAAGCAGAAAAAGGTACATTATTGCTATATATTGCTATAGTTCTTGTTTGTTTAGCGTTCATAATGACACATTTGATACAGGATGAAAAGACGTAAACAAAAATCATAGGAGTAAAAGGTCGCGGCTAATTGGGCAGATTTTATAACTGAGGGTGCTTTCACTTTCACCTTCAGACTTTTCAGTTTGGTCCGAAACAAAATAGCAAGTGTAAAAGGAGCCTTGGACCACAGATCAAACTGAACCATGCTTCGGTTCGTTTGCAGTGTGAAAACACTTTCTGGATGGTTCGGACTTTCAGACCAATTACAGGAAGTCAAAGTAGGTTATCATCACCCAATAAACAATGGAAGAAGAAAGAGGACTGGAAGAGTAATAAAAATGAGCCGTGGTAGCGCACAGGGAGAGGAGACGAAACATGTAACTGTAATTTGGTCCGAACAAAAAGTCAAAAGTCAGCTTAAAAAAAAGCCTAAAAATGACGAAACTTTTTTTCTAAGATGATGAGAGAGACAGGATATAACAGGAGGAGAGAGCAATGCCACCTGAAGATAAAGAAACTGCAGCAGCAGTATGTAAAGCTAGTGTAATGGCAATGAAATTAATCTGCTCATTTATTTTTCTCCATTCAAACAAAAAAAGGCTGCTCATCAAAATCCAATCAATGTGAAGTGCAGGGAGACGCAGCTAACACAGGTGATAACAACAGGACGTAGGTTTGGCTTGCAAAGTGCTTTTCAGTGCGCTTGCAAAATTGCAAAAAGATTTAATGTATACAGTGTAACCTTGGTTTGGACTTTCAGGTATGAAAACACTAAGATAATGTCCACCGAACTTCCCAAATTGTGCTGTTCTCTGTTCTATCTGGGCTCGTTGGTTCTGTTTCCTTGTTTTATCCGACTTGTGATACTAGAGCAATAAGCCATGAGACTCCCTACGTTCCTGTGTTTCTGCACGATGCAAAGCAGAGTGAAACAGCCTCGAGTGGCTCACTGCTTTTACTAAAAGCAGAAACCTCAGTGCCTTAATACATAATTCAATTTGTGTGTGCAGTCAAATGTAAAGTACTTATAATGACTTCAAATGTGCCTCAGCCTTGTTTTAAAACTTAAACTATCTAGGAAACTATACTTCTATAATTACCGATTCCAAGCTGGACAGTGAATAAAATGGCTATATGTGTTGTAGACATCACAACCCTTGGTTCCTATCACCACCACTGTAAAGAAATGAGTCAATAAGATTATACACAACAAACCATTTGACAACTTAATGTTGAAATTCTGCAGAAATTTAGAAAATAAAGTGGTGGACTACCCTTTCAAAGTACAATGAACAACATCTGCATTCTTTCACCGATTAGGGTACGTTTTAATCTTTTTTATAAACTAGAACTGAGACTTGGTCAGCACGGAGCGCTTGAACACAGCACACGGAGACTTACACTCATTAAGAACATTTGTTATTTCAAGTTTATGAAAAGATAAAACATGTACACGTCAAAACAGCATCAGGAACATCAAGAAGTTTTGCAGAGAGAAGACGACTGTTCGTTCTGTCTTTGGTCCCTTTAGATGTCTTTGGTTTGTATTGTTCTGTTCATGCTTCAAACAAAGAACCAGAATTTGCACAGCAGCGTTTTTCACTTGTGCTAACAAAATACACTAAGAGCAATCGGCTCAACCGCGGCTCATTTTAATCAAACCAAACTTGCCAAATCTGAACGCACTCTTACAGTGACCATAGTTCAATATCAAGATAATGCATACATCCATCTTATTTTTCACTGTGTGTTCTAAGGTTATGGCTAAAATATCCGCTTTGGGAACAAAGGTGTCGTCTGTTACTGTTTTTAGCGAAGTCAAAGAAAGTGTGCTTATTTTTTAAGTTTAAAAAAGCAACCTATAACACTTATTTTCAATGTTCATATTTTATTTTCAGGATCTGATTGGTCAGTTCGCTCACTGTGTTCTGATTGGTCAACCACCAGAGCACAAGTTCTGCCCCTACACCACTGTGGCTGTTCTTACAAGGGTGTCGGTTGCCCTATCAGTTTGAGCTAGAGTGTGATCCTGAAAGTCAGGTAGAACAAGCTGGGAGACCTGATCCACCTTCGCAAGCTGGACTGGAGCAGGACGTTTCAGAGTGGTACGATTTTATGTTGTAGCTCTCTGTGTGAGGGCGTGCTGGACTTGCCGGTTTCGTAACTCTGCAGACAGTTTACATGCACAAAAAGCTATATAAAAACTAAAGAAAAGGGAAAAACTGGAAAAGCATAACATGAACCCTTTAAAGATGGATGTACTATAAAAATGAGACCAACAAAGTAAATAAAGTTACTTGCGTGCCTGTTACGAGCTTAAAACATCTATTTAAAATAGATCTGAGCTACCCGCTAGTTTGACGTTAACATACCACAATAAAAATATGAGGAGCATTATCAAACTGCAGATTTATATTTTTATTTATTCACACCCACATATACAGGTGCATCTAAAAAAAACTTACTTCAAAAAGGTAAACTGTCATATATTATGTTCATTACATGTAAAATGCCATATTTGTTTGTTTTAATTTTGATCAACATGGCTTATAGCTAATAAAAAAAATTGAGAAATCCAGTATCTCACACAGCATCTGTGTGCATTGTATTTTGAAGCATTAACACACACACACACATATATATATATATATATATATATATATACACACACACACAGACACACATATATATATATATATATATATATATATATATATTTTAGAACATGTTTTAAACCTACGATCTGAAAGCCATCAAACTTTTTAATTTGTATACTGTTTTGTCTTTTTGGTCACAAATATAATACTGCACACATCACTTACCACGCCATTTGAGTTATGCACACCATTTAAGTTGATCTTGGTCACAAATCGGACGAAAGGAGGCGTCTCAGGGTACTTAGGTCCACATTCCACCCTCAGGCTGTACATCCTGTTCTCGTAGATTGTCTGAAGATGTACAGAGAATAAGTTTCTATGAAATATAAACGTAACAAATCCCCAACATAAACAAAAAAATGACATTTTCAGGGGTTTCCCCACTTGCCCCATGTATGACCGATGAGTTTTGAATTCATAATTGTTCTTTTATGTGTAAAGGATTAATGCTGCTAATAAGAAGTACAAGTCAGGGTCTTGAAAGCTAACATCTACTTTAACCACTTCCTTTCACAACAATCACATAACTTGTGATTTTGACATTATGTTAACTGCTCACTGTTGATCTTCAGTTCCTCCTATGAACATGTTTTGGTCTGAAGATTTTGTTCAGAAATGACGTACAAAGAGCTGCACACTAAACATCTACTTTTCAACCACAGCTTTAGTGTTGAAACAGTGTTACTGTCCTTGAATAATGTAGGATGTCGTCTCGATACATAACTCTCTATAGATCCTTCTGGTTTTCTTTTTTTTTGTGAAGCCCTGGCAATGTACATAGTTTTATAAATTAACATTTACATTCTCAATGAATCAGCTTGTCAGGTTAATTAGATGTCAGTTTGCAAGATGATATTACATGTTTTGAAGTCTCCTACTGCCATCTTACAGTAAGAAAAATTAAACCTAATGGGCTCACTCATTTATATCACTTCTGTATTAAAAAAAGAAGAAAAAAATGTATCTCCCTTTTCTCTCAATCTTTATTTTTCTACATTATATGATAACATTAGCTGTCCTCCACACTGTGTGGAAATCATGATAAATGGGCCAACAGAAATGCTCCAAAACTGCTTGGAACAGAATCACTTTACATGAACTATATACTATGAAGTATTTTCTTCTGTGAAGTAAGCATTTTGGAGACAAATGTTTTTCTCTCTTTTCAATTGTTTGTTTTTATATTGTCACAGGTTAAAAAAAAACATCTCTGAAAACCAGTGAAATTATAGGAGAAATAAAAAATCTTATTTACTTATAATGAAGGTTAACATAAAAAAATTGGACTGTTTCTGTTGGGCCGTTCACTATGACATCTTAACACAATTCAAAAGGTAACTGGAGTTTTCAAATTATGCAAGACTAATGGCGATACAAGGGTTTTGTAAGTCAGCAATGATGCAGTCTTTTTAAGGGCTTCCTAGTTCATCTTACATCATTTCAATATTTTAGAATGTTTTTAGGGCTCTGAATGGTTTCTTACTGTTCAATTAAGTCTATTTTTCTGTCCAAAATCTAAGATATTAAGGCAGAACTGTCCCTTTAGCTGGTCTGGCATTCGCACCATTACATGATAAAGTCAAGCACTTTGCATTTTTCCGGTGCTGATGTGCATGACAATGACGCACTACCAGTGGAGGGAAAACAAAGAGCCAGGCTTCATTTGTCTACACAGATTGGAGGTACTGTAACGCAGTAGGAACGAGACATTTATAAATATGTGTATATTTATCTTCAGGAAAAAAGGAATAAATGATGTAAGGCCACTTTACTAATCAGATCACATCTTATTCAGATACCAAGACAATTTACAACATGTGATCTAAACATGTGTCGACATTCAGTATACAGCGATATAAAACACACAGTAACGTTATCGTGAAAACTTTGCAATACAGTCACTGCAATTTAGTCAAACAAGCACAAAGAAAACTTTCCCCCTTTAAAAAAGGTGAAAACTCATGTCCCAACTAGCATCAGGACAGAAAAACATTTGTTTGCAGTTACAAACTGTGTGTGTATGATGAAAAAGACATGAAACAATACTGAAGCACCTCAGCAGACTGCAAACGAGCTAAACAGGCAGAAGTAAATGAAAATTCCTGGCTGAAACTGAAACCGAAATTCAAGACACATCTGACCGGAAAACGAAATAAAAAACTGTAATTAGAACATCTGAAAGATTTTTTTCCTGTTTTAAAATTTGCCGTTTTATTGATACTTTTAAACAAATGTAGTAAATATAAAAACTACAAACTTAATTTTTATTACTGATAAAATTTGCTTACCATAGGACAAAACTGAGCTGAATAAATTAATTGTACATAACATAAACCTGAGATCTGTAGTACAGAAGTTAGTTTGTGTCTTGACGCTACATATGAACAGAGATTATCAACCTCATCCTCTAATGCTCCAAATCGTTTCCAAGGTTTTCGATCCTAACCTTTTTTCTCTTTTGGGGAAAAACCGAGAGTGTCACTTTTCACCATCTTTGGCCGAAATGTCCCGATGTCCCGATGGAAACATTCAGAAATTATCCACTGTAAAACTGGAACGGGGGGGCAAATCAAAAACTCCAGTCATTACACTTCACGAAAAATCCCATGCCTGCTAACAGAAATTGCAAACAGAGGCTGCTAATAAAGTTAACCTCTTATTGACCAGGGTATATTTTGGTTTGTCCATCTGGATTTACATGACCAAATCGTAAGGCAAATTATTCAGTAACTGCATGAAATAACTATAAATTTTTATTTATTCTTTGTAAAAGCTCCCCTCAAATTAACAGAAAATGTGTTTATGATCATACAAATATTGCTATATGCTTACAATTTACTGCTGAAAGCCAAAAATCTTAGACGCTCTTTGTAATTTTTACAGAGCAGATCACTGAAGAGACACCATCTGTTTATAGTTTATAGCCCAGATTTGTGGAAAAATGGGTCGACTTTCAGTAGACAAAAAAAATTGCGAGTTCAGCTTCTTCTATTATAAGGGTTTAAAATTACATTACCCATCTATTTGACTGGAAAGAAGACAGTTACAGCTCTCATATGACACCCACCTTTTGAATGTAGCTTATGAAATATGACAGTTATGAATAATATGACGAAGTGCGTTTTGGAACCACCGGTGGTCTCAAGGAGTTGAAAAGGTTAAACACTGTTACATGATGACTGGCAAGTAACTGACGATTATATGGCACTGTACAGTATATGCTTTTTATATGTTAGTATACTACAGGCTCTGGTAGCTTGTTCCTTGCCATATTTTACTGTATACCAGTCCGGCCTGCAATTAGTCCTGTACAATACTGATACACAGTGAACATTAAATGGACTGTTTATTCTATTTATTATATGTTTATTTGTAATGACTACATTATTGCAAATATTGAACATAGATACTGCTATCAAAAAATGATATTCAGAACACAAATTATATATACACACAGTGCTTCTGTTGCATCTCTCATTGCAGAGTTCCAAACTGCCTCTGGAAGCAACTTCAGCACAGGAACTTTGTAGCTTCACTAAAATGCTTTCTGGGGCCAGGGAGCTGCACACAAGCCTAAGATCACTGTGTCGGCTGGAGTGGTGTAAAGCACACTGCCACTGGACTCTAGAGCAGTGGAAACGTGTTCTCTGGAGCGATAAATCACGCTTCTCTATCTGGCAGTCTGATGGACTAATCTGAGTTTAGTGGATGCCAGGAGAACCCTACCTACCTGAATGCACAATGCCAGCAGTAAAGTTTAGTGGAGGAGGGATAATGGGCTAGGGCTGTTTTTCAGGGTTTGGGCCCTTTAGTTATAGTGAAAGGTGATGTTAACTCTACAGCACACAAAGACATTTTACACAATTACATACTTCCAACAATGTGGCAGCAGTTTGGGGAAGAGCCTTTCCTGTTCCAGCATGCCAGCGTCCCTCCATAAAGACATGGTTTGAGAAGTTTGGTGTGGAGGAACTCCAGTGGCCCACACAGAGCCCTGACCTCAACCCCACTGAACACCTTTGGGTCGACTGCGAGTCCAGCCTTCTTATTTATATGGCTCTTTAGACTAAATGGGCACAAATTCCCACAGACACACTCCAAAATCTTGCAGAAAGCTTCTCAGAAGAGTGGAGGCTTTTATCGCAAAGGAGGGCAACTTCCTATTAACGCTCATGGTTTTGAAATGGCTTGTCCAACAAGCTTGTATGTATGCAATGTATAGGTGTCCACATACTTTTGGCCATATAGTGCATTTTTATGACATTAAAAACCTTTTTATAATGCAATACGGCATCATAAACAGTGACACAAGGTTAGACTTTTTAATGTCTGGATCACAGGCTGTAAACAAAAGACATTCATTTATGTAAACAGTTCCTGGCTGTTGACTCAGTAACACTCACTCTCGGCGGTCCGATGATCATGCCTCTCCAGCGTGTGAGCGTCATGTCCTCATCGTCCTCCAGACCCCAACTCACTGTGCCATCACCAACGCCTTTCTGGCCTTCTTCCAGCTCTTCCAACAGCCGGAAGTTGCGAGGAACTTTGACGCCTAAACAGAGATGGAGAATGAGTGCTGAAACTGAAGGCTCAGATTCTGTGTTTTAGTGATGTATTCTTTCATTTCTCTTTTATAAATTCTATTATTTGCGTTTGTGAGAGAAGAAAACAATCGGCTAGTTCAGTCAAAATGTTTTTCCTGCTGCTCTGGATTGCTAACTAGCTGTTCTCCACAGAATTTAATTCTGAGAATAAACAACGGTGTGCTGGACAGCGAGCCGTCCATCCATATGATAAGACAGCTGTGTTTAGCACATGATTGGGTAGTAAGCGTTTGTTCAGTGACTTAAAACAAAACTAATAGAACATAAACAATCTAAAAAGGGTCAGTCACTGACAAGAGCTAACCAAAAATTCTGTTTTTAAAACAATGTGGTTAGAAATGCTGATTCTTCTGCACTCCTGAACATTTAAACATTCTCAGTAACTTGCTCAGGTTGCCAGATTGGGTAGAATCCCCCTGAATAGAGTTTTGTGCTACTTTCTATGACAATAACTGCTAAAAGTAATTATCTATGTTTTTTTGCATTACCCTGTAGTATTTAAAGTTCAGTATTAATAATCATAATAATAATCAAAATAATAATAGTAGTAATACCAACTTATCTTAATTATTAAAGTGAAACACATATTGAGCAGAACAAGCTCTGTGACATTTATAAGACATTCTTTCACAGCACAGCAGCACTCAAGACGCATGGGTGCATTAACTTTACATGATACTGTGACACATTCAGAAAAGTCTGCGATACTGAATTTTATCAGTAGAGCCCAGCAGTTACCTGGATGGTTGAAGGAGAATCCTAGTGATGTTTCAAAATTTCCAAATAACTAAATGCTTAAGATGTAAACTGAGTCATTCAGAGTGGTTTGATGTGAAATACTCATTCTAGAGAAACTTACTGAGTCAGAATTGTTCACAGTGGTGGTGATAGGAACCAGACATCCACCTCTAAAAGCTCCCTCACAAAAAGTTATTACATGGCGTGGTTATGAATACACTGCCTGACACTTTTGAGAAGATTTTGGTCTAAAAGGTAGTTTTAAAATATATGCAGGGAACACAGAAAAATATGTGAAATATTTTTTTCTTCTTCAGATTTTCCATAATGAGAAATCAGGAACCAAAATTTGTTCTTCAGATTAGTTTAAAAGATAACTACTTTTTGGAAAAACAATTACTGCATTTATGTTCATTTGCATCAGGTCTCGCGATATATGGCAAAAACACACACACTGCTCAGATAAAGGGTTTTATACGATGCGCTCAAGGGCCCAAGATTTTTACACAGTTCTGAATATATAATGTGTGTGTGTGTATATATATATATATATATATATATATATATATATATATATATATGTGTGTGTGTGTGTGTGTGTGTGTGTGTGTATGTGTGTATATGTGTATATATATAAGTTCTATACAGAAACTTAATACAGAGAAAATTGTTCTATATAGCACCAAAAAGGGGATCTTCTATTGTTACAAAGTCAAGTTTGTAACCCTTTTTTGGTGCTATATAAAACAATTTTCAAACAGGTTCCATATAGAACCACACAACAAATTTTCCATCAATCTAAAGAACCATTTTACAATAGAGAGAACCACTTAAGCATGCAGTTGGTTCTATATAGAAATAAGGGTCCTGAATAGAACCACTGCCTTTAATAAAGAACCATCTTTTTAAGAGTGCACCTCTCTCTATATGTATACATACATTCATACACACATTTACACATACGTACACACTCTCGGTGTGCAAACCGCGGAATCTGAGCTCGTTAGTTTTTCAGTTAAAGGTAAGTCTTGAGACTGAAATGGATCTTTATTAAATACATAACTTGTGATTTCAATAAACCAGTGATTGCAGTGGCTATATTGTACTGATCTGCAGCGCGCGGGCAGGTGTGCTGCTGTTTCCGAGAATGTTCCAGCTCTTTCCGTCTCATGACGCTGCAGCCGAGTAAGTTAGCAGCCCTGATAATTCCGTTTTTACACGAACACGTGCTTATCTGCGGCGAACACGACGCGAGTTTCAATCGAAACTGTAAACACAATCGAACAGAATTGGCTTATCGGTGCGCGAGGCGCCTCCGATCACAAAAACACACAGAATGAGCTCGCGCTCAGAAACGCCGCCGCGCGCCGCACACACAGTTCAGCTAAACGGGAGAATAGCGGAGCGCTGAGCCGGTCTCGGTTCATGGAGAGAGTCAGATACAGAACACAGCTCTTCGCTCAACCCCAGTTTCGCCTCTCAGGGTGGGAGTCCGCCTCTATCAGACCGCTGTTTCGATTCGAAGTTCGTTTACCTGATCCGGCGGCCGCCGCCATCTTGTCGCTGAGCAGCGGGAGCGCGCACGCTCCGTAGACTTCGCGGGCACGCGTCGCATGAGGGCGCGTTCACGCATGAAAGCAGGCGATTCTGCATTGGGTCTGTCTCAGTACAGAGTGAGCCCCCTTCCTCCCTACTGCCTACATAGGCAGTAGTTACTCTTGTCCAAAGTCCTTATAGGAGAAAGTCTGTTCACGCGACGGCCATCTTTGAACGCTGCCGGTCAGTTATTTCGAGCCATTTAAGACCAGACTATCTCGTTGAATGAGGAGAGACCTAAATATTCAAAACTGAAGATCAAATTACCGTTTCAAAAACATATTTAAAATAACTGCTAAAATCTGACAAAAGCCTCTTAAGTAGTTTGTGGCGTTTGCCTCAACAACGTGCTGGTTGGTTAACATTGCTGCTACTGAGTGCTGATTGGTTCACATAACTGCAACTGAGTGCTTTTTTACTGGTGTTTTGAATGCATACAAAGCAGAAATAAAATGTGGGTTAACTGTTAGCTTCTAAGGGCATACTTCTTTAGCTTTGATTACCCTCAGAACTGGATAGCTGAATCAATAAAAAGGCTGTAAGAGTGTAAAAATAATGTATACTCATGCAGATAAGAAATAAAACCACTCTGGCCTAGTCACACTTACAAATACAACAAAAACAGCTACATATCTCCTCTTTTCAAACTTCTTGCCTGTATTTTTATTGTCTCCACACTTCCACAGAGTGTCCTGAATCCACTTTCTTTACCTGATTCTCGTTTCTCAGCCTCTTTACATGTAGAGACAGAGCAGCGCTTGGAATCCACATTAATCACCCCACCCCACCCCACCCAACCCCACCCAACCACACAACTGGATAAAAGCCTTTAATATTAAAGATATAGAGGTAAGTTTCAGTGTTCAGATTGGCAAGAAAGACAGATACTGAACTTTGGCTTAAAAACTAATGAAATAAATGGTGATATGTATGATCTGAACCAATCAAAAACAGCAAACATTAGCATGCAATAATTTGGTATCAATTACTGTATTATCAGTTACAGTGAGATGCTGCTGCTTTCCTTCAAAGCATCACCATCAAGTGGAGGAACTGAACTACATTCAGCTGTTCAGTTATTGTCTTTTGACTTTCACCATGCAGTGACCTTGTTGGTGAGTTACTGCCACCTGCTGTGCTACAGCGGCATAACTGAAATGTCTTCAACACAGAATCCGTTACAGGTTGTCTCAGGTCACTCAGAGGTAATATATCTAGGTTTGGATATATAGTGGACACAGCCACACAGCCAACGAGCCACCTCCTTGCATTTACACTCTTTCATCCATTTTATCAGCTCCACTGACCATATAGGTGCACTTTGTAGTTCTACAAACTGTAGTCCATCTGTTTTTCTGCATACTTTGTCACCCTGTTCTTCAATGGTCAGAGCCCCCACAGAGCAGGTTTTATTTGGGCGGTGGATCATTCTCAGCACTGCAGTGACACTGATGTGGTGGTGGCGTGTTGGTGTGTGCACTGGTGCGAATGGATTAGACACAGCAGTCCACTCACTGTCCGCTCTATTAGACACTCCTACCTTGTTGGTCCACCTTGTAGATGTTGGTCAGATGTTGTGTTGGTCATCCTCTGCCCACAGGACGCTGCTGGCTGGATTGGTGGACTATTCTGAGTCCAGCAATGACACTGTGGTGAATAAAAGTGAAAAACCATGGTGCTCTTCATCAAATAAAAAGTCTTTCAACGTGTTTTAGCTTGTGCAGAAAGAGTCAGACTCGGGCACAAGCTGAAACGTGTTGAGAGTTTCTTTTGTCCATGCCAAGTTATAATAAAGGCCTTTATTTAATGAAGAGCACCATGGTTTTTCACTCTTTTCTCTTGATTTTGAAACCCTGGCCACCGAACAGCTTCAGAAAACATTTCTTTCCCCGTCAGTAGCACTTTGTATTTTAGTGACAAAACTCCAGCAACACTGCTGTGTCTGATCCACTCGCACCAGCGCAACACACACCAACACACCACCCGCGTAATGTCTGAAGAAAACCTTGTATCTCAACTTTTGTCACTTTTCAGTTTCTGACATAATTTGTAAAAGCCTGTTGTCCTTTACATTGTGTGTGAATTTCATGATGAATGGATCAAAGGAAACGGCCCAAAATGACTTGGGGAAAAAGTCTGGTTCCATTGACTTACATTAAAAGTAAAGTAGGTTTTTTCCTTCTCCTGTGAAGTTATCATTTTGGAGATACGAGGTTTTCTTCCGACAACAGCGAGATATATAGTACAATAATGTAATTTGACTGGGGTTCCAAAACTTACATATAACTATTTATGTAATAATAATAATAATAAGAAGAAGAAGAAGAAGAAAAAGGAGAAGAAGAAAAATAAATGTTTTTTATGTATTATGGAAAGGAAAGTATCAACATGTAGAAAGACTTTTAAAGTCTAGTCCTAAAACTATCCCTAATCTTCACTTCTGGAACTTTCAGCTTCAAAAACCGTAAAAAAAAAAAAAAGAAACACTGAAAGAATGAGTCGCCCTGTCAGAAGACAGCACCTTTCCAATAAGTCATTTTGTCAAATTTCTGCTCTGCTAGAGCTGCCCCAGCCAACTCTCAGTGCTGTCTAAGAGCAACAACTGCTCAGCGGTGGAATGTTTGGTCACACAAGCTCACATAACAGGACCACAGAGTGATAAAGCACCACATACTGTTGGCCATGAGGTGTAGCTCCTTTTCCTGTTCCAGGAAAAAACAGTGTGACAACCAACCCCATGTTCCACTATTATAAACAAAGCCTGTTTCTTCTCTGAAATGTGTATACCTGTTTAAGTGCACTGTTTATACTACACATAATACAGTTTACTGTCATATAGTAACTACATAAACCTTGCAACTGTTGAACTGGGGATGACGTGATAATCTCCATCGTCTCTGGTGCTGTGAAAGGCAACAAAGGCAACACAATAAAAAGTGAAAAAAGGTTTGAATGTTGAGACATTGATCAAAACAGATCAGACCACACAAACATCTGTATTACAAAACAGCCTTGAATTATAATTTATTGCACATCCACTGATAATGACAACATACAATGGAACAAGACCCATTCTGAACAAACTGGTTTGCAAGCAAAACAAAAAAAAATCTAATTACAAAATTGTTTTTGTTTTCATTTGCTTGAATTTGCCTTTACAGTGGGTTTCTAATAGAAAATGATCCAGGCATGGCGGGCCAGTTTCTGCATAGGCTATGAGAAACACTCTCAGTCTCTGCGAATATGATTTCAACACCTGAAAAACAAACTTATTAAGTAGTCTTAAGTAACTGAAGGACCCAATGGCACAGCTAAATGCTTTGTACAGATCTGTATAGCAGAGTGACCCAGAGAGCGGACACTCCGGGGTGAAAACGAAGTAATATCTGATGCAAATGTACCTAGAAGAGACTCCGCTGCCCCGACCTAACTGGACCTCATCTTGCATGTTAAACAAAGAGGTGATTCACACAATTCAAGGATCTTTGCACATTTAACATTCTCGGTCACTGGATGCACGGGGAGGGAAGAGGCACTGTCGCCTCTATAGCAGGTGCCTCACCTCCAGCTATAAACATGCGAGTATTGCAAAGAATTAATGTTCAAACAAAGTGAATTACAGAAATACATAAGATTAATGATTCCTGAGAAATATAAAGAAATCATGTAAATAAATAAGTTTATGGCACTGATGATGAGAAAAATGAAGTTTTTTTTCCGGGAAAGCAAACCTCATTAACGTTGGGTTCAGCTGCTAAAATACACCATGAGCGCTTACATGTATAGTCTAGAGTTAAATCTATAGCTGAGTTATTAGTAATTATTGCTCTAGGTTTCTTAATTAAATGTGTCTGTTTATTATGATCAGGAGAAACGCATGACAGATTCATGCTGAACTGGCAGATCTGGAAAAAGTTGAGGACTAAAATACGAATATGAACTTGAAAACTGAGAATTGTGGCTTGGTTTTGATTCACTTAAAGGTAAATTCCACCAAACTCCCCAAATTTCTGCATAATTAAATGGTTGAGATGTAAACAGAGTCATTCAGAGAGGTGTGGTGTCAGAATTGGAGTCAGAATTGTTCAGAGTGGTGGTGATAGAAACCAGACGTCCACCTCTAAAAGCTCCCTCACAGAAGGTTATTACCTGAAATGGTTATGCAGGACACTGGAAGGCAAAATAGTGTGCAAGGAAATTTTCATTAAATTTATTTTCCATGGATTTATCACTATTTTCCCCATCATCAACATTCCATAGACAACTCAGAACTTGTGTAGGTTCACCAGTGGTTTTGGAAAGTAAATAAAATGACTGTTTGTGTTGTAGTCATGGTGACCCCTGGTTCCTATCACCACCACTGTAAAGAAATCTGAACCATTTCACACCAAACCTCTCTGAATCACTGTTTACGTCTCACTCTATTTACGCACTTAATTATGTAGAAATTTTGAAAATTTCTGTGGATTTCCTCTTTAAATGTTACCAAAAGCCACATGAATGTGCACTCAGTAAAATAAACAAGTAAACAACTAAGCAAACCAAAAATCCCCCAAAAAACTCAGTTAAGTTTGACCCAAGATTAAGGATACAAATGCAAACAGCAGCCAAACAAACAAACAGACAAAAAAAAAGGTTTATAAAGGTCTTTAAGGTAATGATGCTCTTGCCCAAATTTCACATTGCATCATTCAAACCAATTGAGATTAAAGAATAATAATAATAATAATAATAATAATAATAATATTTACAAAGTAGCCGTACATTAGTCATTAGTACAATGTCAATAACATGCACAGTCCTAAAACTAGATCTTTTAAATGGAAATATTACAAACCTTCCACCATAAATCCATGATTTAGTTTATTTTTTTCCTCTTTTTTTGCATTTGAAAAAGAACAAGCCCCCCTCCTCACCACACACAAACGAAAAGGAAACAAAACTTTGCAGTCAAATAATGAAAACATCTACTCATAATCAAATCATCTTGATTGTTTGCAGATAATGAACTGCTTGATTACTGAATTTCAGATTTCTGAATAACAAAAATTACATTATTTTACAGAATTAAACAGCAGTTATGTGTATATGGCTTCTTCAGCACAAACGCAGCAGGTTTCGTGATTAAGTTCAACCTACACACATGAGGGTAGTCAGTAGTTTAACCGTCAACTCAAACAGTGTGGAAAACAAAAGTCCTTCAACAGTAAGAAGGTAAACTTTACATTAGTCGACTAACAACAAAAAAAGACGTCACACACTAATTTCACTCGACCGCTATCTTGACACCCAAAGCAGAGATGAGGTGAGTCGATCCAAAAAAGAATTGATTCTTTGATTCCAGGCATTCGGATATTTAAGAGTCGACTCCAAAGTTACGTTTGAGTTTGCACCTGCACGAACACGCAGTTCAGATATTCTGCTGTCACTGTCTAGACAAGCTGTCCAAAAAATACGGCCTTCAACAAACACAAACACCCACAGCCCAGCTGGATTTTACTTTATACAATGTAGGAAACAAGCCTGTCGTTAAAAGAATGCCTTTTAATTCAACAACAACAGTGCTGAAACATCTACCCACCTGAAGAAGCGAATCGGTACAGAGGAGAATCAGGTACAGCTTACTCAGATACACTCATTTAGCCAGAATTAGCTCTCCAAATTTCCTTGCTGGAAATGTAATTAATACTGTACTCTTTTTTTTATTATAATTATTATTTCTACAGTGGGGTTCAAAAGTCTGAGTGAAAATGCTTCTACTTTGCATTCAAAACTGTTCATTACAATTTATACTACTAGCATAAACCTGGAGGTAATATCTATAGTAAAAAGTAATATCTCTGAAATATTTACACAAATTTCAGAGTTTTTCAAATTTGGTGGTGTGTCCTGCTTTTACTTCAATGACCGTGTGCATTCGAGCTGCAAGTTTGTGCAAGAGCCTTTGATGAGCAGATCAAATACGCCTGAGAGTCGTCTGAACACAAGTGTCACTGGAAGAGATCAGACTAAAAAAGAATAAAAAAAACCTTTTCATTATTAAAAGCCACAAACTTGCTTACATTTGAGTAGTGACCTAGAAATAATGCAGAATTTTGAATATTTCTTCTTTATTTATTATTATTTTTTTTTACTCATCATAATTTTCATTTGTTTAAAATTTTTCAAAGTTCTAAAATGTTGTAAATTTCCAGATTTAAATGTTAAAAAAAAATCCCAAATTTTCATTGTGGCCTCAGACCTCTGGACCCTCTGTATATGCCTTGGTTTTTAGAATCATGAATACCGCGTGGAATCTACTCTCAGAAACGACTATCAATCAGTTCCCTGTCACTTGGAATCGGAATCGAAGTCGACTCTGGAACCGAACAGCCGTACTGAGGTTGTCATGATGAAGTCCACAATGGTTCAATCTGACTTAAATCTATCAAAAGAAGTGAATAGTAAAAAATGTCCAAATCTATCTTTATCATTAACCAGAAATATTTATTTTCCTACTTTTTCTTCTCTGTTTTCACAGTCTGGTTCCAGGATGTTCCCACTGTAGCCTCGCTTTGGATTTCAAATTAGCAGTCGAGTGAAATGAGCACTTGGCGCACATGATAGGTTAACTTCTAGTCCTGCAACATTTTATCTAGCGTAATTAAGCAAATTATCCAGCTGTACACTCTTAACAACAATGGTTCTGCAAGGGTTCTTTATAAAGAACCATGAACACTCAAAGAAACACTTTCATGAAAAATAGTAGAACAGTTCTTTGCATGGTGAAATGGTTCTTTAGATTGATGAAGAATGTGTTGTATGTGGTTCTACATAGAACCTCTCACCGAAAGGGTTCTGCTACTGGTACGAGGTCAAGTTTGTCACAACAGAAGGACCCTTTTTGGTGCTCTATAGAACCATATACAACATATTCTCCATCAATCTGAAAAGCCATTTCACCATGCAAAGAAAAATGATGGTTCTTCAAGGGTTCTTTAGTAAAGAAAATGGTTCTATATAGAACCATGAACACTCAAAGAAGGCTTTGCATGATTAATTGGTTCCTTGTATTGTCAAAGTGTTCTTCAAATTGATGGAGAACGTGCTGTAGATGGTTCTATATAGAACTTTTTTCAAATCAATCTCAGTCAATCTGAAAAACCTTGTTGTTTTGTTGTTTTTAAGGGTAATTAATAATGCATGCGCTACTGTTTGATCATTTATTATTGAGACATGCAGCATCGATTACTCAGCTGTTGTGATAATACAAAGTCCAAAAGGGTTCAATCTGACTTACATCTATCAAAAGAAGTAAATAAATAAATAATATCTTTTACAGGGGAATTTCATCATTAAATCCACAGTCACACTGATGTATACAGTTAAAAACATCTGGGCCTCAAAATCCCTCAGACTCATGCATGGTTTAAAAAGACTGTCTCTAAGGCCCCTTTGACGTTAGACCACCTATGAAAGTTCTACACTGCCAAAACTCTATGTGACTGGCAGATATGATTTTCTAGATATACGTTAATGCAGTTCAGCTCTTTTCAATTAGCAAAAATCTCTTCGGAACTTTCTGAATATCGTCGCTGTCCAACAAAAAACAAGAATTTCCAAAATGGCAAAACTGTACAGGGGAAGACAAAATCGTTTGTTACTTTTAATGTAGGTTAATGCAAAGAGATTTTATTTCGGGCAATTTCGGAGCATTGGTCCGTTCATCATTTCGTCAATAAATAAACAACATGGAGATTCTGGACAGCGACAATATTTTGAGCTTGTAACAACAGATTTGTTGTTAAAGGCCTGATTAGGAAGGTCAGGTCCCCTTCCTTTTCTTCAAAACAAGCCCAAATACAGGAATTATGAACAAAGCAGCTTCTTCCACACATTGACCTTAAGTGTGACGGTGGACACCAATGAGCACGCTGCTTCACCTGCATTAGTCTTCGCTTCCGTGAGGAAAAACGCAAGTCAAGACCATTTTTAAAGGCACAGTCTTCAGTCTTGACCAAGTTTAGTAGCTTTCTTTTCTTTCAAAAAAAAAAAGTTTGAAGCCATTCTGAACTTTAATGTGTGGAAAATTAAAATCAAAACGTAGTAAGGCATATTAAGCATTGTGTTAAATAGCATATTATGCACTCAATTTTTTCTGCTTATTGGCCACTGAGCAGAACAAGATGGTTTATATCAGTGGTGGGGAAACAAGGGCCAGCATTGTTTCGCTGCTTCGCCATGCCAACTGAACCTGCTAATTAACCGCAGAGTCAAATTTACACAATGTTCCACTTAGCCCAGATGTAGATGTGTTTGGTATCCAAATTTTGCCTTTAAGTTTTATAATTTGGTTTAGAACTAAAGCTGCAAGGCTGATGTAACCAGTGTTGGGGTTGTTACCTTAAAATAATCCATCACAAATTACTAATTACTTCTCTCAAACTGTAATGGGATTATTTTACTGATAAGTTCCTGAAAAAAGTAAACTCACTGCTCATTACATTACTTAATATTTCTGAATGAAGTGTAAATGTTACAGAGCTGTTTGTGAATGTAAATGGGGTCTGGTCTGTTTAGGTGAGCCTCTCTTCTTCAGCATGGAGATCTTTATCCATCAGTTTCATATCAGCATGATTAGATCATGTGACAGATTGTTTGCAGAGTTTACGGAGCTTCCCGCGCTCGCACTGCACTGCTCATGTTCACAATCAAAGCTGCAGTCATCTGACGCAAGACAGGCACAGATAATCTATATAGAGGAAACATATGATTTAAAGGCATCTGGTATAATTAATTTAGCTCTTTTAAAGGTACAAGAGTAAAGAAAGTAACATAATTACAATAACTGAAGCTGTAATACACTGTTACAGGAAAGATTTGTCACGTTACTGTAACGTGTTCTTTACACCACTTTACGCTTAACACTGAATTAAGCTGAACGAACACTAGAAGACAATAGTCACCAAAATCTTTTCTGTAAATACAACTTCTCTCAACCCGCTCAAACCGCATCCAGCTGCTCATTAAGGTGACACAGAGCTGTTAATGTGGTTTAGGACACAGTAGGACTCTGTGTGATACTGTGTCTTAAACCATATTGCACATAGTCTGCATATACTTAATGAAGAGCTGGATACTGTTTGAGAGAAGTTTTGGGGATGTACTTTACAAAAACTATTTGGGTGACTATTGACTTGCAGTGTTTGTTAGCTGCATTAGCCTCTTAGCTTTGACACCAAACTAAAAAAATCTAAATTTTGACACCAAACATGACTTGGCTGATCACCTAAATCTAGGGAAAGTGGATAATTGCATAAATTAGTTTTTCATTCCTTTAGCTGGAGTTCTCTGGTTTATATGTAAACATAAACTGCCTTTAATCCATATTCTGTAACAGGGTCACCTGGACTGGCGCGATAGCGCTGCTGTTTAAACACATGATACTGCACTAAATTTGGGATGTTAGGCAACTGTGAAAGTAGCTCTAAGGCGAGGAGTCTGTTTGTGGAGTAACGCAAAACTGTTCAGAAAACTTGATACCAAAACAACTAACTATTACAGTTATGGGCCGATCACAAAGCTGCGAAGTTCGTTTTTTTTGTTTTGTTTTGTTTTTACAAGCTTGTATGTTATCGGAATTTCACAATAAATATACAATTACACATGGATACAAGTGAAAATGCAAAAAATTCAAAGCCTCTTCTTACGTAACAGATGTCTGGTACTTTATTAAATTAGTGCAACCTATTATTGTTTCATGTTCTCCACTGAAAAAGGTGGCGAGAAGACCAAGTGTTTTCAGCAGCTCAGGGAAACGTAAGTATGGAAACCCATTCACCTCTTTTTTTTTCCGTTTTTCAGTTTCCAGCAAATAGTATGTCAAAATACTGACTTATTTTCTTGAATTGTTGACTATATTGATATACTATGTTGAAATAATAAGTTATTAAATTTCAAGAAAGTATATTTTTTAAGGATTATCATTACTGCAATATACTAGTCATTATTATGACAGAAAGTCATTAGGTCAGCAAAGTAGGTCAATAATTTGACAAGTCATATATTAAGAAACTAAGTCAATCATTTAACAAAATTACCAATTATTTCAAGACACGAGTCAATCTCTCAAAACAAGTCATTATATTTGGGATATTAAGTCAAATTTGTGACATACTGATACCAGAAACAGAAAAAGAGCTAAAAATTGTAGGTGATTTTTCTACCTGGCAAGAATAGCCTTCTATACATTAGTGTCATGGTTGGTATAGCGATTTAAAATTCTTCATACTGAGCGACTGAACAGAAAACAAGATTTCAGACAAGTTTTTTTAATTATCATGATTAAAAATGGCTGGATTAACGCTGTCCCATTGTGTTTGCGTCCTAAAACGTCAAAAGAAGACTGAAATTAGCCCATGCCGTAATTACGCGTGATCAATAGCAGCCCTTTGATTTAAGTACCACAAAAAAGAGTTAATCTGGTGGGGAAAAAGTACAACAATGCACTCTCTCTCAGCACACTGGCAAACAGTTACTGGTGCAGAAATTACACTTGGATAAAAGAAAAAAAATGGATGGAGAAAAAAGTAAGCGACGAAAACAACAGACGAATGGATCAATCCTTTGGCACCTCTGGGCACGTGGCAGTACTCTGCTGGGTGAAAAAAAAAAAATACAGTCTGGCAACTGGACAGAGGGGTTTGTCTGTACCCTTTGGCTAGCCTTCCAAAGACTCACTCAAGATTTGGAGGACTATTTCTGCATCTCTCTCTCGCACTTACGCAGGCATACTTATCCTATTCGTACACAATGGAGAGAGTTTCTCTGTCAACCCCCCCTTTTCCCCCCAAAATATACACATGAACTTGTGCGCACGAGCACGTACCCACGCGTCTGAGTCCCCACATTCACACTGGAAGCCCTAGAGGTTTTCCCCGGGCTGGTACTGGGGTTCAGTGGAGGTGAAGTAGTCCTCCAGGAAGCCCTGCAGGTACTCAAACGTGGGCCGCTCCTCGGGCTCCTTCCGCCAGCAGCTGAGCATCAGCTCGTGCATGGAGCTGGGGCAATCGGCCGGACATGGCATCCGATAACCTCGCTCCACCTGGTCAAGCACCTCCCTGTTCACCATGCCTGGAGGGATGAAAATATAGGGATGAACACTGTAAAACAGAGAGGAGTGTGGAGATCCACTCATCTTAGGGCTGTTTTCAGTCTTCAGCACTTCAGCAGGTAAAAACAGACCACCAGGGGTCATTTTTAAGGTACTTCTCAAGATAAAGCCTGTGCATGATCTCATGACAAGACAGCAGCGCTGACTTATTAAAGCAATAAGATGCAAGAGCCCAAGAGCTTTAAGCTGCTTTCACACTGACCGCTGAATGAATGAAAATTCACTGCTGCTCTTTTAAACACACTGTTTCACAATCGTTTCTGCATGGGCAATAGGAGAGGCGTGTCTGGTAGCTCCTCTCACCACCTAAAAGGCTAGATTTATGCCCATTTAGTGAGCACGGTGCACACTGTGAGTGGTGTGGTCTGAGATCTCATCATTGCTAAAAAGGGCCAGAAAGAAAACCGAGGCCTCTTTACTTACATTGTTTCACTTACATTGTGAACACAAAAAGCACTGAGGCCATTTGCAGTTGGTTCCCTTTCAGGTTCACTTTAACAGAACATATATTTAACAGGAAATATATGTGAAAACACGCTTAATGTCTGTATAGGCAGACATCTACACTTTTAGAGAAAGACTAAAAACGATGAACACACGCTGCTCTAGCAGTGGTGATGGAAAGCAGGCCCGTGCACTGACAGGGAAAAAAGGGCAACCTGTATGCAAATTAAACTTAATTTTACTTACAGCATAGGGTTGTGTGAAAGGGAAAAATAAGCTACAATAAAAAGATAAGTCACTTCTTGAAAAATTCATAATTACATTAAAACAAGCAAAATTTCAGTGACTGGGTATTGTGATCTACTCGTCCCTCAATACTGTTACAAGCTGTTCCATTATAATTCAACAAACAACAGCTGTAAAACTGTCGCCGACTCTCACTATTCATCACGGTTTTACCAACATCTGATAGTGATTTATGAAGAGGTTTTGCTTGCTTCTGTAATAACTTCATACAGACCGGCATAAAGCAGACCATCACAGAATACTGCAATTCGCATTTCTACTAAAACTGGGCTTGTTTGTGTTACCTGGGTACGGAACTCGTCCTTTTGTGGCCAGCTCGGTCAGTAGTATGCCGAAAGACCAAACGTCTGATTTGATGGTGAAGCGGCCGTACAGTGCAGCCTCAGGAGCCGTCCATTTAATGGGAAACTTGGCACCTTATTTGAAGGAAGTACAAACAAGGCAACATCCATTACATTAAACACCAGCATATGCAGTAACTGAGCACCTAAATGAATGAGGACTGGATGAATAATTCACAGACTTTTAAATTAAAAGTGTAAAGTAAGTGTCAGTTTATAATGTTATTAACTAATTAGTTAAACAACTAATCTGGTTAAAAGTAATATTAAACAACTAGTTTTATTTTAAGTCATGTTAAACAAATAATCTAGTTCAAATATAATCTGGTTTAAGTAAACAAATAATAAGTGAATAATTATGGGTTAGTTTATGATGTTAACTCATCATTTTAAGCAATGTTAAACAACTAATCCAGTTTAAATAATGCTAAACAATCTGGTTTAAATAATTATAGGCCAGTTTATGATGTTAAACAACTAATTTGGCTTAAGAAGTGTTAAACATTTAATTCATTCTAAATAATGTTAAACAAGCAATCTGGTTTAGGGACAAAGTGATTACTAGTACAAATTACTAATGTATAGGCGACAATACTGACATTTCATTTAAGTAATTTTAAACAACTAATCTGGTTTACGTAATCTTAAACAACTAATTTGTTTTAAACAACTAATTATTTAGACAACTAATCTGGATTAAGTAATACTAAACACAAACAATCAGTTCAAATCATGTTAAACAACTAATCTGGTTTAAATGAAACAACTAATTAGTTAGACAACTAATCTGGATAAAGTAATATTAAGCAACTAATGCAGTTAAAATCACATTAAACAACTAATCTGGTTTAAATGATGTTAACAACTAATCTGGTTTACGTAATCTTAAATAACTAATATGGTTTAAATTAAACAACTAATTATTTAGACAACTAATCTGGATTAAGTAATACTAAACACCTAAATCAGTTCAAATCATGTTAAACAATTAATCTGGTTAAAGTAATGTGAAACAACTAATCTGGTTTAAATGAAACAACTAATTAGTTAGACAACTAATCTGGATAAAGTAATATTAAGCAACTAATGCAGTTAAAATCACATTAAACAACTAATCTGGTTTATGTAATCTTAAATAACTAATTTGTCTTAAATTGAACAACTAATTAGTTAGACAACCAATCTGGATTAAGTAATACTAAACACCTAAATCAGTAAATCAGTTCAAATCATGTTAATTAATTTGATTTAAGTAATATCAAACAACGAATCTGGTTTAAATTAAACAACTAATTAGTTAGACAACTAATCTTGATAAAGTAACACTAAACAACTAATTCAGTTAAAATCAGGTTAAACAACTAATCCAGTTTAGGTAACTAAATTGGTTTAAGTAACTAGTCTGGTTTATGTAACTAGTCTGGTTTAAGTAACTAATCTGGTTGAAGTATAACCTGGTTTAAGTAACCTTGTGTTAACAGTACTGATATCGTACAGTACATATCTGCAGCAGACTCTGAAGCTCTAGCTCTTACCCTGTCTGGCTGTGTACTCATTGTCTTCAATGAGTCGCGCCAGTCCAAAGTCGGCCACCTTGCACACCAGGTTGTCTCCCACGAGGATGTTTGCTGCCCTCAGGTCTCTGTGTACATAGTTCATCCTCTCCACATAAGCCATACCAGCAGCAATCTGAAAAAGAATTCAATCCAGCAAATCTGAAGTGGACCTTAAGAAAATCTTAAAACAAAAGTATGTCTAGCATTAAAGCACAGTACCTGAGATGCCATATCAACCAGCTGTGGAAGTCGCAAATATTTCCCCTTTTCACCTTTTAAATAGTCCAGGAGGCTGCCTGTGGTGGGAGAATATTACAGATTATTCGAATTGCCTACTTGGCCAGGTTCGTAGTAAGGGTGGGCAATATCATTTTCATAATATCATTTTCATAATAAGTCACAATATGTTTTCTAAGTATATCATGGATGGCATCAGCACCTAAACACTGAACAACTACATGTTTTCGTTGAGGTCAGACCTTGACTCATATATTCCGTAACAATGTAGATGGGCTCCTCTGAGACGACGGCGTACAGCTGGACCAGTTTTTCATGCCGGAGCTTTTTCATGACTTGGGCCTCTTCCAGGAAAGCCTCGGGCGACATGGTGCCAGGCTTCAGCGTCTTGATGGCTACTCGCGTCGTCCCATTCCAAGTACCTGGACCAGCAAAGAAGGTTATTTTCAAATCACAAAACACACTGACTTTCCTTACACTGAGTTGAGCTTTGAGTGTTTTCATTGAAATTAACCCCTTAAATAGCCAGACAACCAAACCTTTGTTACACACCTCCATAACTTGAAAATATCTCTGAATAGTACACCCTGGGATTTTAAGAATTGAACGCATTTCTTCCATGTTTATGTGTTAGAACATTTTCAAAAGCTCGATTCAGATGGGATTAAATTTGCAGGGGATGGAATTTGGGGTAGTTTCCTCTTTTATCTGTGCTGCTCAGTGATGTTATTTCTGTCCGGATCAGCTGTGTTGGTCATTTTCTCCCTCTTCTCCTGAGATGATCACTGTTTTTCACCAAACTCAGCAGTGCTCTGATCATTTTAGTCCAGTCCAGATACAGTTCTCTGTGATTTTCCAGGAAACCACGGTTACTCACCCTATTTAGTACTCACCCTCTTAATGCACATTAAAGCAGTGAGCCGTAAGAGGCCGTGCATTACAGTGATTTTATCATGATTAAGGGTGTTGCTCTGCCTCGCACTGTGCCTAAAAACCCCCTTAACAACGTTGCGTTAAAATCACTAATGTACAGCCTCAAGGGGGATATTGCTTTTGGACAACGTAAAATACGATGAAACAAATTATTATTTGAAAACTGTATACGTTTTAATTAATCATGATAAACAATTCTTTAGCCAAGAAAAGTAGTTTTGCAAGAGTATGTTGTTGCCAAGCAACCACTAACTGCTAAGAGAGGACAAGAAAATTCATCATTTTATACTGCGGTCATTTCATGAACTCTGTCATTTAATAAACAAGATATAGCACTGCAAAAGAAAAATTCCTTGACAAGTAGTTTTTGCTCACTAAATTACTACCAACATGACAATGCAATTTCCAGTCTTATGTTAGCACAAAGCTAATAGAGCCGTATGTCTCCTCACTACATAGGTCACTACAGAGGAATTAAAATAGTGACTCCAGCACCCAAACAAACAGCCATTTGGGCAGCATTACAGTCAACATTCACAGCACAAGGATTTTTAGTGACCCGGTGCATTAATACAGACTTCAGTTGTGTTGTGACGCAATCATTTCAAGTATTCAATCCAGTATCTTAGAACGGCTTCAGACAAACAGATTATAGAAGTGGAACTATCCGTCTTATTAATAGATGTTAAACACTTCCTGAACTGACAAATGATAGATGCTTTGGAAGAGTCTCTCGATCATTTATTTGTTCTGAGTGGTAGAACTTCATCACACTGGGAGAGCATTAGCCAGTGATGGATGAAGTATACAAACCAGTCCTTAAATTAGACCTCCACTTGAGTAAAAGTACAAAAGTATTTGCCTTCAAATGTACTTAAGTATCAAAAGTGAAAGTATTAAAAGATCAATTATGGCTCTAATGTCCTATTACCATTTTTGTGACAAGACTCTTGCTTCATTAACTCATTTTAGGTGAAAATACTCCAGTGTCACTCTTGGTGTACCAATATTTTAATAGAATGTCACTAATTAGTCTGACGTTGATGTCCATTAAAATGATCATAAGCACAAAACACTAAAGGCAAACAATTTCCATTAGGTAGAACCGAGTGGCTATGAAATAACCTTTTGCGAACAAGCAAAGTTTTGGTTTAAGATTTAATTGCAACTTAGTTTAAATAAAAAATAGTTTAAATTTAAACAAGTTTCAAGTTTAATAAAAACTTGCTTTAAACACAGGTTCACAAATGAGTTTTCCTTTACTATACTGCATCTGCAGGTCTCTGTTCATAAACATAAACTAGCCAAAATGAATTTACTGTAAAATGAAAGTGTTTGTATAAATTCAGAAAAAGAAACATGCCAGTCACAACTGCATATGTGTACATATTTCTATATTGTGGTCTATTTACACAAAGTTTGGTTAGAGTCAGGAGTTTCCTCCATCATTTACGTAGGTATAGGCATTCCCTAAACTTTTACGCTGTTACACTGTCGTTGAACCGTGTGCTGCACTGGGTCGGTATGACCAACAGGTCAAAACAAGCTCAAAACAAAGTGCGCGCTGTACCCTGATCGGTGTGCTGCTTTACACTTCTTTTGTTTTGACATGTTACGTTTTTATACACACAAAAGCCAAAAGGAACGACAGATTTTGCATAATGTAGTGGAGTAAAAAGTAAGATATTTGACTTTGAAATGTAGTGGAGTGAAAGTAAAAAGTCACCAAAAACGGAAATACATCAGTAAAGTACAGATACACGAAAAAACTACTTAAGTACAGTAACGAATTACATCTACTTCGTTACTGTCCACCACTGGCATTAGCAGATACAGGTGTAAGGCATTACTGTATCTTTGCAATATCATCGGCTTTTTGTTTTCCTGTGATGCGTCTGGGTTTGTAGAAAATACAACCCACTAAAATAATGTCCTGCAATATTTTTATTGTTGTCCGGATGTGAAAGTTTCATCACTGAAGAGACGTTTAAAAATGTTTTTACAAATACACAAACCCATCTGATACACAAAATCCGATCCGAAAAGAGCTTTAAATAGCATTAAAGCAACAGTTTGGCAAAATACCTTGTTTTTCCCCCCTGACAAAAATACAGAACAATGTACACTGCATCATACAGTACACCAGAAACCACAGCAGACAGCTCTATTTGAGATTACATAAGGGGAAATTCCACTTATTTTTCCAGAAAGGTGCCTAATTAAACAAGCATAGTCATTCAGAGTGGGTTGGTATGAAATTCTCTGTTCTGGAGAAACTTACTGAATCAGAATTGTTCACAGCGGTGGTGATAGGAACCAGACATCCACCTCTAAAAGCTCCCTCAAAGAGAGTTATTACATGAAATGGTTATGAATACACTGCCTGATGTTTGAGGTTTAACAAGAAGGATGTGGCCTAAAATAATTTTAAAAAACTATTCATGGTAGAGGGGTACACGCAGGGTGTTGTGAGGCAAAACAGTCAAAAAAAAAATTTTGTTCAGATTTTTCATTATTTTTCCATCATCATCATACCATATAAAACTCAGAAGACTCGTGTAGGGTCACTGGTGGTTTTGTGTAGTAAATAAAACAGCTATATTTGTGTTGTAGTCATGACGACCCCTAGTTCTTATCAGCACCACTATAAAAAATCTGAACCAATCACACCAAACCACTCTGAATCACTCTGTTTACATCCCAATGATTGAATTATGTCAAAAGTTTGAAAAACTTTGGAATTACCATTTAACTTCAGGCAAGTCTGTGATAATTCAGGCATGCAGTTTGCATGATGCTAATTGGTGGGGTACAGGATTCCATTTATTGCTAGCTACATTAGCCTTGTAGCACCAGTGCTAAAGTACAGCATAATGACAAAACAGTCAAGTCAATTTTTGGCCAAACTATCACTTTAACATATCATGTTAGAATACATTTAGTAGCATTATTCATATCATACTAGACTGTTGGAAGTAAAGGTTAGTGTACTTTAATGTTAATGTGAGCTGTTGGAATTATAATGGCACATACTGTACCCTCAAACACTCCTCCTTTGAAAATGTGGCGACCTGAGGTAAACGAATATGAACATGCATAACTTGTAGATGTTCCATTTCTAAGAGGTATGGCAAGACTGCTTTAGAAATGGCAGAGTTTGCTCATATCATACCCATCCACACTTCCCCAAAGCAGCCCTGGCCCAGCTTGACATCCAGCCGGAGTGACTCTCGGGGGATTTCCCAGGCGTCTCGCGCTAGGCCTTGAGTCTGCGGCTTCAGCATGGGACAGATATCTGTCAGGACGTGACATAATCCGTCTGCGTGTGCTGAAACAGGACACAGGACAAAACGATCTTTAATTCTTAATGTTCCACACAGAGGAGTCAATACAACTGAGAAAATATCATTTCAATGGATTATGGTACAATTATGTTCCCTGACTTAAGGTACTGAGACCTACCCTTGAGGGTCCCACCCCATTGACAAGAGGGGTACTAGTGACAGTTTAATACCTTTATTTCTGAGAGTGTATATTAACATATTCTTAGAACCTTCTGAATGGACAACAAATTTTAAAGAGGTGATTTTTACACATCTTCTAAACCTTATCATTTATATAGAATTTAAGAACCTGCGATTTAACTGATTGCTTTATTCCTATCATTTCTTGCAATGCAATCAAAACCATACATTTTTTTCTAGCGTTGTCAAGGTTAACCCATTAATAACGTGTTATTAACGCCACTAATTTTTTAACACAGTTAACATATTTCTCTTTTCTGTCCCTTCAACCCATCCATAGTAGGACAGGTTCAAAGTGCTCTGTATGCATCACTGGATGTCAGTGATTAAACTGGAAACTGCATTCACTCTGTGGAAATCATGTGATTTTCATGTTGAGATTCACACGATAAAAAACAAAATTCACTGCTTTCAAAATGAAAAAAATGTAAGCAAATATTATTTTGATTGTGATTAACTACACAAAATAATGTGAGTAATCATGATTAATTATAAAACTTGTTTGTCAGCCCTAATTTTCTTTCATGATAGGGGCAGAGAATGAATATATTTGGAAATGTTGTAAGCGAAATTACATTATTTCTCCCCCACTAGTAAGGACTCCCTCAATCACACGATACCACCAGCGCCAGGAGGGTGAAAACAAACACAGGTTTTCTCAGAGTCCTTTGAAGCTTCTTTTTAAGCTGCCGCTAACGCAACGTCATTGGACAGCTGAACATGCTCGGAGGAGAACTCTAACCGCCAATTCTGTTACGTGAGCTAACAGACGCCTGCGCTGGCTAGCATCGCGCTGAGTGATGGGGGGAGACAGGGGGCCATCCTGCCCACCCAGAGAGAGAGAGGACAACTGTGCTGACTCCCAGCCACAGATGGCTGTAGCATCACCAGGGATTGAACTCGCGATCTCCTGATAATAGGGTCAGTGAAAATGCATAAATTTGAATGTAACTTGCCACAATGGGCGATGTTGTGTCTAAAACTATGGGAGGCAAATCTGGCCAAAAAAGAAATTAAAATTAAAACAATAAAATGTAAATGCAAACCTCTTTTTGCCATTTCTTTTTCCAAACATCTGCGCAAATATCCTGCCAAAACTGAAAATGAATGTTTATGGTTAGCAAGTCAGGGACATTTGTGAAGAGCACAGAACTCACTTCGATAGTGGAGGACCAGCTGCTGCAGACTGGTGAACTGAGTGCGGGATGTGATGTAAAAGCCTCCGCTGTCCAGCTTCCTGATCTTGTAGTGCTTGACGTTTAGCCCCTTCATGTTGTCGTAGTCCAGGACAGACAGGCAGTAAGCGCCTAAACAAAAACATACCTCAGGTATAAATAAGCAAAAACAACCAAAAACAACCTGACTGTGTAGTAGCAACGGAATGTTGTGGCTCTGTATCTTTTTCCAGTCAAATGTTGTTTAATAATGCTCTTCCTGAGAATTTTAAGCTCCTTCACCTTCACCATGATCACTACTTGTTATGTGAAATCATTCCAACCAACTGAAATCAATTTTGTAATGACACCAGTGCCATTTGCAGAGGAACATTTGTATTTTTGCAGCATTATTATTTTTGTATTTTTAATCATATCTTTATTTATGCTTGATATGGAGGGGATATATGCACTGGATGTATATTAAACATTACAAACAAAAGTGTCTGAATACTTGTTTCCTCTCACTGTATTATCAATCACTGTTAACAGAATTCCATAAAAGACAGAGTTGATCAGACAGGCTCACCTTTTGTTGTCTCACTTTCTCTCACAAGGAAAGTGCCTCTCCTGTTCTGGATGTTGAGAAGCAGTCGCTCAGAGTCACGACGTGTTATCTTACCGAAAAACCACCTGCAACGTAAAGAATGCAGAGCGTGACCTTATCTGGGTTTATAGGAAGTAAAGCAGATGCTGTATGTTCTCTGGATGAGGAGTCCTGATTTCCTATCATGATATGAGTGTGTCTGTTTAGATCTTTTTATTTATAGCCGTTCAAACCTGGTATTAACGTTCACCTCAAGTGATCTGATCACACTGCGTGTGTGTGTTTCTGACTACCTCTGAAAGTGATTGGATCACAGCGTGTGACCCTTCCCACTTGCGCTGAAGTTAAAAGGACTGTTTCAGCCTGGGCTGTTTTTTTGAATGAGGCACAATACAGGTCAGCGAATCAGAACAGAGCTAATTTACATATATCTGTCTTAAAGGCATAGTAAAAATCAGCCTGTTTAATTCTAAGGCAGGGGTTTGGAACGAGTGGGCTGTGGTCCCCGAACGGGCAGTGGTGGAACTGCTCAGGTGACTGGTCCAGCAATGTGTGACCTAATGGACTTAGCCAGCTAGCTATGTTTATATTTTCAGATTTTTATCATACAGAATGTATCTATCAAACATAAATGGCTATAAACTGGAAATGTTTAACACATTTTGGTGTTTATTTTGTTGTGTGAATTAACAGTCAAGAGAAATCTGATAGGCTACATTGATTACTGTATTATTACCCTATAGGGACTACTGAATTACTTCAAACTGCGGTCCTATAATGAAAAAAAGTATTTAAAAAAGCAATTTATAATTCAAATCTTAGATATTTATAGTGATTATGTTCTGATCTTTTTAAACCCAAGACAATAAGTATAGTAATAAGCTCAATATATATAAAATCATCATTTATAGAGTACTTTCTATTGGGAGGTGTCTGTCCCAAACTCTAACCTCTAAATTTACACTTATGAAAATAATGCTTACATTTTTGTATTTTTCCGATGTTTTTTTTAAAATAGCTTTTTATTTTTTAATGAAGTTGAAATAATAAAATGTATCATGAGTTAAATTTATACATACAAAACTTTATTAGAAAAAATATCCTACATTTTCATGTCACTACCAAAACAGAGATTTTAGTCTGTAGGCGGAGTCTTATTTAAGCCACACCCCAGCATTTCAGAGCAGGAAGTGAGGCTGCATCCTTGTCCCTCATGGCCACATGGTGAGTAGTCAGATTCCATTGTTTTGAAGTAAATGTGTCCTTAATTCTGAAATTCAGTGTGGAACATTAAGAATTGCCACTACCGAAACACAGATTTTTTGTGTTTTAATAAATATGATGATTTTATGTGTGAACAGCTGTTCAAAGCTGTGTTTTGTAGTCATGTACTGGCTGCGTTTTTGAGCTCAAAATGAGCTAAAATTGTAACTACTGAAACAGTCACTACTAAATCATTTGGTAAAGTTTGGTTAGTGTTATGATTATTTTGGCAATGACAAAATGGAACACTCAATCATTAGTTTTAACAAAATTAGCATAATTATGGTACAGAGTCACTCAAAGCAAAAGGATTTTAGTCTTTAATTAAAGACCAAGATCAGTTAAGATTCCCAAATGTGCATTCAGTAGAATCATCCTTACAGTGTCTGCAGATTCATGTTTCCCCTTTATGTAGATTCCTCTTTAGTTGGTTCTCATTTTATGACTGAAATAGGCCTGAAATAGTTTGTTCCAGAGACAATCAGAGGAACTTTAAATATGCCTGATGTATCTGACATGTTTATCTGTATGATACAGTTTCCATTCTGGTGTGACTGGAACATTTTATACTCCCGAGTTCCTGTTTATGATCACAGGTGTACAATTACAGCCAATTCATCAGCCAACATCAGTGGAAAAAGTAAAAAAAACTGACGACTCAGTGTAATCATATGATTTTGCGCCATATAATGGCCGATATAACCATTTCAGATTTTCTTTCTATAACATTTGATTCTTTTCTATCACAATCTTTTCCATTCAAATACCTGACTTTCTAGAAAATACCCAATAATTACAGACAGAAGACTCCTATCACGCTTTTCTGTCACTGAGGGAATGGTCGGTTGTGACCCCAGCCATGGAAATAAACCCTGAATTCCACCTGTAATGTACTGTCTACAGCTGTCACTACCAGTTATATTAGTTATGAAGAAATTTACCAATTATTCTGATGACTATTTGAAATCAGTGTTTAAAAAAAAAGGTCAAATCTTAAAAATAAACTTAGCTGAACAATAAGTAAACATACAGAGAAAACACTACTGTAAAAAAAAAAAAGATAAATAAGGAAGGAAATAAGAAATAATATGGGGAATAATTTAATGCCTTATCGTCATGCAAATTGCTGACTCAGCAAAAAGGTATATCTGACTCAACTACTGAGTCACTGAGTTTACTTAAATAACTAACACCCCGGGCGTGCACCAAGCAGTGCTTTTACCTGATCCACCCTCAAGAGATACCCTGGACAACACAGACTTTTCTATTTCTGATTCATCAGAAGTGCTAAACAGAAAGAAAAAAGTGTTTATTTTACTCTTCGGCTTGGATGGAGTCTGAGGGAGCAACGTAATTGCTGGGGATGTAGCCGCTCTCTCCTGTGGTCAAAGAACGAGCCAACCACCAGTCTCCTTCCCTGAAACACATACAGCAATCAGAACATCAATATCTCAAACTATGAGACATAAACCAAACCACTGTGACAGTCAATTTACCTGCTGAACAGCCAGACATGTTTGGTGTCTGAAGTTTGATTCTTTAGATTTTACACTGGAGCTGCAAGGCTAATGTAGCTACAAAGTAATGGAAGCCTCCACTGTGTCAATTAGCATGGCTCAAAATTTGAAAAAAAGAATGTTTTATGCGCACTCAACAGCAATTATCTTTACTTTAGTTCTCTTACTGTGTATGGTAAGCAAGTAAACATAGCTAACTGCTCTGTTAGCTGCTTGGCTAAGTGCAGCTGCTTGCTGCCACCAGTTACGTATACTGTTGCACTACAAATCAGCATGCAGCACTATGTTGTGAGTATATAATTATCTGGTGTATTAATATTTACATTTGTGTTGTTACTGTTTAAAGTTAGTGAGTTAGCTAGCCTGCAAACTGCCCAAAAATGGATTTCTGTCTTCCCTACCAGCCTAATTCAAGCCCATTTTACAAGGCGAAACAAAACAATTTCTAGTGTGACTGAGGCTTTACAGTGTCATACAGTGTTAGAAACCACATAAGCATGCCTGTTAGAGCAGAGGTTCACAACCTTTTGCAACACAAATGACCACAAAAGCTGCCAAGGCCTGATCAGATCGTTTTTTTTCTGACTCCGATTGATGATGCAACTTGTTGGGTTTCTTAGCTTCATGTGAAAAAACCTCTGAACAAAAAGTACAGAGCGGTAGTTTCTCATTTTCAGTTTCCATGCACGTGAAGCCCGGCTCACACTACCCACTGCTGTGTTTTCTTTGTTTTTTATTTTATGTTGAGTTTTCTCAGCTCGAGCATCTTTCATTTGGAAAGACACTCATTTTAATCAACACTTTTACTTTGACTTGAACTGAAAACAGGGATGTGGGAAGTGGGGGTGCCAGATTTCAAGGCTGGTTAACTGCAAACAGTTAAAATATAGATAAAGATCTAAACGTGAAATTACTTTGAACATAGTACGGACCTACATCTGCCTGTTTTAGGGTAAAGTTTGTATTTTTACGCCTTATTCATACACTTTAAAAACCTTAATAATCCTCATTACAGTGAGCCGAGCTGCTTCCCTTGTCCCCTGCTGGCTGCTTTGGGGCGTGTCACTAAAATACATACAGGTTGAGGTGCAAAGAGGGAAAGTGTGTGCAGAGATTTAGGCCATTTCTGAACCCAAAACCTGCCTAATGTTGTTTTTAAACAAAAAAAAAAAAGCCATAATGATGTCCTGCACTTTGAAAATATTATTTTTTTAATCAACCGTCATATCTCCCTCTCGGAGTGTGTTCAAGTGTGTGACTGTGGGTGACTTGACGTCGTTGACTGGACGTCACTCAACTCATTCGCCTAAAGTTCGCCCTGAAGGAGAGAACGAAGAGAAATCAGGGTGTGCATCAGCAGTCTGATGGGTCAGTTATGCGGGTATACTGTCGTCTTTTGCCACATCACGGCACATCATGACGCTCTGTTTGATGCAAATTATCACAAAAAGTCAGATCATTTTGCATGACGTCACCATCCACGCCCTGAATATACTGTTTAAAATTTCAGAAAATGTCATTTTTAAAACTACATTTGGTTAAATAACTATTAAAACAAATTTTTGCAGTTAAAAAATAAAACTGCTGGCCAACAGCCACCACGGCCCACTGGGGAGCTGCAGCCCACAGATTAAAAACCACAGTATTAGTGATTTCTGAACAGCTGCAAGCAAATTAACGCTACATTATGTAGGTTTTGGGGATTTGGAGACCTCTCTGGTGGAAATGTGTCATTGCACATAACGTGAGGAACATTTTGTAGAGTGGGCTGCACTTCCCTGAACAGATGAATCTAATTGAAAGAGGATTCAAAGAGAACTCAGTCTAAACTTGGTGAAGGACACATCTTCCAAGGATGTGAGTGAATTATCCACAATTGTCATCATATCTTCTACAGTATAATGTTGATTTTGAGATCATTTGAGACTTAAACATGGAGCCGGACCTTCTTTTTGTGGCTGTGCATGTGACATTAACGCGTAAAGATGACGTGGTGTGAAAAAACCCCCAACCCGATGTCTCTGACTTTTAAATGATTATTTCAGGCTTTACAGGGCGACTCGCATCAGTGCACACTCACCATATTTTAGACTGTTTTTATTCTCCTCAATCAGTAGTGATACTTCTTTGAGTTTTAACAATAAAAAACTTACACAGTGCAGCTTTAAAGATGCAAACTTGGACACCAAACATTTGGGGTTAAGGTCAAAATCTGGCTCAACCATCACTTTAAGGATATTTTATTTTATCTGAACACAGCGCAGTACCTTGCCTGTCTTAAACGTACAACTCAGCTTGTGCATAGATAAAAAGACAACATACAATATACAGACATACAAAATATTTAAATATGCAACCATGTTTAATGTGTGACTGAAAGAAAAACACAAAAAAACATTTAGAGGGATTTGAACTGAAGCTGGGACTGAACGTCAGAATCACACATGCAATTAGAAACAAACACATCTCAGTTTTACCTGTTGTCAGAAATAATGAGGTCAGTTTTGTATTTTGCATTTCTTTGACAGAGCTTTGAATATTTGCTGGTACAGGTACTCCAATATTTGTTCATATAACCCTTAAAAACAATAATATTTATGATTTATTATTAACCATAATTTTAAGCAAGTTTCATCATTTCCATCACTTGTATGTTGTTTATGAGTCATTTTAGCTCAGTCGTAGTTGGGTTTAGCTCAGTCACATTCAGGTTTAGCTCAGCCACAGTCAGGTTTAGCTTGGTAATAGCTGGGTTTAGCTGGACAGGTCTAGATGGACAGCTTTGGAAAATAAAAAGAAAACCTGTTCCATAAGTATGTGTGCTTTGTCTGGTAGAACATATATTCCTGTTCTAAAATACAGATGTGAAGTCTTTATCAAAATGATGTACTTCTACATATGTTTGACCCCAGTTACACGGATCATGTTTCACAGATCACTTACCCAAACTGTGACAGGAAAAATAAAAAACTCAGTGTAAAAGAGCAGAACAGTGTTACTGACCTGTAGTTGTACTTTCTCCTAATTTTAACCATGAAGCATAGAGGAAAAAGAAATCACAAACAGCAGAGATAAAAACCACCATTCACCATTCAAGAAAACATTTAAGAGTCCTCAAAAACATTCAGTCATTCAGAAGTGGTTTGGTGTAAAATACTCCATTCTAGAGAAACTTACTGAGGCATTGATCAAAGCAGTGGTGACTTGTTTACATCTCAACAACTGAATTATACAGAAATTTGAATTTCAAAGGGTGGAATACCCTTTAAAAAGAGTTTTCCACTGAATTTGGCAAAATAACTGTTCAAAGTCTCAGAGGAGTAAATCTAAGGATGACCTTTATCTTGCCACAGCAAGTCATCAGTAAAGTGGGCTGTGTTTTTAAAAATGTATTTTAAGAGGAATTTCACCTCAATTCTCGAGTCAAACTTATTTACAGTGGAGGTGAATAAAATAAGACATCTGAAAAGTTCAAAGGGCCAACAGCATTTCACATCAAACCGCTCTGAATGACTTTAACTCTTAACCATTCAATTATAAAGAAATTTTAAAAAGTGAGTGGAAATTCCCTTTAAGGCACCATCTGTAAAACAACTAACAAACTAAAAGTAAAAAGCTGATGTGCCTGTAATCAAAATAAGCAGAAGTCCCCTTTAAAGAAGTGCACTGCTGAGAGAAAAAAAAGTTGGTGGTTGTTCAAACTTCATAAAGTCACACATTTAATGAATGGATTGTGACCAGAAATGCACACAAATAAAAACTTTACGCATGAAGTATTTTAAAGAAAGGGCACTTGATCTGCACCAGCGCTTGCATTTTTCACAGATTATGGATGAATATGATATGAAAGCATTTTCAAACATGGCTCGAAAGGCCACTTTTTGTGGTTTTATTATGTAATGCTTTGATTTGGCAAGAACGGTGTGGGTGTGACATTAAATATTCGTGAGATTAGTTGGTGTAGCGCTGCATGAGGACATCATGCAGTCTGTTAACTAAACCAAGTGCAGCCTGCTGAACTCGAGACAGACATTCAATTAAAACAGCTGACACTTACAGGGGAGACTAGATGTCCTGCAGCTGTGCATGAGTTTAATATTTTATTCTAATCAGGCGGTTCATGGAAAGTTGATGACAGTTATGAAATGAATATGCTTTAAACTTTAAACTTAAATGGCGAGAAAAGTGGTTAAAATATCTGCATAACCCTACAATTTCACTGTAATGCTACTCTAGTAATCCTAATATTTTGACATCGGCAAATATGTACATGAAAAAAAAAGAACGATGTCGCCATCGGCCGAGAATCCACACATCAATGCATCTGTAATTATCACAAACCAACAGAGTAGCAATATTAGCCAATTAAAAGAGTAAGAACAGATAATGTCACAATGTGTTTTTATGAGTCTGTTTTGAGAGTGTATAAGTGTCAACACTGCCTTGTGAAATATGCTTGATTAAGCTTATATATTCACTGTATGTGGACACCCTTAATTACTGAGTTCAGGTGTTTCAGCCACACCCATTACTAACAGGTATAAAATCAAGCACATAACTATGCAGTCTCCATAGACAAACACTGGCAGTAGAATGGGTCGTACTAAAGAGCTGAGCGAGTTTAAACATGGCACTGTCATAGGATGCCACCTCTGCCAGAAGTCAGTTTGTGAAATTTCTGCTAGATCTGCCCCAGACAACTGTAAGTGCTATTATGTGAAATGGAAATGTTTAGGAGCAATAGCAATAGCATCAAGTGCCGAAGCATGTAAAATTGCCTATCCTCTGTTGTATTATTTACTACAGAATATCAAACTTCCTTCCTTCGGCAGCTTAATGAAATGGGTGTCCACGGCTGAGCAGCTGTACACAAGCCTAAGATCACTATGTGCAATGCCAAACGTCAGCTGGAGTGGTGTAAAGCACGTCGCCACTGGACTCTGGAGCAGTGGAAATGTGTTATCTGGAATGATGAATCACGCTTCACTATTTGTAAGTCTGAGGAAATGAATCTGGGATTGGTGGATGCCAGGAAAATGCTCTCTACCGGAATGTATAGTGCCAACAGTAAAGTTTGGTGGAGGGATAATGGGCTGGGGCTGTTTTTCAGGTTTTGGGCCCATTTGTTCCAGTGAAGGGTGATGTTAATGCTACAACACACAAAGACATTTTACACAATTATAGGTTTCCAGCTTTGTGTCAGCAGTTTGGGGAAGAACCTTTCCTGTTCCAGCATGACTGAGCCCCTGTTCACGAAGACATGGTTTGAGAAGTTTGGTGTAGTGGAACTCCAGTGAGCTGTACAGAGCCCTGACCTCAACCCCACTGAATGTCTTTGGGATGAACTGGAGCCAGTGTCTGACCTCACAAATGCTCTTTTGACTGAATGGGCACAAATTCCCACAGACACACTCCAAAATCTCAGAGAAAGCTTCCCAGAAGAGTGGAAGCTATTATAGCTGCAAAGTGGGACCAACTCCTTATTAATGCCCATGATTTTGGAATTGGATGTTCAACTGTCTCATGTAGGTGTGATGGTCAGGTGTCCAAATATTTTTGGCCATATGGTGTGTGTATATATGTATATATTTTGTGAATCAGTACAAATTCATGCCTGGATCATTTTGAATCATACAGTATTTCTGTTTGTGGAACTGTTTGTCTTGAACTTGATGACTCAGAGTCTGACTACTCCCTGATGACTTGGAATTAGACTGTCTGGGCACAGACATACATAATAATTTCTCTTCCTCATTCAAGGAAGAACAATAAATAGACCTGATAATGAACTGGCCTTGAATATTGCCTTAAATTCTAGCTATTGTGATTTTACCTTTTGGTACCCTGTTTCCTGCCAAATTCATTAACATATCCTCCCTTTCAGTCAGCGGTAACAAGAACAATTTCAGTGAGATCCTGTGGCTGGAACTGGTGAAACTTCACTTACGTGTTATTGAGGATCTGCAGTCGTTCACCCTTCTTAAACGTGAGATCTGCTGATGTTCGAGATTCATAGTCGTATAAAGCCACGAATGTAGTGATGCCTCCTGTGAGTAACAAACAAAACTGTGGTTAAAGCTGAGGACCATCCAGAAGAAACTCTTGGTGAGCTGTTGGTGTGCAGTTATTGAGAAATCAGAGGGGGGGCAGACGTCATCACATTTTGATGGAAGATTACAGAAATGCACAAATTTAATAGACAATAAATACAAAAAAAAAGTGTTTGAAGGATCTGGTGGGCTTCGGTGTGGGAAGTCATTCAGAGTGGTCTGATGTGAAATGAAACTTACCAAGTCAGAATTGTTCACAATGGTGGTGATAAGAACCAGACATTGGTTTATGATAGTTGGACGAAAAGCTTTCGGCACGAAAAATTGTTCTGTTTTGATTTTTTTTTTCTCATTTATCACTATTTTTCCATCATTAACATTCCATATAAAATATATATAAAAATGTGTTGGTTCACTGGTGGTTTTGGAAAGTAAATAATATGGCTGTATTTATGTTGTAGTCATGGTGACACCTGGTTCCTATCACCACCACTGTAAAGACATCTGAACCATTTCACACCAAACCCCTCTGAATAACTATTTGCACACTGAAAAAAGTGTATACAACTGATGTGGTTGGCAATAGTAGCATGACTTGTGTACAGCTGCTGTTAGCTAAGGAGCTAACATTCAATCATATGCAAATGTTTGGGCACCCTGGTCAAATTCCATGCTGTTGTTGATTTTCTAAGTGAAAATAAGTGAACACGTCCTCTACAGAGACACACTTCTGCACATTTTAATGCACACTTACTGTTTATTTACCAAATTTAACATAAAAAACCAAACATAAAATGGGGCCTGTACAAAAGTTATGCCACATTTTATATTTTTTAATATGCCAAATTTATGTCTGCTCTCTCTAGCGGATATGTTGACTTATTTTCACTTAGAAACTGATGTAATTTGACCAATGAGTCTTCAAACTTTTGCTGCAAACTCGCCTAGCAAGTAAAGATAATAATACAGTCTGACTGACTTTATCATGCAGTCTCTCTTCCATGTGTTTATTTATAGTCAGGGGGAAAGGAATGTTTAGAGGTTTGTGCTTAAACACTGCTAAAATTAGCATTTCCTCCGTTTTGGAGTCTTCATTACTGCTATATGAAGCCCCGGCCCTTCTAAGATCAACACAACCAAAGCAGTAGTGCTAGTGGTAGAGCTAGAGAGTGTATTCACTGGAAAATGCTAGTGTGACAGTGTCATTATTGGATCACAGTAACACAGTAACACAGACTAAAGGACTAAAGTCAGTCACTAAAATTCACCTCTTTGAGGGGACATGATGCTCCCTGGGTGTTCCACACCTCCGAAAAGGGCCAGCTCTGCATTGTTGGTGTGATAGGCGTTGCTCTGCGCGCTGGTCCCCACCGCAGGGCTCCGATTGGGCGTCTGGGTTTGAGGGCCAGAGCTGAAATGATGTCCACTGGAGGAGCCCATACCAATGGTGCCATCCAGGCTCAAGGATCTCTGGCCTGGGTCTTTCGTCTTACTCTTTGTTCCCCCCATTGTGAGGCCTGAGGAAAATAAAGGAAGAAACAATTCATTAAATGAAAACCAACCGATAACACAGAGAGCGAAACAAGTTTGGGAACTTGGAATATAGTTTAAAGTCCCAACACTATTATTAACACTTTACAAGACCATACAACACAAGGAGCTCCCATTAGCTTCTTACCAGCTTCAGACCAGTTTTCAGTCCTTCTCTCCAAAAACCTCCTTCTCCCACATTAAGCCCAAATTCCAACACCCACCTTCTTCAAGTTCAAGAAGTGTGAAGTACATATAATACATATACACATTTTTTTTATTTTAATGATGCATATTTCCTTGTTTAGTGAATAAGTACGTTTTTTGATCATTTCTTTAGCTCCAAAAAGTCAATGCAACATTTTGTAAGCTCATGCTTGCAGAATAAAGAATAACATTACACTGAAATGATTAGTTTTCCGAAAGGCTAAATGAATGCAGAACATCTAGAACAGTCACCAATCCTGTTCCTGATAACGGACTCCATGCAGAACCTTCCAACCATAATCTGCCGCACCTGCTCCAGCTAATGAATGTCTTCAGACATATTTGAGTGGCTGGATCAGGTGCTTTAGTGTGAGTGGAGAAGGTGGGGGAAGGGGGTCAGCATGTTAGATGTGGGGCTGGGACTAAACTCTTCAGGATCATGGCTGGAGATCAGGGTTCAAGAACTACACTCTCCAGAAGGTGGAGTCAAAGACAGCTGCATTCCTCTATGAGGCCAGCTGTTACTGCTAGAAAGAAGAACTAAGGATTAGATGGTACCACCGGTATTGAGTGGTATAGCAGAAAAAGGGCAGAGCTGGACAATATGACAATATTGATAGTTATCATGACAAATGATGTGACAGTATTTGACAGTACGTCTTTCTGATCATATTGTGGATATAATCAATACTTAAAAACACTTTCCAACTGCATTCATGATTAAAAAGATTTAGTGCAGCTCAGCGTGTGATATGCTGAATAGAAATGAATGTTTTCATAGTATTTGATAGTATTTTTTAAATACTATCCTTGTCTATTCCAACTTAACAGATGTCAGAAAAAATATATATTGTACCATATCGTGTATTGTGAAAACTTTTAAAAGTGTCGTGATATTACATTTTTGTCACCTCTAAAACAGAATATTTAAAAATTATGATGGTATTAAAAACGATGACGACAAATTTCTTTCTCTATTCCACGCCTGAATGGCTAAATAAACATGTTCCACCCATTTATATTTTAGAGGGGCTGATAAATGTTGCTGCTAGAAGTACTGATTAGCATTAGCTTAGCTATCACGAGAAGAGCTCTGATCACCACAGAACATGTTGGACTGTGGCTAACTAAAGCTCTGACACAAGTTTAGATGATCATAATTCAAATCTGAGGGAGTGAAGTGGAGAAGCTGCCGCTGAAGGGACAGAAAGGAGAAATCAAACCTGCTCTGTGGTGTTTGGATCCGTAGCCTGATCGGCTGACTTAACGTTAGCTTAGCGAACAGGCTACAGACCCAAACAGTACCACTCACCACAGTACAGGCTTGATTCTGACTTACTGCTGCTCTGCTGACACAAGTATACATGATAAAAACTGATGTCTAAGAGAGTAAAAGTGGAGTGACTGATGTTGGAGTGACAGAAAGCTGAAATTGAACCTGTTCTCTGGTGTTTGGGACTGTAGCATTTTGGCTAAGCTAACAAGAGCTTAGTTAGCAGGCCAAATGTGCCACACGGCACAGCACGCTTAGTTTCATCTAACTGCCCAGAGGAAATAATGTTTTTCTTAAAACTGTCTTAAAAAAGTAAAGCAGATCTCAGTAAGATCAGTGATTTCTGAATTCTTTCCCTTGAACCCCCCTGAAGAGAAAAGAGGAGATTAACTTTAGCATTTCACTGTAAGAAGTTCTGGTGATGAATGAGAAAAGTATGAGTTCTCCTTCTACACTGACAGACTGCTGAAAGAGCTCTGTGGTATATGCTGCCTTCAAGTCCTGTCGGAAACATCAGATTTATGAGATGAACGCAAATCAACGCCACCACAATGTCGTATTTACTAGTGGGAAACCCAGATTTTTCAATGAGCCCCAAGTTTCCGAGTTAGGGGCGTCAACAAAAAAGCAATGATAGCCTCTGATAAACTGGCTGTATTTCAGTTTTTCATGAGACACAACCCTTAACACTGCAGGCTAAAACCATCTATTTTTATCTAACTGAAACTGATGAAATGATACACCTCACATTCTGCTTGTGATACAATATGATTGTGAAATGACTAATCATTGTGGAGCACGACTGCGGTCAGCTTAAATAATTGCAATCATTTCAAATAAATTGTGATTGTGACGGGCCTACACGAATTCCACAGAGAACCACTTTGAGCCAAATAGGAGGTGAATCTGTAAAAAATAAAAAAATAAAAAATAAAAAAAAATAAAAAAATGCTGATGGTGATGAACACTTGAGAAAACACGAACTTCTGAAAAAGAAGAAATGGAAAAGTTTGGGAATGAGTCAGTAGATCGACACGCAGATGAAACGCTGTGAGGAACTTGAAGCATGCTGGACACGCAAAAAAGCCTTTCAGCATCAGTCACACAGCTGAAGCGGCTCTGGTTACATAAGAGGAGGACAGACAATTAAAGGAAAAGCTTAACATGAAGTTTTAGTGAGGTACTGATATTTTTGGACCAATGAACTGGGCTTTACATGTGCCTGTTTATTACTCAACAAAACAAGACCAAAACAAAGCATTAATAAACTTTTTTAAAATTAAATAAATTTTTATGTCACATGTTGCTGGGACATTAAAGGCGAATTCCACAGATGTTTCAAAATTTTTGTATAATTCCATCAGAGTGGTTTGATGTTTACTATCCAGTGTTATATGGAAAGTTGATGATGGTAAAATAATGGAAAATCTGAAACAAGTTTTTGGGGTGGGACAATTTTGCCCTGCATCTACCTCTCCACCATTAATAGATCTGTTTACATCTTAACTGTTTAATTATGTAGAAACTTTAACAAATTGGTGGAGTTCCCCTTTAAGCTTGTTATTAGTCATAATGCAAGGCTTCACCCATCATTATATAGGTTTTACTGATACTGTCATTGTGTGGTGCTATGCTTTTTAAAAAATAAAAATGTTCCAGAAAGTGTTCTTTGCACAATGCCATAGAGGAACCACTTTTGGTTCCCCAAAACTCTTTCAATGGATGGTTCTTCAGTTTGAAGACCTTTTTTTGAGGTCAAAGAACCTGTACATTATGTGAAGGTTCTTTACATGTTTAAAAGATTCTTCACTCTCACAAATCTCTTTATCGAACATCTAAAAGTGTTTTTTCTTACTTTGTGCCACCTGTTTAAAAGTGTACTATCAAATGCATTACAGATAAACTGATGCACTTAAGGTACAGTTCATTTATTTCAATTTGGACTGTTAAACAAGTGAAATAATTAATCACGATAAATCACATCCTTTTATGTAGTTCATCGTGATTAATTGGTCGTATTTGTCTAATTTGCTCAAATTTGACCCCAAAGACCCCCAAATTTCTCTTTTGAAAAGCAGTGCACAAATTATTAAGGTGCTCACTAATTTCAACCTTTCCTACTTTCCATAGTTCAGTTTAGGGCTGCAAGGAAGGTCTATTTTCATAAGTGATTAGTTGATCAATAATGACTTTGATTAATCGATTATTTTGAAAAAAGATATTAGTCTGGGATTAAAATGTTCCATTCAACAAATAAAACACAAGAATTATTCTTCCCTAATTTAAAAAAATACATAAAACACATACCCTGCACTCTTTAAAAAGATGGTTTGAGAGTTCTTTAGTTAAAAAAAAAAAAAAGGTTTTATAAAGAACCATGAATGCTCATAGAACCCTTTGCATGATTAAAGGGCTCTTCAGATTGATGAAGAATGTGTTGTGTATGGTTCAAGGGTTCTTATATTGTTATAACCTTGATGCCTTAACAATAAAAGAACCCTTTTTGGTGCTATATAGAACCCTTTTCAAAAAGACCTGTGAAGCACCACCACATCTTTTCAAACTGTCGCTCACGCAGCGCCAGCCGAACGTGCTCAGAGGAGAACGCTTACTGCCAGTTCTGTTATGTCAGCTAACAGACGCTATGCTGAACAGCATCGTGCTGAGTGATGGGGGGAGAGACAGGGCCGTCCTTTCCACCCAGAGAGAGCAAAGCCAATTGTGAATACAGCCATGGATGGCTGTAGCATCACCTGGGAACAAACTCGCGATCTCCTGATTACAGGGCCACGATTAGACAGTTGATCCATTCTGTCTGTAAGTGTGCATCAGCAGGCCTGGATCATCCCTTGGGTTTCCACCTGGCGGTGGCAGTGTGCTTTAGCTCAGGATGGTCGAGAGTTTTGCGTGGGTAAGTTTGCTGGTGTTGTTTTGTTCGTCTTTGTTATGTACACTACTGCTTAAAAGTTTGGGGTCACTTATCATAATAATTGGCATTCAGTAATACCTCATACAGCGTAGGATGAAATGCTATAAACTATACACCAAAGCGTGAATCAACAAATTATTTACCACAGAGCATTTTGGGAACAACATAATGTCAGGACACAGACAAAAATGGAAGTGTTAATAAATAATAAGTTTAATAAATCATAATAAATCAATGTTTTGTTCATAGGAATTTGTTGCCACAAAAATACTGAACAGCTGTTTAATTAGTGAGATTTGGTCATCACTCTTCAAATATGAAACACAGTAGATGTCAGTTTCTTTATAAGTTCATTCTGAACGCTGTACAGATTTCTCAATTATTATAAAATCACTTACAGCTCTGCTTATCATCCAAAATGTCTTCTTACAAACTGTTTATAACTAGTTTCATCGTAGAATCATTTTATACAGAAGAATTTGGTTTTGTATGAATAAAATCCCAAACTTTTGAGTGGCAAAGTAAATGTGCCTGTGAAGATTGGACACGTGCTGTATTAGGACATTTTGCACTGTTTG